GATCGATTGCCGCCCATGGAAATCCCTGGGGGCTGCCTCAGGCCGAACGGGCCGACTGGGCAGAAGGGCTCGAAGTACCCACATTCGAAGAACAACCCAATCCCGAGATCCTGCTTTGGATCGGATGCGCCGGCAGCTACGACCGCCGCAATCAAAAGGTCTCGCAGGCGATGGTGAAGATTCTCAAGGCCGCGAAGGTCGACTATGCCATTCTTGGCAAACGCGAGCGTTGCACGGGCGACTCGGCCCGTCGTTTGGGTGATGAGTTCACGTTCCTCGAATGCGCCACCACCAACGTCGACACGCTTTCCCAAGTGCAATTCGGTAAGATCGTCACGGCCTGTGCCCATTGCTTCAACACGCTGCGGAACGAGTATCCCGACTTCGGCGGGCAGTATGAGGTTCAGCACCACACCGAATTCATCCGTGAATTGATCGATACCGGGCGACTTCCTCTGAATGAAGCCGAACTCAAGGAATCGATCACCTTTCACGATCCTTGCTACCTCTCACGACACAACGACGGCAGTCAACCACCTCGGGATGTGTTGAACACGGTCAGTGGTCCTCAACTGCCGATCATCGAGCCCGAGAAGCACGGTCGTACCGGCTTCTGCTGCGGGGCTGGCGGGGGACGCATGTGGATGGAAGAAGACATCGACAAGCGGGTTAACTTCGAGCGTTGGGATCAACTCAAAGAGACCGGCGCCAGCACCGTGGCCGTTGGCTGCCCCTTCTGCATGACCATGATGGATGACGCCTCGAAAAACGATGAAGAGGCCGGCATCGCCGTGAAAGACGTGGCCGAGCTAGTGGCCGAGCGGTTATCGGCTAGTGACGCTTCTTAAGGCTAGTTCGGCAGGTCCGTCACTCGAGTTCATCGTCGAGCAAATCTGGCTGCCCGGGGCCTCACACGCGAAGAATGCGGACCTCATCGCCCTCGACGCAAAACACTGCTCGATACGTCCGCCCATGCGGTATTTTGAACAGAAGCTGCCTCAGCTCATGGTCGGAAAACCCGTTTTCCCGGGCTACGCTGCAGCGATGTGGTAAAGAAGACAAGGTCGCGGCCGCAGTCTCGAATGCATTGAGCCACTGGGCGGCACCTTGAGGTGATCTACGCTCGTTAGCGATCCAGTTTAGAATCGCGTCAATATCGCGCTGAGCGCGACGAAGTGTTCGGATGCGGTAGCTCATTCACCAGGCGAGAGTCCAAATTTCTCTCGCATTTCTTGAATGTGCTCTCCGAATGGCTTGCCTCGGTCTCCCTGTTTCATATCTAGTAGGGAGGCTTTTACCGCACGCACGTCAGCTTCCCGCTCCTCTTTGGTCGGGTTCTCAAGTCACCACTGGTCGTAGAGGTTAGAGGTCATCCATGGAGACCTCAGCCCCAAGCTTTCCGAGCTGCTCAGAGGCGAAACGGTGAAAGCTGTCGATGTGATCTTGGCTGATCGCCATGGCAAATTTCCTTTGTAGATTCGCTTTTCTAAGAGTACCACGTCGTCTTTCATCGAGCAAAATGGCTTATGCTCCCCCCGAACCTCGGCCCCAGGTTGACGTGTCGACCGGATGCGGGGGAGAATGCCGGGCGTTTTCTGGGTGGGCGATCGAGGAGGGCCGGACGTGGCCAAGTTTTCTGTCATTCTGCCGGCAGCCGGAAAGAGCAGCCGCTACCACGATAAGAACTACAAGAAGCCTTTCGCGCCGCTGGCGAATCGGGCCGTGTGGCTGCACTCGGCCGAACGGTTCATCAACCGCGACGATACGGTCCAGGTCATCCTTGTGATTTCGGCCGAAGACCGCGAGTATTTCAACTTCAAGTTCGCGGCCAACGCCACCATCCTCGGGATCGATGTGGTGGAGGGCGGGAAGGAACGGGCCGATTCGATTGAAAAGGCCCTCAGCTCGGTTAACGAGAAGGCCGACTTTATCTGCGTTCACGATGCGGCCCGACCGTGCGTGGCCGACGAATGGATCGATTCGGTATTCGCCGCCGGCGAGAAGAGCGGAGCCGCGATCTTGGGGGTTCCCGTTTCCAGCACTCTCAAACGGGTGGCTGGCGATCACACCGTGGAAGAGACTGTACCCCGCGAGGGACTTTGGGAGGCCCAGACTCCGCAGGTATTCCGCCGCGATCTGCTGTTAGAAGCTTACGCTCGTCGCGAAGGGTTCGTTGCTACCGACGACGCCCAACTGGTGGAACGCATTGGGCACCCTGTGACGGTAATCGTTGGCTCGAAGATGAACCTAAAGATCACCACCCGTGAAGACCTGCGACTAGCGGAACAGACGCTAAAGGTGCTTCCCAAGAAGAAGCTTGAAGGTCCCGCCCATCCTTTCGCCGACGACGATATGTGGCGTTAGCTCCGGGTCGTCCCCATCCAACTATTCATGTTTTCAAGTAATCCAGATCACACTCAACTTAGATAAACTCCCTTTCATGACCGACATCGTTGCAGATCTCTCTTGGCGTGGGCTCATTCATCAATCGACCGACGAGGAATTCCTCCCCAAGTGGTTGTCCGAAGCTTCACGGACTGTTTACGTAGGGTTTGATCCCACGGCCGATAGTTTGCACGTGGGAAGCCTGCTTCCACTGCTGCAACTGCGGCGGTTTCAACAGGCCGGGCATCGTCCCATTCTGTTGGTCGGCGGGGCCACCGGTATGATTGGCGACCCCAGTGGCAAGAGCGAGGAACGAAATCTACTGTCGCTCGACCAGCTTGAAGCCAACGTGCAGGGTGTGAAACAACAGGCCCAGTCGTTCTTGGATTTCTCCGGCGACAATGCGGCCATCGTGGTGAACAACTTCGACTGGATGAAGGGGTACACCTACCTCGATTTTCTTCGAGAAGTGGGTAAGAACTTTCCCGTGAATGTGATGCTGGCGAAAGACTCGGTGAAGAGTCGCCTAGGACGCGACGACGTGGGCATCAGCTACACCGAGTTCAGCTACATGCTGCTGCAGGCTCACGACTTCGTTTACCTGAATGAGCACCACGGCTGCGAACTGCAACTAGGCGGCAGCGACCAATGGGGCAACATCACAGCAGGCATCGATCTCGGCAGGCGCATGCGCGGCGCGAAGCTGTACGGCATCACTTTTCCGCTGCTCACAAAGACTGACGGCTCGAAGATGGGTAAGACCGAGTCGGGCACGGTCTGGCTCTCGGCCGAGCGAACCAGCCCTTACGCGTTCTACCAGTACTGGATTAACGTTGACGATGCCGACGCTGGGAAGTGCTTACGATTCCTCACCGAGTTCAGTCGAGAAGAGGTCGAATCCCTCGACCAGCAACGCGAGTCGGAACCTGAGAAGCGCGAGAGCCAACGACGCCTGGCCGAGTCACTCACCCAATTGGTGCATGGCAGCGAAGGCCTGGAGACCGCGCAACGGGCGACCGACATTTTCTTCGGTGCCGAAATCGAAGCGCTCAGCGACCAGCAACTCGGCCAGATCTTCGCCGATGTGCCCAGCAAGAGTCTTACTCGCGAGCAGCTAGCGGGAGAGGGCCTATCGCTGATCGATGCCATGTGTGAGGCGGGCTTGGCTAAGAGTAAAGGCGAGGCCAGACGTTCCATCCAGCAAGGTGGGGCCTACGTGAACAACCGCCGAATCACCGAAATCGATGCTCGGTTGAACTCTTCCCATCTTGCCAGCGAGACGGTAATGGTGCTCCGCTCAGGCAAAAAACGCTATGCCCTCTTGCGGTTCGAGGGCTCTTGAAGACCAGTCTTAATGTTCTGGCCTATAATGGTTTAGGGCGATGGTCTGCGGTCCGCAATTGGCTGCAAATGCAGGTTGACGTCCCGAGCCAATCCCTCGTACCATCCCCCTCGCGACGAGTGTCGCATGGTCAGGGGGCGAAGGGGACGGCTGTCGCCAAGGTGACCCAATGCGAAAACCGCTCGTCATTCTGTTGCTCGCCATCGGCGGAGGCACCCTCGTTGCAGTCGTGGGGGGAAGCTATCTCGCCAGCCGACATGTGCCGAGCTTCTACGAGGAGATTCTCGAAGACGAATCCCAGGCTCAACGAGAATCGAGCGACGAGTTGATTCAGCAGATCTCCGATCTGACTGGTCAGGCTCAAGCACAAACTGCGTGGCGCACGCAAATCACCGAGCAGCAAATCAATAGCTGGCTCGCCATCGACGCCGCTGAAAACCACCCCAATCTTCTGCCGCCCGACATGCGCGATCTGCGCATTCGTATCGAGCCCCAGGGGGCGACGATCGCGTGCCGTTACAACACGGGCGGAACTTGGACGGTGCTGTCCATGAAAGTCGACCTTTACTTGCTCGAACCCGACGTGTTGGCGCTTCGCGTGAGCAAAGCCAGGGCGGGGTTGTTGCCGTTACCGCTAAGTCGCATTGTGCAATCGATCGAAGAAACGGCTTCTCAATCCGATTGGCGTCTGAGGTGGCTGCAGGATCAAGGCGACCCGGTGGCGGTCATCCCGCTGCCAAAGCAAGAAGGTGAGCACAAGCTGAGTCTCGAGTCGTTGGAACTGGGCGAAGGAGAAATCGTCGCCTCCGGGCTGGTTGGTTCACCAGTCACTGCCACGGCAGCCGATCAATCACCACCGTCCAATACGACCCAGCGTTGATCGTCGTCTACAGTTCGAGACAACGTCCAGGTCGCGTGCAGCTTTCTACCTTCAAGACGCACCAAACACTCGTCGACCAAGTTGCTTAGGAGTACGTAGCGACCTTCATCCCACCGCCAGACCCGTCCTCGATCTCCAGAAACGGGACCCTCGTAAGTCAGATAGTCGAGCCGATGCTCTGGCAAGGCCTGGGCGACGGTTGGCTCGCCTTGCAAAGGTAACGCTTCCAGGGCCCAAGTTCGAAGTCCCGAGCCATCTTCAAGCATGAAGTCCCAATGCGACGCGCGGGTCGATGAAGCAGGCAACTCGTGGCGTAACACGACGAAACGGTCCATGACCACATTGTAGCCATGTGAGTCGAGAGATTCGCGCATCACAGGAAAGAATACGCAACTAGGTCCTTGCGGCGTCGAACACAGACGTGCTCTCTTCTGCGGTCACCGCGGTCGATAGCGATTGGCTCGTCACGCTAGCCACCATGCGGACCATGCCCGCCCGGTTGGCTTGGACTCGTACTCGGTAGGTTAGCGTTTGGCCCGCCCCCAGTTCGGCCACCGGGGCGAAACGGATCGTTTGCCCTTCGATACTCGGCTGCGAGGGACCACTCGTTCCAATCGCCACGGGAGAGAACTCTTGCGGGAGCCTTACCTCTACGACGATGTTACCATCGGGGGCTTGCCCTTGGTTTTGCACTCGAATCTCATAGGTTAGCTGCTTGCCCGCCTCTACAGGATCGTTGAGGTCGGAGAGGGTCATCGTCAAGCCAGCCGGTGGGCTTTGAATTTCCAGGCAGAACTCATCATCGGCCCTGAGCCCTCCGTCGGCGGTTACGGTCACCCGGTTGCAAGAACGTTCGATGGCCTGTGTGCAGCGGCAGTTGATCTCAAAGCGGGCCGTCTCGCCGGGAGCCAACGATGCTTCCGTCCAGACGAGGTCTTGGCCGACAATCTCATAGCCATCGCTCGCCTGCTGCGGGTCGAGGCTCGTATCGTAGTTGTCGACCACCTTTACATTCGTAAGCGGCACCTGGCCCGTGTTGGTGACTTCGATGGTGAACAGGGCCATGTTCCCTACGATCCGCGAGGATGGGCCAGTCTTGCGGACACGTACCTGTCCCGGTCCTGCGGGCGCGCTGGGTGGTTGTGTCTGAGGTGGTGGTTCACTGGGAATCGTCGCAGGCGGGGTTGTGGCCGGAGGTGCCGCAGCTGCTTCAACTGAAACGCAAGCTCGGGCAGTGGTTGCCACTCCACCGTTGGCCACGACTTCAGCCACGCTGCACTGCTCGCCGGGTTGGGTGGCGGTGAAGGCAATCTGGACGCGACGTGCCTGACCCGGTTCCAGGTTCTCAAGGTCACGTTCGATTGGGCTGGTGGCGATCTCGTGCTGAAGTCCAGGGTCGAAGCGGTTTACCAGGACCAGGTCGGTTGCCAATACATCGCCGCGGTTGGCAATCGTAATGTCGAACACCACCTGGTCGCCCACACGCACTTGGGGTGGGCCATTGATCGTCACGTCGAGCGAGGGCACAGTGACGGTGGTTGATACACAATTCTGGGCAGTGAGGCCTTCCCCGGTGTTAGCGGTGGCGCAGTTGTTGAACGTGCCTGCCTGATCGGCTCGCAGATTGACTTCGATCGAACGCAATTGATCGGCGGCGAGTTCACCCAAATCCCACTGCAGCCGTGGCCCGGAACTGGTGGCGGCCGGGGTGCTATCCAGGTAGCTCAGGCCTTGGGGAATGTCATTCAGGACCGAAACGCCCCCTGCGGCTACACCGCCGGGATTGGAAACATCGATGCGGTAGGTCAGCGTCGAACCGATGCTGCCGCGCGAAGGCCCGTTCATTCGTAGCGCGATGTCGGGCGAACTCCAGGTCTTGGCCGTGGCACCGGTGGCTACAACTAGACGAGGAGCGGCACCACCGGCGGTCTGTGCTGGCCGGATAATCTCAATCCGCACGTTGTTCGTGCCCGACTGAGGCTCGGTTTGGAAAATTTCCACACTGGCTTGCCCCGACTCGTCGGTCGGTACTTGTATGGCCGTAGCGCCGTCGGGGGCAAAGCCGGCCGGGGGACCGTCCACGATTTCGTAGCGAACCAGCCATCCAGCAATGGGGGATTGGTCGGTATGCCGCAACACCGTGGTGGTGAACACGTGCCGGGTACCTGCGGGATTCACTGCAGCCGGCGGGAAACTCCAAACCGCATCGACCCAATGGATTCGCGCGGCTTGCTTGTGCCCATCCCATCCGTACACGGCGGGAGCATAGGCCGAAAGATAGCTGGTTCCCTCAACTGGCGAAGTAACCGTCGCCCAGGTCTGCCCACTGAGGACCATCATGTCGTCGTCGACTATCGGAGTGCCCCGAGTGAGCGTGATGTTCTGCCGCAGGGTTTTACTGATGGCGAAGGTGGCATCGACCTTACGAGGCCACGAGTCCCAGCGGAGGAAAGGATTGAACATCGATGCGCCGTCGACCGCCACAAAGTGGCCCACGCCTGCTGGGTCGAGTGTCCACTCCACACGGCGACCGGTTTCCATGCGTCCGTTCGGACCATTTGCGCTGGCCACTATGGCTACTTCGCTATTCACTGGCGCGACCACGATTTGGGGCGCGACCGACAGACTATCTACCGCGTTGGCTGGCCTGGTGCCCGGCACAGGCTTCGAAGGAATCGTGACCGGACGAGCTTGCGGAGAACTTAATGTCAGCGACGGAGGAGGAGGGGAGGTTGCAATCGGCACGCCTGGCTGGGGCGAGACGAGCGGTTGACCGACCGTGGCAACCGGTGGTGAATCGAGCTGCCACGGTGCACAGCCTGAGGCGATGCAGGCGCATATCGCGAGCGCAAATCGAATGATCGCGCCGTTTCGCGTGTTGCCTGAGGCTTCCATCGCCACGTTTCAATCGACGTTTGCCCGCGTTATGTGGCACGCGACCCGGTCGCAGATGCCCACGGCCGTCGATTGGTTCCTTTGGGGGCCGTTTCCTAATACTCCTGAAAGGTACCATGCGCATTTGGCAACATAGGTTATTTTTTCAACGTGGGGCGTAGAGAAAAAAGAACACGGCCGCACAATCGATACGACCGCGATGAGAGTGCGCAGAAGAAGTCCGCAGCACTAAGTGGGTAGGGTAAGTCACACCCGTGTGGTACCGGGGTAGGGAAGATCGCGGAAAGACGTGAAGCGCATTTCACGGCGAGCACGAGCCTGCTAGTCGGCTCGTGACTCGCCAGATATGCACTAGAGTTAGCGCCCTATTCGATCGACAACGGCTATGTTGTCAGTCGGTCGTACAGCTCTTGGGCACTATTGCGATAGGCGAAAGGCCCAGGCGTTTCGAGCGCTCGCTTCAGCAGGCTCTTGGCTTCTTCGTACTTCTCACGTTCTGATGAGACGCAGGCCATGAAGAATGCCATGTCGGAGGTAATACCGTTAGTACCTCCGGAGATTCTGATGTTCCGTTCCGCCTCATCGAGACGGTGCATTCGGAATTGAATCCAGCCTAACGTAGCGTGTGCGAGGAAGTAGCGGCGGTCTGTCTGATCGAACCGCGAGGCATTCACTTCAGCCAGCGCCAGGGCACGCTCGTGCTTCTGCTCGTCGTCCTGGTCGATGAGTACCAGGGCCATTTGATTCGAGGCATCGAAGCTATTGGGCATCTGTAAATACACTTCTTGCAAAACCTTTTCGGCTGCAGCGTAGTCCTCCAGGTATCGCTGGATGATGCCCAGAATCAATTTCGCATCGTTGTCGTTGCCATCGAGTTGAACAGCCGCTTCGGCATGGCCCTTCGCTTTTTCGTATTGTTCGGTTTCCCACAGCCAGCGGGCGACCTCGCGACGGGTGCGTGCATCGGTCCGGCCTTCCTTCGCCGCAAACTCCATCCACTGATTGGCCTTTTCACGGTTCTCGTTCTGCTCGTACAACCGGCCGAGCGTCACCGCGGCAGGGGTGATCTCGTCTGATTTCGCGGCAGCTTCTTTTAGTGCTTCGTAGGCCTCTTTGGCGGTGCCCGTCTTGAACATCGCGATGCCGCGTTGCTGCATCAGTTGAGCATTCTCAGAGTCAAGCTCGAGCAATTCTTCTAATGTGGCCAGCACTTCGTCCCATTGCTTGCGGGCTTCCATCACTTTCGCTTGGCCTGTGAGCGCCCGAACGATGAATCGACGCTTTCGGCCTTCGTCACCATCGTATTTCTTTGCCAACTCTAACGCGTGGTTGTAGCAAAGTCCGGCTTCGGCCACGCGACCTTCTTGCCAGGCAAGGTCGGCGAGGGTGAGGTAACAGTCGGGATAGTCGGGGTTCTGGAGTGCCCCTTCTTCGAGTGCTCCGCGACCCAGCGAAATCTGATTCGCATTGAAATAGAGCTGGGCCAAAATCAGGTGGGCCGGAGGAAGATCAGGGTCGTTCTCACAAGCTTCCTTCAGAAGCTCGAGGCACTCGGTAATCTCACGCGAGCGGAAGCGGGCGTAAGCCTTTCGTAGCTCCGGTGAAACGGTGTCCTTCGACAAGCCGGTGACTTCTGGTGCACCTGTGGCTAATGGGGCGGCCACCGTCGACTCGTTGCTCCAGACCGCGACCGTGAGCAACAGCGCGGACATCGTAAGGAAGGGTAGTACCGAGGACTGGCGGAATGAACCTTGCCGGGTCTGGCTGTGTGGAAACTCGATTGAGTTCTGTGAGAAGAGTGTCATTTCAAACCCCTTGCTGCGGCTACTTGCCTGATGCTGGCCGAATCGTTTGTTTTACCTTCGTCTTGGTTTAACGAAGCCCCACTTTGCGAATCAGAGCAGCTTGCGGTGACTCGAAGACTCGCGTATCGAAATGGTTTGGTTAACCCGCCCGTGAGTACGATCACCAGACGAGTAGAGTTCTCTTAAGGTAGTACCCCGAATGAATTGGGCAGTACGTTCCCGCCGAGTGGCGTTGGGATAAGACTCACCGCCTTGCGTGGATTCGCAGACTTGGCAAATGATGCTTGGCCCCGACCCCACACAGCGGACAAGCGTTGTTCCGAACGCCTCCCGCATGGTCGATTATAACCTCACTTCAATCTCGCAGATTGCGAAAACGTGTCAAACGGTTTGGGGCCCCGCACAGCCTGCACAACTCACACAATCCACACAAAAACCCCTCCCTGCTGCCAGCGAGCCATTAAGACTCGTCTGGGGGAGAAGGGAGGGGTTTGGCGCTGGGTCGAATTCCATCCTGGAATCGCGTTACCGGCGGCTTCGCACATTGGCGAACAGGCCGGTGGCATACCAGATTCCATTCGAACCACGCTTAATATCGTAGCCAAAGCTCAAGTGACTCCCGCGGACCGCACTCCAGTGCCCGGGCGATTGGCGCCAGCTGTTGACGCATTCTTCGCAGGCCTCTACCAGGTTCTCACCTGGCCAGCTTTCGGCCACAACTTCCTGAGCGCCCGTGCCTCGCAAGCGAGCGCTGATGCGGGAAAAGCGGCTGTTCCAGCTATGATGGCCCTGATTGCGGATATCGGCCTGATAGCGGGAATGAGACTGGGCTTCGTTGGCCAGCACGTGGTTATGGTCGCCTTCGGTGCTGAGAGGGGCTTCAGGATGGGTGCGAACCGCAAAGATCATCGTGCGTTGGGTCAGGGTTCCCTCAGGCAGGTCGAGCACGACCCTAAACCGCTTCGTGCCGTAATAATGCCCTTCGGTAAAGGGGAACGTGCTTACCACATGCCCGAAATAAGGGGCTCCGGCGTGCATGTAGTCGATGACTGCCACACCTGAACGGCCGAGCATTTCCTTGAAAGAGGCATGTTTCAGCAGTTCGACCTCTTCGCCGCCACTAGTGGTTGTCGCGTCGATCGGCAGCCGGACACGCACATATTTCCCGAGCAGCTTCTTCACCTCCGTGTCGCTTAGCACGTTTGTTTCAAACGCCTGATTCACGTTCTCGGCGGCAGGGTCGTAGAAGTGAATGAGGAGGAATTTTCCGAGCACTTCCGCCTGACGGACGGCAGCAGCGTAGTCGGAATGCCATGTCAGCTCTTCTGTTTGCGTTTGGACAGTTTCTGTGGCCTTAGCTTGGGAAATACCGGCCGTTGCTACCAATCCAAGGATGGCTGGTATTACGAAACGAATCATCGTTCTCATCTCCATTAGTTCCGAAGTTAAGCTCTCGAACGAAATGCCCGTAAACTGCGGAGTGTGACTGGACGTCTTCATCAGGTGAGGAGCGTCACTACTACCATGCGGGGGGTATTGTCGGCCGAGAAGATGTACGCCTCTTGGTGGCGTGAGGCGAATGTAGTAGGTGGGGTGTTTGTGGTGAGTATTCCGATTTCGTGGTCTAGCGGATCGCAAAACCGAGACAATGGGTTTAGCAAGCAGTGCTGTCGAGTTCAAGCGGTCAGCCGTTAGATTTTTTGTTGTTTGTCGATGTTCCCTGGCTTACCGCAGTGCATCTTGATAGAAGGGAGAGTGAAGATTCTGCCTTCTCGGGCAGATTGACCGCCCTCGATGGAGCCAGAAGATGACCGCGTTGACGACGCGAATCGCCGGATGTGCGTTCGTTCTAATCTTTTTTGCTGCAAGTGCTTACGCAGATGAAGGGTCGCGACGTCAGCAGTTAATTCAGCGGCTGGACGAGCAGGACCGTTGGCTGGGCGCGGGCCAAAACGCTCAGAACTGGCGCGATTGGCTTCGCAACGACGAACTCCGGCAAATGCTGAACGGTTCTCAGCCCGTTGATCCGGTCGAGGCCGCAGAAATCCTGGATCAATACCAATCTGGGGTGCGAGGAGCCGACCATCGACGATTTGTGGCCGTCCGCCGGGCGCTCCGACGCTGGATCAGGCAATTGCCGACTGTTCCCGTCGACGAATTACCGGAGACGATCAGCTCGGCTCAAGATGCCGTTGTGAAAATCACTGATGTCGACATTGAGAAAGCGCATCAGCAACTGGTCCAGTCGGTCGAGGCCTTAGACGAGTACCTCACCCCCGGCGGAGACAACGGGCAAGCCTGGAAAGACTACCTGGAGTGGAACAAGCTTCAGGCTCAGCTGAAGGCCGATCCCTCGCAGGCCGACCTTGGAACCTTGGATGGCATCAACCAGCTCTATCAAGACTATTACGATGGTCTGGAACTGGAGATTTTTGCGAACGTATCGAAGGCTCTGAATCGGTTCATCGATTTGCGTTTGGCTGCTCACAGCGACCAGTCGGAGGGTGTTTTCAAGCAACGTATTGATGAACTTGCCAAAGCGGTCGAGGCCTACCAGGCCGACCCGCAAGGCGAGCAGTATGAACAACTCACCGACTTGGTGGCCTACCTAGCTCGCCGCCGCCAGGCCCCGCGGCTTTTGCAGCAAGTTCGCCTGAACTTTGCCGAGCCCAATCTAGTTGCTCAGGTTTCTGAGCAATTCGTTAACGCCGGCATGGATCGCGATGTCAATCAGGACGAACCGGTCAGCGACTGTATCCTTGGTACCGCCATCTCCGGGCAAGGGCACACTACCGGCGATGTAACGTTCAAGCTTATTCCAGATACCGAAGCGGGGGTTCTAGAAGCCGTATTCACTGGAACCACTCGCACGCAGACGCTGGGTGTGAATGGTCCCGCCCGAATTCGCTCGGCTGGGACGACTCAGTTCGAAGCAACGAAGAAACTGCTTCTCGATGCGGGCGGTATCCGTACTTACTCTGCCCAGGGTGAAGCTTCGACTCGAACCAGAACGCTCGGTGTTTCTAGCTCCAGCCGTTTTGGTGGACGGCTCATTTCCCGCATCGCTTCCAGAAAGGTTGCCGAGCAAAAGTCGCTCGGCGAACGAATTGCCAGCCAGCATGCGGCCGCTCAGATCAGCGAGCGATTCAATGCCCAGGTCGATGATGAACTAAGCGGTGAGAACGCTGGACTGTTCGATAAATTCCGTGCCCCGCTGGCACGTCGAAATGCTCTTCCACAGCAGTTCGATATCTCGACCACCGATCAGGCTCTGAAAATCGTCTGGCTGCAGAGCATGGCCGGCATCGGGGCTCCGACCCCCGCTCCGAAGTTAGAAGGCAACCCCGATGTGGCGGTTCGCCTGCACGAAACAATGGTGAATAACCTGGCTGCCGACATGCTGGGAGGACACACCCTCACCGAAGAGGACATTCGCGATATGTATCGCGAAATGGATGCCGAACTCCCCGAGTCACTTCAGCCAATCGAAGGTAAGGAGTCGTGGTCGATCACCTTCGCCCGTTTCAGGCCGGTTACGGTTCGATTTCGCGACGATCAGCTTAGTCTTACGGTGCGAGGTCGAGAGTTCACATCAGGCGATAGTTCATATCCTCGCCCAATGAATATCGACGCCAAATACCGCGTGGTACGAAACGATGGCAGCCTCCGGCTTCAGCGGGAGGGCGAAGTGGTGGTGCTTCCGCCGAACTTCCGTGAGGGGCAACGGCTGAACATCCGCGATACCACGCTCCGTAACTTGCTCATTCGCCGGTTCAATAAGATGTTCAAGGAAGAGTTCGTGCTGGACCGCATCGCACTGCCTGAGCAATTCGAGCAGCCCAGCAGTTTGGTGTCGGAGAAGTTCATTGCGAACGATGGCTGGCTCACCACCGACTGGACGCTTGATCAAACCACTCCCGTGCCGCAAGATGAGGCGGTTGCCAGTACGGTTGCCACGGGCCGCTAGCTTTCAGGGTTGGAAGTCGCGTCGGTTCTTTGTGGGAGGATCACCATGAGTTCGAGTGTGTCTATTACGTTCGACTGCTTACCGTTGCGATCGATCAATCGTCTCGACATTCCCATGGATGCTTCCCCGGCGTTTCGGGCTCGTTGTGAACGCATTTTGGCTGCCATGGAAAAGCACGGCAAACAAAACGCCTACTATCTTCACTCAGCTCGGTGTGTTTATCACCTCACCAATAGCGACAAGATCGGTATGTTGGAATTCGGTTTAGAAGGAACCGTGCTTACCGACGACAGCGATCAAAAGACCCGCGGTGCCGATCTAAGTGTGGAGCTGTTGCACGAAACTTGCGAATGGCTCTCTGAAAACATTGTCGAATGGTTTCAGGAGACGGTCTCCCGAGCCGTGATCGTTGAGTTCGACCGCTACATTGCCGCGGGCGATCTCGAGAAGACGGTGGCCCGCATCGAAAAGCTGCAATCGGAAAGCGATGCCCAAGGTGGCTTCGTAGGCATGTACCTCTAATTCTGGCTATTTCAGCCACTGTGGCCAGTTGGTTTGCTAGCGGTAGCAGCGTCTCAATTCGGCCCGACCCGCTCTCAATCGCGATTCTGCTAGCGATTCTCACGCACGTTAGACCCTTTAGGCTCACTGCCTGCGCGTATATGGGGTGAATGCGTTCTGTGAGTTGTTTGCATTGACTTCTCCGATCATTTCAACCCAAACGATTATGCAAATTCTTCTAAGTTTGCGGGTCAGTCGGTCGATACCAAGTTTGCCGATTCCTCGTCTGCGAGGAGAGGGTCCGCGTTGGCTTTGCTAGCACGAAACCCTCAGCAGTCACGAATCTGCCAAAAATCACACCGTCTAGGGCCTACGGCGGCCGGCGAAGCGTGTGACCGCAGGAATTCAGAAACAACGAGCGACACCGCTCCGTCAGACGACGCGAAATAGGAACGTGGATCTATGAGCCGACGAGCTTCAAAATCCCTCATCTTGCTAATGTGCTGCGTCTTGCTAGTAACGGGCTGCAAGCCGATCCAGCCTTTCTTCCTATTCGAAGACGGCGATCTGTCGCACTATAAGGGTGTGGCGACCGAAATCGAGTTCCCCGACGACTACACGCCGACCCTGGCTGAAGTCGAAGGCGCGCTTCCGCCGCTCACGCTTCGTAATCCAGAGACCCAGCAAATCTGGGATTTAAAACTGGAGGAAGCTGTGCAGATCGCTCTGGCGAACAGCACGGTCATCCGCACGGTCAACGGCAACGCCAGCCCGCTAGCGTTGATTTCATCGCCTGAAACGGCACCCTCGATCTATACCCCGGCGTTGGCCGAAACCGACCCGGTGCGTGGTGTTGAAACCGCCTTGAGTGCGTTCGATGCAAACTTCTCCTCCAGTATGTTCTGGGAGAAGAACGATCGGGCCGTGAACGTCGGCGGCTTGGGTGGGCTTATTTTCGCTCCTATTTTCGAACAGGACTTGGGAACCTTCCAGGCTGAAATCTCGAAGGTCAACGCCACCGGTGGTACCACCACGTTCCGACACAACGTCAACTACGAATGGAACAACAACCCTTCGCGGGCCATTCCCAGTGATTACAACGTGAACCTTGAAGCCGAATGGCGACAACCGTTGTTACAAGGTGCCGGTGTCGAATTCAACCGCATCGCAGGCCCCAACGCTCAGCCTGGCTTCTTCTTCAGCAATGGTGTGATGATCGCTCGAATCAACACCGACATCGCTCTGGCCGACTTTGAAGCAAACGTTCGAAATCTGGTTAGCAGTGTCGAAGATGCCTACTGGGAACTCTACTTCCAGTATCGCAACCTCGACTCGGTGCTGGCCGGTCGCGACAGTGCCCTGCAGACTTGGCGTAAGGTGAACGCTCTCTACACGGTTGGCTCTAAGGGTGGTGAAGCCGAGAACGAAGCTCAGGCTCGCGATCAATACTACTTGTTCCGCGGTCTGGTCGAGCAAGCACTCAGCCAACTGTACACCTCCGAAGCTCAACTGCGATATGTGCTCGGGTTGGCCACGACCGACGGTCGTCTGATACGTCCGGCCGAAGAACCGACCATCGCCCACGTCAACTTCAACTGGTGGGACGTGCATACCGAATCGATGGTGCGAAGTGTCGAACTGCGTCGCCAGAAGTTCCGCATCAAGCAGCGTGAACTGGAACTGGTCGCCGCACGAAACTTCCTCCTACCGCGATTGGACGCTGTGGGTCGCTACCGCTGGACCGGCTTGGGTGACGAGTTGATCGACCCGGATGGTTATGGGTTCAACCCCGACTCTCCGACGGGTGATCTTCCGGGTTCGAACGCCTGGAGCACTCTGACCGATGGTAACTTCCAGGAATGGCAACTCGGGTTACAAGCCAGCCTTCCGATCGGCTTCCGCCGCGAACTCTCGGCCGTGCGAAATGCACAGCTCACCTTGGCTCGCGATCGGGCGATCTTGCAAGACTTGGAGCTTGCTATCTCGCACGAACTCAGCGAGGCAATCCGACAGCTCGACCTCTCCTACAAGTTGGCTGAGACGAACTTCAACCGGCGTCGCGCTGCGGCAGACGAAGTGCGAGCCGTCGAAGTCTCGTTCGACGCCGGTGTGGCCACGCTCGACTTGGTGCTCGACGCACAACGACGACTGGCCGAGGCCGAAAGCGACTTCTTCCGGGCTGTGGTCGACTACAACCTGGCAATCAAGGACATCGAACTCCGCAAGGGCTCGCTCCTCGAATACGACGGTGTGTATCTGGCCGAAGGCCCCTGGCCTGGCAAGGCGTACTTCGACGCACGACTGCGTGCCCGGGAACGCGACGCCGGTATCTTCCTTAACTACGGCTACACCCGACCTCGCGTGTTCAGCCGTGGACCGTACGCTCAGATCACCGGACACCCGCACGATATGCCGATGGACGGGACGATTGAGTACGAGAACGTGCCGGCCGACGCCCCGCAGGAAATCCCAACTCCAGCCCCCACGCCCGCTCCGTCGGGTGCCCCGGGCGAACCGATCATGTATCGTGGAGGAACGCCGCAGGCCCAGCTTCAAGGCCCCGGACCTGCGGCGAGCATGGCACAGAGTGCGGCTCCCGCCAGCGACTTTAGCTGGGGGAGACTCGGACTCGACGCCGCAACCAGTACGGGAGCACCCGCGGCTAACCAAGGCATTCAGCAGGTCAGCCACGTTGAGCCGAGACCAGTAAACGCCCATGAAGCTATCCCGAATTCGGCGACTACTACGGCTAATCGATCTGCTGCAGAGTGGTCGGGGCCACACAACTAGTACGCTTGCTTTTGAATGCAAGGTTAGTCGGCGGACAATATTCAGAGACTTGGACATCCTCCGCGAGGCGGGGGTTCCGATTGAGTTCGATTCCGAAGACCAAGTGTTCCGCTTGGCGGGAGATAGCTTCCTTCCGCCGACGAATTTTACGCCGCAAGAAGCCCTGGCCCTGATCGTTTTGTGCCAGGAGCTGGGCGATCAAGACGGTTTGCCGCTGCTGCGAGATGCTCGCTCGGCGGCACTCAAGCTGGAAAGCTCGCTGCCGGTTTCCATTCGCGAGTATCTCCGCGATGTTTCGGGGGCGGTGCAGATCCAGATGCCGCCGACCAACCCGCTGATTGACAGCGAGCAAGTGTTTCAGCAGATCCTTGCTGCGGTCGATTCCAAGCTGTCGCTCCGAATTCGCTACGACAGCTTTGCCGAAGAAGAGGTGATCGACACCCTGCTTAGTCCGTATCGGCTGCTGTTCAGTCGCCGCAGCTGGTACGTCATCGGGCGGTCTTCCATTCACCGCCAAACCCGAACTTTTAATGTGGCTCGGATCCTCAGCGCTAGCTCGAACGGAGCGACTTTTTCCCTTCCCAAGGGATTCAGTGTCGAGCGGTATCTCGGCAACGCATGGCACCTGATCCCAGAACCGGGCCCGGACCAAGAGGTGCATGTGCGGTTCAAGCCGCTGGTGGCTCGAAATGTGGCCGAAGTTGCCTGGCATAAGACCCAGCAAACCTCTTTCGCCGAAGACGGTACGCTCGATTTTCGTGTGACGGTTTCGGGACTGAATGAGATCTCTTGGTGGATATTGGGTTACGGAGATCAGGCCGAAGTCGTCGGCCCGCTTGAGCTGCGTGGCTTGGTTGCCGAACGTTGCCGCAATGCCGCCCGGCAGTACGATGAGAATTCCGGCGATTGACGTTCTCGGCGATCGATCCTCACCACACTTCGTTCGGCCCAGTTCTTGCCCTACAATGGCCGCTCGGTGAAACGCTCTTGGGACACTGGGTAGTACAGCACACGAATGTTCATTTCGCTTGATGGCGTCGACGGGTCGGGGAAATCGACCCAACACAAAATGCTCTGTAAGTGGTTGCGGGAACAAGGGCACCAGGTCGTGGCCTGTCGCGACCCCGGCACCACGGCAGTCGGTGACGCGTTGCGAGATCTCATTCTCCAGCAGGACAAAGTCCCGATTGCTAAACGAACCGAAATGCTGCTGTATATGGCTTCTCGTGCCCAATTGGTTGCTGAGGTGATTCGCCCTGCCCTCGAGGAGGGAAAGACTGTCGTCTCCGATCGATATCTGTTGGCCAATGTGGTCTATCAGGGACATGCCCTGGGATTAGATGTCGACATGCTCTGGCAAGTCGGACGCATCGCTACCGATGGTGCGATGCCCGACTGCACGATCGTGCTCGATCTTTCGACCGAGGCTGCTTCGCAACGGATGAGCCGCGAGTTAGATCGCATGGAGCAGCGAGGCCAGGATTTTCACCAGCGCGTACGAGAAGGGTTTCTCAAGGAAGCCGAGAATAAGGCGAACCGTATCGCGGTGATCGATGCTTCGGCTGCGGTGGACGAAGTGCAGGCAAACATTCGGGCGGTGGTCCAAGCCATCCCCGGTTTCAGAGGTAGTTGAGATCCGATCATGAGTTGGCAAGGTGTTCAGGGGCACGACAACGTAGTGGCGTGGTTTCGCACGGCGCTCGAACGTGGAACACTGGCCAGCACCTTCATGTTTGTGGGACCTCCCGGCATTGGAAAGCGAACCTTTGCTCTGCAGCTTGCAAGCACCTTGCTGTGTAGCCGAGTCGCTGTCGACAAGATGACCCCCTGCGGGCAGTGCAGTAGCTGCGTGCAGATGAACTCGGGGACTCATCCCGATCTTTTACTTGTAAGCAAACCTGCCGATCGCGCTACGATTCCACTGAGCTTGTTGATTGGTCGCGATGACCATCGCATGCAGGAGGGTTTGTGTCACGACATCGGCCTGAAACCGTTTCAAGGCAATCGCAAGATCGCGATCATCGATGATGCGGACTATTTGAATGTTGAAGGCGCGAACGCGCTGCTCAAGACACTGGAAGAACCCCCGCCGCGTTCGGTAATCATCCTCATCAGCAGCAGTGCTGAATCGCAGTTGCCTACGATTCGCTCCCGCTCGCAGATCATTCGATTTCGACCGCCTCCTAACGAAACTGTGGCCGAACTCTTGCTCGCGCAGGGGATCGTCACTGGACCGGAAGAAGCTCAACGTTTGGCGGCCAGCAGCGATGGAAGTTTGGCTCAGGCCGCTGAACTGAACGACTCCGAGCTATGGGCCATGCGATCGAGGCTGTTCGCTGAGTTGGCCAAGCCTCGGCTGGATAGCGTGTCGTTGGCCGCCGCATTGATTGACTTCATCAACGAAGCCGGAACCGCTGCCCCACCCCGCCGCACCAGGGCCCGTCAGATGATTGGCTTCGCGGTCGAGTTTTATCGTCTGGCGCTACGCACGCAGAGCGGCGGAGAAATCGACGCGGATAGCGAGACGCGCCGTATGGTGCAGCGGTATGTCGACACAACCGGGGTGGATATCGAGCTGACCATCGCCCGGATTGGTCGATGCTTGACGGCGCTGGAGCATGCCGGGCGGTATGTGAACCAGGGTACCTACATCGAATGTTGGTTGGATGAAATCGCCCGTGCTACGCCTGAGGAAGTGGAACCGCAGATCTAACAGCACACGGTGCTGGGCTACGCCTCAGACTGCCCCTGGATGGTGAGCACGAGTCGCCTGCGACCGCCGTGGTTCCGGTGCTCGCAAAGATAGATGCCTTGCCAGGTGCCCAGGCACAGCCGACCTCGATGAATGGGAATCGTGAGTGAGCTTCCAAGCATCGAACTCTTCACGTGGGCTGGCATGTCGTCGGGGCCTTCGCAGGTGTGCCGATAAGGGAAGCTTTCCGGGGCAATCGCGTTGAACGAGCTTTCCAGGTCGACCGGCACGTCGGGATCGGCGTTCTCGTTGATCGAGAGCGACGCGGAGGTGTGCTGAATAAACACGTGGAGTAGCCCGATTTCGATATCCCGCAACTCGGGTATCGACTCGACCACGTGCGAGGTGATGATGTGAAACCCGCGAGGAAAGGCGGGTAGCTGTAGCTCGTGGTGCAGCCATCTCATGGTTAGATTCTCAGGTGCGGGCGGTTTTTCGAGGGGGCAGACTGGAAAATCGACGGATTCTGTGGCCGATCGTATAATACGGCTCGCCTTGGCGGATTCATACGGTTACTGAGTGAAACCCACCAGGCAGAAAACATCGCGAATGGGCGGTTACCCGATTTGAAAGGCTGGGCGCTGCTATGCCTTGCGAGCATCTCAAAGAGCTTTACGACCTCTGCAACGAGCACAATCTTCAATTGAGCAGTTCCGATGTGATCCGCATCGTGTGCCCACACTGCGAAGTTGAGGAGACCTGTCCTTCAGTCCACACCGCCGAATACGAAGCCAGACATGGCGCAGACATGCAAGGCCCCCCAGATGGTGGAAAGGATTGAGACCCTCGCCTGAGCGGACCCATCGAACTGGGGCGATGAATCAATTTGATGCAATACGTGAAATTTTTCACTAACTTGCTTGACATCGCTGTAGACGTGGTAACAATCAAGTATCAAACGACTTCGCCGCTCAGTAATTCCCCCACACGAGGCCTTGATGACCCGCCTGCCTCAGAACCTGAAGTAGCGTGCGAACAATTGATGCAAGTTGCTAAGGCCCTCTTTCGGGGGCCTGTTCGATAATACTCCTGGAAATAGGACTTCCAATAGGTGTCAGTTGGACAGTAATCGCAAGGCAGTGATGCTGTTCGTGTTAGGTGAAAGTGATTGGAGTTTGTTGCGATGCGGAACGTATTTGAGGCAATCCTAGAGACCGGGCACGACGAAGACTTTGTTCCGGTTGAGACCGCGGATTTCGCTGCCACCCACGCCCCGGCCGGCTCGAGTGAGAAGATCGAAGCCCTGGCTCGCCGCGTTGAATTGGGCCTTCCCCTGTGGCATGCAGAAGACCGCGCTGACTACAGTGGACTCACCGGTGCTATTCGTCCCCGCGAGTAATTGCATCCACTAAGTGTCCAGCCCCTGCCGTGTGTTGGCATTGTCCCGCCTTCCACGAGTTAGAGCAGCTTCCCTCATTAGGAAGCTACCAACACAAAAAGAGCCGGCCTCGCGAATCTACGAAGCCGGCTCTTTTTTCATTGCAAGCACAGTGAGCCGTCCGGCATCGCAGCCAGACGGTAGCGGGTTGGCCGCTAGGTCGACTCGTCTGATTTCTCCTGAGCCGCCGCCTGCTCTTGCTGACGGGCCTTCTCGGCATCAAGCTCGGCCTGAGCTGCGATAGACGCCTGTTGAGCTTGCTGGGCCTGTGAGGCGGCTTTCTCGGCGGCTGCTCGCATCTCGGTCACTTGCTGCTCGGCGGCCGCCTTATCTGCGGCCAGCTTGTCGGCCGCGGCTTTCGTCGCAGCGGCTTGTTCGGCGGCTGTTTTTGACTGGGTGGTGAGTTCTGTAACCGACTTTTGTGCGTCTGCCAGTTCGGCCTTCGCCTTTTCCAGGGCGGCCATGGCGGCGGCAACCTGGGCGGCTGCCTGTTCGGTGGCAGCCGTCCGCTCGGCGGAGAGCTTGTTGGCAGTATCCAGCTGTGTGGCGGTTTGAGTGGCTGTCTGAGCGGCCTGGGTCGCATCTGTGGCCGCCTTCGTGGCGTTGGTTACCATCTCGGCCAGCTTTTTCTCAGCTTCGGCCAGCTTGGCTGCCAGTTGTTGCTGCTCGGCTGCCGCGGCTTCGGCCGCCGACTGACGTTGAGTCGCGACCATCTCCAAGGTGGGTGGATTGGCCTGCAGGTTTGCCACACGGGTACCGTCGTCTGACTTCCAAAGTCGCAACTCGCCGTTCCAGTCGCCCCCCAGTACGCGTCCTCCGTCGTGCGTGAACGTGGCTTCCAAGGCGATATCGCCGAAGGCCTCGAACGTGCGCTGGGCTGCTCCGGCCCCGTCCCAAGTTTTCACGGTTTTGTCCCGTCCAGCGGTGACGAGTCGTCCATCGTGGGTGTAGCGGACCGACAGCGTTCCACCGCCGTGCGCTCCCCAACTCTTGATTTGCTTACCACCGTTCATCTCCCAGAGACGCACAGTGCCGTCTTCGCTGGAAGAGGCCAGCACATTGGAATCCAGACGCCAGCTCACATCGGTGATGGCCGCCGAGTGGCCCTTTAGGTTCAGGTACTCGCGAGCTGTGCCCGACTCCCAGACGAACATGCCGCCGTTGCGATCGGCCGTGGCGAGCAACACTCCGTCGGGGCTGTACTCCAGCGCATAAATCCATTCGGTGTGTTTGCGGATTTCGTGCAATAGGCTTCCGTCGGCGGTGGAGTAGATCCGCACAACGCGGCTAGGTCCGCCGAGGGCGATTTGGGTGTGATCTTCGTTGATGTCGGCAGCGAGAACGGCATCGAGTTCATCACCGACTTCAAACACGCGTTCACCGGTTTTGACGTCGAACACGACCACTTTGCCTGCAAAGGAGGAGCGCCCACCTCCGGCCAGCAGGAGTGAGCCGCTACGGCTGAATTTCAGCACGTAGGCGATCCCCTCTGGGAATGGCAACACGCCGATCAGATCAGCAGTGTCGCTGTTGTAGAGCAATATCTGTTGTTGCCCGGCCACGGCAACCACCGGGGCCCAAGGGCTTGATGCCATGGCCGAGTTCGCTGCCGGGCGATCGGTGTAAACTACGGGCTGGCGTGAAAGCCCCTGCGGCATGGCCGCCTCGCCTTCGGGTTTCCCCGAGCCTGCGGTCATGGCCAGGTCGACCGCGGGCTTCTTCTTGATCACGGCTTTCGAACCGGAGTTCTCCAGCACGCCGCCTTCGATCCAGGCGCGGATGACGTTCAACTGCTCTTCCGGAATCTTGTCTTGATCCGGCGGCATCTCGGGCGATTCCTGATGGGTCATCAGGAGGTAGAGTCGCGAGGCCGAAGGGTCTCCCGGCTCAATTGAAGCTCCGCCGGCACCACCCGTCATCACAGCCGCATAGCTGTCCAGCGCGAGATCGTTCGTGGCATCGTCGCGGTTGTGGCAGATAAAGCAGTGCTCGCGGAAGATCGGCTGAACGTGATCTACGTAGGTGATCTTTTCCGCCTTCTTCTCTTCTTCGGCCCGAGCTGTGGTGCATTGCCACGCGGAGGCCATCAAGGCGAGCAGGCCGAAGGTTGTTGCGATGCGGTTCATGATGATGGTTCAACTCCGTACGACGAATGGCGTCGCGATCTCTGTTTCGGGCAGTGCCAATCAGAAAGGGGGTAGCCGGTCCGATCGACGATCTGTTAGTGGTTGAATATGAACTCACGCGAATTGAGCAATGCCCAGAACACGTCTTCGAGTCCTTGTTGGGGGTTTTCCGCCTCGGTCACCACAGCCATCAGGTTCGTGGTTTCTTCAGGCGTGGGCTGCCGTGTTAGGCAACGGACGTAAAGGTTTCCGATGATCTCTTCCGGCGACTTGCCTTCGTCCAGCAGACGCTTGATGACACCGCCTTGCGAAATTTTCACGTGGGTGTTCTCGCCGTTCAGTAGATGCAAGGCCTGAGACAGATTCGGCTCGGTCTTCGACTCGCAGGCACAAACGGTGGTGCGAGTTGAGCGACCAAAGGTCGAAAGGAAGTAGGTGCTGGTTCCGCCGTCGGCAATCTGCACGGCCGTGGCACCAACCGGCAGCCCTTTGAACTTATCTTTGGTTTCCGTGATCTGGCTGATGCAATCGAGCAAGTTCTCGGCTTTGATCCGCCGCAACTGGCTTTTGGCGAAATTGGTGTTATCTCGGGCGTTGCTGTCGTTGGCCTGTGTCGAACGTTGGTAGGTGTTTGAATTGCAGATGTCGCGAACCAACTGCTTGAAGTCGTAGTTGTACTCGGTGAACTTCGCGCCCAGGGCTTCGAACAACTCCGGATTGCTAGCCGGGTTGCTCACGCGGATATCGTCGATGGGTTCGACAATGCCGATGCCAAAGAAGTGGGCCCAGACACGATTGGCGATACTAGTGGCGAAGTAAGGATTGTCGGGAGAGGCCAACCATCCGGCCAACACCTCGCGACGATCTTTGCCCTTCACATCGGGAACTGCCCCGCCAAGAAACTTGGGTGGCATCACTCGTCCGCCGACGGGGTGTTTCACTTCTCCTCCGCCGGAGTTGAACACAATGGTTTCACGATAGTCTTCACCGGTCTTCCGCCCGATTTGGGCAAAGAAGGCGGCAAAGCTGTAGTAGTCGTCCATCGTCCATTGATCGAACGGATGGTTGTGGCATTGAGCGCACTGGGTGCGAATGCCCATGAAAACCTGCGCGACATTTTCGGCGGTCTTCAGCGTGTCCCGTTCTCGTTCATAAAAGTTAGTTTCTGGGTTAGTGAAGGTTCCTCCGGTGGCAGCCAACAGCTCCTGCACCATCGCATTGATCGGAACGTTGTTCGAGATCTGATCGGTGAGCCAGTTGTTGTAAAGGAACATCGACTTGTAGCTGATTTGATTGGTGGAGCGAATCATCAGGAGTTCGGCCCATTTCATGGCCCAAATCTCTGAGAACTCTTTTCGCTCCAGCAGTTCGTCGATCAACTTCGCACGCTTGTCGGGAGAAGTGTCGGCCATAAAAGCCGAATACTCCTCCGCAGTAGGTGTGCTGCCTGTGATGTCGAGGGTGACCCGGCGCAGGAAGATCTCGTCGGTGCACAGCTCGCTGGGCAAAACGCGAACCTTGCGGAGCTTGGCGTCGACAAGTTCATCGATGTAGTTGACCGGATGCGATTCCGGCGGGGTGTACTGCAGGTCCTTGGGCAGGACGAGCATCTGCGAGCCGACGGTGAACGTCTCGAATCGGGCCATCACGAAGGCTTCGCCAGGGGCAGCCGCGGTAATCAACCCGTCTGCACTCACTTCGGCCGAGTTGTCGTTGTTCGACGAGAACACAGCCAGGTTTGTTACATCGCGATCGGTTCCGTCGGAGTATTTCGCCCGAACGACGGTTTGTTGTGTGGCGCCTTCCCCTTCCAGAACGGCTTGCTTGGGGAAAAGTTCTACGGCGACCACTTGCGGCACTTCGCCCTGATCGTTGGGGGCGCCGGCCTTCAACCATCGCAGCATGGTTTCATAGTATTCACTATCCTTCGTGAATCGCTTGCCACCGGTGTGGGGAACAGAACCGTCGCTCTTTTCCATCAGCAAGCTCTGCTCGGGCACGGCAAGGTTGATGCGACGGAAGCCAATCTCGCGGGTCAGGCTGTGATGATCGGCGTTGGGATCGAACCCGAAGAGCGACAGGCTGAATCCGTCCTTACCGCGAGCGGCACCGTGACAGCTTCCGGTGTTGCAGCCGGCACGCATGAACACGGGCATGACGTCGAGGCGGAAACTGATCGGCCGATCGTTCTGGGCATCTTTCACCACGACCGGTACCTTTACCGTGTGACCGGCGAAGTCGATCTGCATTTCCGTTTGCCCATCGGCCACCGGGTACAGCGTGGCGTTTTCGAGCTTAGTGAAAGATTCGTCGGCCAGTTTGATCTGCACTTCGGAGGTGACGTCTTTCGTCACACCGTCATCCCGCGTTGCCACGGCGATGAAGTGCTGCCGATCGCGAACGTTGTCTAGCAACACATCGCCAGGAAATACCTGGAGCGAAGTCCAATTGGGCCCTTCAGCCGTAGCCAGTTGCGTACTGCAGATGCTTGTTAGCAGCACGAGCAGTAGCTTCATGCGACTTAGGCGAATCCCGTTCATCGTGGTCTCTCCCTACGGTTGCACCGTCTAGCGATGCGGTGTTATTCGTGACCGACTCACGTGTGTCGCGAATCGACTCAGTTTTGCTTTTGCTTGGTTACTCAGATTTCTGTTCTTCGGCCGGAGGTGTTTCGGCGGGCTTCTCTTCCGAACCCTCTGCCGGTTTCTCCTCAGCAGCCGCCTTTTCGGCAGCGGCTTTCTCCGCAGCGGCTTTCTCTGCAGCGGCTTTCTCTGCAGCGGCCTTCTCTGCAGCGGCTTTCTCCGCGGCAGCCTTTTCAGCAGCAGCCTTTTCTTCTGCCGCCTTCATGGCCGCTTCTTTGGCATTCTTCCGATCGAGACGTAGCTGTTCCAAATAACTGAGGCGTTTCTCGGCCGGGGGCATCGGCTCGGGCTTCGCTTCCGGTTTGGGTTCCGCTGGGGCGTCGGGCTTCGGTGGCAGCGGCTCGTCGACCCGCAGCTCTCCACCGCCGATCATGTGAGTGATCGGTTCGTCATTGATCGTGACGATGGCACGACAAAGTAACGTCTTGTGCTTGCCGGCGGGGGAGTTGGCGGTTGTCTTCACGTGGAACACACCTTCGGTCGAGTCTTTGGTGATCTCGATTGGCTCGGCGGTCACTTCGTTGGGCAGGCCAAGCAATTCGACTTTGGCGGCCCCTTCGAATGGTTTGCTTTGAGTGATCTTGATGACCACATCGGTCTCCTTGCCCTTCTCTACCGCGGCCGGTTCGAATGTGAAGGAAAAGAAAGGTTCACTCACTTCGAGGTCGGCTAACTGTGTGGAGACCAAGACGGGGCCGTTTCCTACGGTGGCCTGACCGGTAACCGCGATCTTCCAGGTTCGCACTTCGGCGTTACCGTTGGCGTTCAAAGGAATCGTGGCTTCTGTTTGCCCCTCGCCGATGGAAACAGAATTCTTCGCGCCCGTTCCCGTGGGGCTATACAGCATTCGAATGGCGATGGGGGCGGTGAAGCCTTCTTCGCGAGTGGCGACCACGCGAAGATCCATGTTCCCACCGCGAACCAACGGCACCTTAGGTTGCACGATCTCGACCTTGAACGGCACGGCCTCGGTGACGGCCATCCCCATCCGTTCAGTTCGATGTTGCCAGACCTGAATGTTGTTGCGGCCGCGAACGAGCGATGTGAGCTGAACCAGGTGCCCTTCGATGTTCAAGTTCTCGTCGACCGTTTTACCTACGACATCGACAGTTTCACCTGCGAGCTCGGCCTCCGGCGTAGCTTCGAGCAGGACAGGAATGTCGCTTCGATTGCCTCGCATGGTGACCGTTTCCATGTTCACACCTGCGGGCAGGTTGGGCATGGTTACGTTCAATTCACCACCGAAGTTTTCTCGCTTCGCACTCACCAGGAATACCGTGCGGTTGCCTTTGGGAACTGACACGGTTGTGTCGACGTACTGCTGACGCTCGGGCAAGCCCATGCTCAGAAGCTGTTCGACGGGTGCCACTTCGCAACGGTAGACGAAGGTTGGTCCGCCACGATTGAGATGATCGCGGATGTAGATCACATATTCGTCGTCTTCCGGCGCGGTGAATCGTAAGTAACTGTCGGGTCCACCAGTGTCGTCGTTGCCGCCAACGCCGGCTCCGCCGATGCGATTGACATTCAACACCGAATCGAGCGGAGAGCGAAGCGAGCGGGCCATAACCCTAATATCAAGCACTTGCCCTTTGGTGGCCTTGAACTTGAAGCAGTCGACGTCGCCTTCCGTTTCCAGGATGCCGTTTACCGCCGAAGGTGCGTTGAACGCGGTCGCCTCAGCGGGAGAGTTATTGGGCTCGGCTTCGAGCACATTCTCGAGAGGGCTAAGCCGGAATTCGTTGGCCGAGGGCGCAAGGCCCTGATCGTCTTGAGCGAAGAGCCCGAAGTTGGAAGGAGCTTCGGTGGGTAGTGTTATCGTTTCGGTAACCTCGCCCGCGGGGTCGCCCAGCCAGCGGATTTCGGTCGCTTGACCGAATTGCCCGCCGGCAGGATAAACCGCTCTTGGTCGAGGGAAGGTACCGACGTGCAATCGATAAGTGCAGGCACCACTTCCCCCATAGGCACTTTCGCGGACTTGCACGACATAAGGCCCGTCTTCCGGGGCGATGATGGAAGCCACCCCGTCTTGATACACCAAGGCGGCATCGTCCGAGCTGGCGATCTCGAAGCGATCTTTGTTCATGATCGCCACATAAGGATCGAAGAATGTGTTGCCCAGGCGGATGCCTTCGATCTCGGCCGTAATTCGCTGACCCTTGGTGGCGTTGACCAGGTAGAAATCGACGTCTTCGTTAGTGACGACACCATTCACTGTGACGTTGAGGTCGATGGCTTGAGGTGCATCGAATTCGCTATTCGGTTCAGCCTCGGCCACCGTGGGGAGAACCCCAATGCTGAGCGTACGAAGGTTGCTGACCCCCGTGGCCGTGCGAATCCGCATGCCGTGCTCGCCCGGGCGGCAGTCGCCTGCAATGTTGAGCGTGACCTTTACGTTCTTCTCATCAGCGGGGGCGAGGCTTACTACCTCGATGCCTGGCTCATAAATCAGCAATTGCTGTGCATCGCCCAGTCGATCGCCGCTGAAGGTGAACTCGAGTTGTTGTCCGCGCTGGGCACCAATCGGGTTGATGGCACCTAGCGATGGGTTGGCTGCCGATACGAGAGCCGGTTGAAGACTCAAAGCGAGGAAAGCCGGAGTGAACAGGCTGAAAGTCCAGAGTGGAAATCTCAGCGAGCTTCGTTCGGTTTGCGTGAGGCCCAACTGCTTCTGGTTCAGGGCGAATCGCATGAATTCAATTCCTCGTCTGACAAATGTGTAAACTTTTTCGCGACACCTGGGGTACAACCTTGCGAGTTCTTTTCTCTTCGCCCTGAACGCTAGCCATCAAGCAGCCACGCACGCTGTTGGCATGCGCGCATCAGGGGCGTAAGAACGACGAACCAAAAAGGATGGGTCGCGGTTGGCGGTTTACTTCTTTTAAGGCGGGGGCCACAGCTCGAATCCACTTCAAGCTGCAGTCTCGGTTTTGAAAACGATGCGGTGGCATCCCTGGCCACCGTGAACGTCCTCTTGAGGCGGGAGCCTTCAAATCTCCAGCTTAAGCGGCCCTCTCAAGGGGGGCAACAAAAAGTAGAGAGATTCGAAGGGCGTCGAATTCGGTGCAGTTTCCTTGGTTGCGGATTCGATTGTATCAGGTCGATGGCTTGGATTTTCGAGACTAGGCCAACAAGTCTTTGCAGACCTTGCCCCCGTCAACGATTTCGATCGGGCGATCGCCAGGAGCCATCAGCTCTTTGTCAGCCACGATTCCAAGTTGGTTGTAGATGGTTGTCGCAATATCCGGCGGTTCGATCGGGTTGTCTTCCGGCTCGCTGGCCACCGCGTTTGAAGTTCCATAAATGGCACCTCGCTTGATGCCGCCTCCAGCGAGTGCGATGCTGAACACCTTGGGCCAGTGATCGCGACCGTTCGTGCCGTTGGTCTTCGGCGTGCGGCCAAACTCGCTGGAGACCATGACCAACGTTTCGTCTAACAGACCCATGCGGTCAAGGTCGGTGATCAACGCGGCATAAGCCTGATCGAACGCAGGCATGAGGCGTTTCATACCGCTGGCAACATTGTTGTGCATGTCCCAACCGCCGTAGGTCAGTGACACGAATCGCACACCAGCGGCGACCAAACGTCGGGCCATCAACATTCGCTGGCCGGCTTCGTTGCGACCGTACTCATCACGGATCGCATCGGGTTCGGCGTTGATGTTGAATGCCTCACGCGCGTCTTTCGAACTGACCAAGCTGTATGCTCGATCGTAGAAGGTGTTCATCGCGTCCAAGCTGTCGGACTTTTCTTTTGCGGCGAAGTGAGCGTTCACTGCCTCAAGTGCCGTACGACGACGGGTGAACCGCGACTCGTCTACTCCTCCCGGGAGATTGAGGTCGCGAACGGTGAAGTTCTTGTTGGCAGGATCGGCCCCCAGGCTAAACGGGGCGAATGAAGAGCTGAGATAGCCGGTGCCGGCGTATTCGTTCGGCTGATTGGGCACACACACGTACGGTGGCAGGTTGTTGCGAGGACCGTATTCGTGGCTGATCACACTGCCCATGCTGGGGAAGACCAATGCAGGACTGGGACGATAACCCGTGAACATGTTGTGCGTGCCGCGTTCGTGGGCTGCTTCGCCATGTGTCATGGAACGAACGACGGTGATCTTGTCGGCGATGGCAGCCGTCTTGGGCATGGTCTCGCAAAACACCTCACCCGGGATGGCCGTCTTGGTGACGCCAAGCTCTCCGCGATATTCAATCGGGGCGTAAGGCTTGGGATCCCACGATTCTTGGTGGGCCATGCCACCAGGCAGGAAAATGTGAATTGCACTCTTCGCTTTGGCTTCGATGAAGCCGTAGTCTTTCTGCTCGGCTTGTGCCGATTGCATCTGGAAAAAGTCGGCCAGCGTTATTCCAACACCGGTGAGAGCACCTGCAGCGAGAAACCCACGCCGACTAGGTCGATAAACATAGCGACTCATGATGATCTCCAAAGACCTGGTACGCCGAGCGTCCAGCATCGATTCTTAAATTGTGGCGGGATCAACGCAATCCGTAGCAGTCTGCCACTTCGGGTTAGGCTCGTCAGGGTGAGCCTGGGAAGATTGTTATGCTTCTTAATTGCGTCAACGTAGGGGGGAAGGTGTTGTTGGTAGGCCAACAGGCGAAGTTGTAATTCGTGGCCCGTTGAATCCAAAGAAAACAACGTTCCAGCGTGTGTACTTCGCTTGGGACGCAGATTATCCGAACGGAGGTCTGCTGTCAAAGATTTTCCGACCGGCAAAACCCCACGGTGGTGTGGAGACACAGGTCTGGTTGAGACCAGGAGATCCCTGCCTCTAAAGGCCCTAGGTCAGCGCCAACTAATGTTTATGAAAGAGGTTGCGTCACATCACTTAGAGTGAAGTCAGCCATCGGAAGTTCCTGGAACTCCAAGCCGTGGGGGAACTTCCCAAGAATTGGCCTTGGTCACATCAGGCAGTGTGAGAGACGGCGTCGCGGCGCCAGATGCGTGGCTGTTCAGATCCGCTGCCCGACGGGCAAGGCCGACACTGGTGACTTGCGGCGTGGCTGGCTAATCGCAAGCCACCAGTGTCGGGGTTGTAGAATCGCTGCTTGAGCGGAGATGATGCCGATTCTCCGTGAACGCAGCCGATTTTTTCTGGCATCTGGGAGCGGTGGGCCGAAAACCTACTCGCAGATGTCCATTGCAAGGGTACAGAATTGCAATCAGCCTGCCGCGGAGACTGCAGGCACTGGGCCGCTATCCAAGGGTTTGGCCACCGCTGAGACGATTTCCAGCGGTTGGTCCTCAAGCGGCTGATCGTCGAGCTCTGCTCTGAGCACGAGCATGTCCGCCGGGGCTTCGATTCCCAGCCGAACCTTGTCGCCCGCCAGTCGGACGACCGTTACGACGATTGAATCGCCGAGTTTGATTTTTTCACTTTGCCTGCGAGATAAGACGAGCATGTGTTCCACCTCCATGTAGAATATTAGTGAAAGTATGTATACTAATTGGCGTCACGCTTGTCAAGCAAACGCCCAAAATTATCTTGTGGCCGTGAAGCCGCTTGGTGCTGCAATCCCCAACCGTCTTGTCCATAAGAACTTGTTGGTTTTTGCGATGCTGCCCTCAGCGATGGTGGCTCCTTCGCACCAATGCCCCTGGGCCGCAGATTGCGAGGCGACGTAGCAAGAACTAGCTGGCCGCCTCGCTTAAGACTTCGGTGTTCTCAAGGCTTGGAGCGTTAACCAGCGTGGTCTTCTGGAATCGCTCGCCCGTCGAACCGTAGAACAAGATGGAATTGCCGTCGGTTTCCCAGATCGCGGTGTAACGGACCGAACGGGGGCCGTGCAGGCAGAAATACATTCCGCATGGTTCCCCTCCGCGTAACAAGATCCGTTCCGTGACGGGGAAGGCATCAATCTCGAGTTCGTCGTGGATACATAGTGTTTGGGTTACGTACTCTCTTAGTTGATCTATTGTTTGCAGCTCGTGAGAACTGGTAACCATGTGCAGGGTGGTCTCCGGCTAGCGCCTACCCTCAGAAAGATGGAGTTGGTTGTTCAGGCAGGCGGGATGAACAGGGGGGAATAGCGATAAACTTAGCTATCGGCACAATAGGCAGATTACTTGGCTGCCGAATCCGTCAATTTGGGGTGTGTGAGAAGTTTGTGAAGATCGTCTTTGACGTTCGTTCCGTTTAGGCAAGATGTCGCGCTCGGCGGTAACCCGCTGGCGCAACCATTAAGAAGCGCACCGCTCAACCGGCGCTCTCCTTCAATTGAGCAAGCGCTGCGGTGCCTGTCACTACTTGCCTGCGAAAAGCTTATTCCTCTTTGGAATACTTTTCGAACTCTTCCGCTACTTTACCGACCTTCTCGTCACCCTTGTGGAACAGGAATCGATATCGCAGCGTGATCGATTCGCCCTCGGGTAAGGTGAACTCACCGATCGGCTCCTCGGTGTGCTGAAAATCGTGCAGGCCGAAAGGGTTCGCCGCAAACAGGCCATACGTGCGTACGTGCCAGGTGGTGGGATAGCGGAAACTACTGGGGTGGTTCATCACGGCAATGCCCAACTCCTCGTCCTCTACGGGCCCGTAATAGTCGACCCAAGGAGCGGGTTTTCCCCAAGCTGAGAGATTAGTTTGCCCTTCGGAGTTGATAATTCGACCGTTGGGTTTGCCGCCACGTTGCTCGACGTCCATCGTGCTAGGAATGCGAATCCCCATCGTGCCTTCCTTCGTGTCGCCGAACACCACTGGTCCTTCGCTAGCAGTGAGCGTGATATCGAAGTCGATGATGCGGGAATCTTCGTTGGCCTGAAACTTTATCAAGCGGCGATCTTCCAGCACTTTCTTGCCGTCGGCATCGACCCAATCGTTCAATGTTTCAATCACGGCCGGCGAGCCACTCTCAGCTCGGACAAACTCGCGATGAACGATCTTTCCGCGGCCGCTACCTTCAGCCCAAAAATCCACACCGTTCACGTCGCCATGGGTAAACCAAAGCGATCGGTGATGGCCGTGATCCCAACGTTCGCCCTTAACCTTTTCCATGGGAAACGATCTGGTCATGGCCTTGCCCGTGGGGCCAATGATGGGCCACAGAATGGGCTTGGCTTTGCTCTCAGTGACATACTCGGTGAACAACTCGCCGTCGACCTTGACTGCCTGGCCCGCATCGCTGGGCTCGACGGTGACTTCGGCGGCAACTGAACGTTGACCACAAGCGATTAGCATGACCGCGGCGAGTAGTCCTGCAGTCATGATTCGACATCGAGATGTAGCTTGAGCCATCGAGAGACCTTTCATGGGGTATTTATTCCTTGCTGTGTGCTGATGTTGTGGAGCGCCGATGGCGGAGCTAGGCGGGAATGCCCATCGGTGTACCAAGACGACCTGAGTCGCGGGTTACGCCGAAGAACCGAGAATGCATGGTAATCACCGCTGAAACGGCATTCCAGTCGCACGGCCCCCGGGTGGGGTGAAGCACCATGCCGGTGCTATCGGACAACCTCCAAGTCGGGCCGTTTGCGGCCGATTCGCCATGCCGCGAACGCTCCCACCGAGGTTTTGGCAATTTCGAGGCGGACCAGGTTTGGCAGGGAGTCCACAACCTGCAGTCCGTGGGCGGTAATCCCGGTGTTGCTCAGGGTGAGGTATTGCAGGCTCGGCGTGGCTCCCAGGGCCTCGATGCCGTCATCGGTCACGCGACTATCGGTGAGGTCGAGCGATTGCAGTCCGCTAAGCACGGCATCTTCGGCAAGAAGTTCGACTAGCTCAGCATCCCCTACACGCGCGCCGCGCAGGTTAAGGCCCACGATTACCTCATTGATTTGGGCAAAATCCTCGCCGATTTCTTCCCGTAGCCACATGAGTTCTTCCACAAAGACATCGCCGCCCAATTCCCGGACCCGAGTGGTGAACACCTGCTGCTCGATGTACCGCTCAACTGAAGAACCAAGCCAACGGGTGCGGCTGGCCAGGAAGGCAGAGTACTCAAGAGCCTTTTCATAGGCTTCCTGAATTGCACGGAACTCGGCTACATCGCCGCCATGATCGGGATGCGCTGTGCGAACCTTGTCGCGATAGGCCTGCTGAACGTCTTCTGGCGAACAAGGCAGCATCAGACCAAGGGTGACCAAGAAGTCGGGTCGTCGGTCCATGATATCCACTTTTCACAGAGCAGATTGCCATCAGAGCCGACAGTCGCGGCTTTGCCCCATTCTCAGCCAAGCTACCCCGCAGGTCAAAGGGCTGGGGTGGTCGACCGGAACCAGGTCAGAAACTTGCCCGTGCGAAAGAGTTGAAACCTCGCTGGAATTCAAATACTGCTGCCAAGCTGTTCTCGAGTGCAGGCTCATGATCCGAATCCGATGGTCCGGCTTGTTCTGACGCTATTGCTGGCCCAGTCATGAGGTCACATCATCTCGGTGCGACACGACTTCCTTGCTTTAGAAAGCTGCCACGGAGGAACTCCGCTGTGATTGCGGCGCGTGGCAGAGAACGACAACGAATCAACAGGCGGCAACCAACAATCAACGACTACTTACGGGCGGCTTGTTGGGGGGCGGTGCGTTGTTGGAATTCGGTGAATGGCACTTCGCGGTACTCGGCCATGTTTCGGTGGGTGTCGTTGATGCGGGTCTTGTCGGCGTTGAGAAGCTTCCAGGCAATCTCGTGTTCGCTGCGGAGCTTTACTTCGCGGCGACCCAGGGCGGTGGGGAAGGAGACTGTGAGTTCGACTTTCTCAGGGAGCATGTCCCGTCGCTCGAGGGCATCATCTAGCTTTGCCCGCGCGAATGGTGGAAGTCCTTGTGGATTCGTCATCGAATTGAGCTGGGCGTACCAGTTGGAAAAGTAGCGATACTGTTGGGCCACTTCTTGCGAAGGCGCTTTCATGGGAACGACCCGGTAAGTCATCAACTTGCTGGAGAGCGTGAGGCGTTCGCCTTGCTTATCCCACGTTTCTTTGAATTCGGGCTCTGCCATGAATCTCAGCAATTCATCTTTGTTATTACCTGCACGCAGCTTCATCTGAGTAGCGAACTCGACGATCTCCGAAGTGCTGATTATGGATTTCAGCCGTTGCGCTTTGCTGAGCAAGATGATGCGACCACGTTGTGGATCGAGCACTGTGGTTTCGCTTGGCTCTTCGAGGAAGTCGTAAGCCAGCCCGGCATGGAAGAGCGTGATCGACTTGCTGAAAGGTTCGGCCTCTTTGTCTGCGTAGACTCGGCTCACGATGCGGAAATCGGCCGCCGCGGCGAGTTGCGCCGTGGTTAAAATCACCAGGAGCCAACCGCAGAGCTTCAATGTGGATTTCATCCGTCGACCCGTCCTTGAGCGAGGAACACTTCTCTCAGCGCGCAATTGTTGCGGACGGGCACATTATCGAAGCGGCACCCAGGCGTAAACCTCGATTTGTGCTAGCAGTACTGCTGGAGGCATCTGATGCGAAGGCAGGCCGTACTTGGCCCGGCAACTGCGAAGCTTACGCCTTGTAGATCTTCTCCCGCCCTTGCGTCACGTTCTTCGTAGCATTGCGGGTGTCGAGCACCATTGGAGAGTGCTTGACGATGAAGTCGTAGTCGTAAGCCGAGTGGTCGGTGGCGATCAACACGCAGTCCTGCTGGCTGAGATACTCGGGGGTGAGTTCCGAGCTGCTCATGTCCGGCACATCGTGACCACGCATCTTCGGCAACTTCGGAACGTGCGGGTCGTTGTAGGTCAGCACCGCTCCACGTTCCATCAGAAGTTCGATCAGCTCGAACGAAGGGCTCTCGCGGGGGTCGTCGACGTCCTTCTTGTACGCCACGCCCAGCATTGCGATCTTGCTACCGTTGACTGGTTTCCCCTTCTTGTTGAGGAGTTCCATCAACTGTTCGATGACGTACTCCGGCATCTTCGAGTTGATTTCGCCAGCCAGTTCGATGAATCGGGTCGATAGCCCGTAATTGCGGGCGACCCAAGTGAGATAGAACGGATCGATCGGAATGCAGTGTCCGCCCAAGCCGGGGCCAGGGTAGAAGGCTTGGAATCCAAACGGTTTTGTCTTGGCTGCATCGATCACATCCCACACATCGATGTCCATGCGTGAGAAGAGCATCTTCAACTCGTTAACCATCGCGATGTTCACCGCGCGATAGGTGTTCTCTAAAATCTTGCAGGCCTCGGCGACTTCGGCGGTTTTCACCGGAATGACTTCGACCACTGCGTGCGAGTACAAGTCGCGAGCCAGGGTAAGGCTTGTTTCATCGGCAGCGCCAACAACCTTCGGGATTGTGCTTGCTGCAAATTGTGGGTTGCCCGGATCCTCGCGCTCAGGGCTGTACGCCAGATAGAAATCTTTTCCGGCTTTGAGGCCCTTGGACTCCAGAATGGGCTGGAGCACGTCACGCGTGGTGCCGGGGTAGGTTGTGCTTTCAAGCACCACGAGTTGTCCAGGACGAAGGACCTCGACGATCTGTCGGGCCGTGGCTTCGACGTAGGTCAGGTCGGGATCGCGACTATTGGAAAGCGGCGTCGGGACACAAATCAGAATCGCGTCCGGTTCGCTCAGCCGAGACATGTCTGCGGTAGGTCGGAATGTTTCGCTCTTGATCGTGTCGGCAATCCACTCGCCGGGGATGTGGCCGATGTAGCTTTCGCCTGCCATCAGGCGATCGACCTTGGTTTGATCGACGTCGAAGCCCATGGTGCGGAAGCCGGCTGCGATAAAGGCTTGAATCAGCGGAAGGCCCACATAACCCAAACCAACAATGCCAACCGTGGCCTTCTTATCCTTAATGGCGGACTTGAGATCTTCGGACATGCTTACGTTCGTTTCATCATTTCCAGGACAGAGGAGAACGCCGTGGGAACCGTTAGGTGTCGGCGATTTGACGGTAGTAATCGATCGATAGCCGCAGACCCTCTTCCAGATCGATCTGCGATTCGTAATTCAAAAGGGTTCGGGCCTGTGTGATATCTGCCAGGCTTTCACGAACATCGCCCACCCGAGCTTCTTCGTGCACCGGCTGAATATCCAAGCCGAGCAGATCTCGTATCGCCGCGAGTAACTGAAGCAAACTGGTTGTCTTTCCATTGGCCAGGTTGAACACCCTGCCGGAGACGTTCTTTGCGTCTGCCGCCAGCAAGTTTCCATGCACCACATTGGCCACATAAGTGAAGTCGCGAGACTGATGGCCGTCGCCATAGATGACGGGGCGGTCGCCACGCAGCATGGCGGTGATGAAGCGGGGGATCACAGCCGAGTATTCGCTCTTGGGATCCTGGCGAGGACCAAAGACGTTGAAGTACCGCAGACACACCGTCTCGATACCGAACGACGACGACATGGCCTGGCAATACAATTCAGCGGCAAGCTTGGCCGCTCCGTAGGGAGAGATCGGACGGGGCAGGTCCGATTCGCGTTTCGATGAAGTCGGTTGGTCGCCGTAAGCACTGCTCGATGCCGCGTAAACCACGCGACGAACCTCGGCTTTCTGTGCCTCGTTCAATAGGTTCAGCGTCCCGGTCACACAGGCAGCGTTGGTGTCCAACGGGCGCTCGAGGCTTCTGGGAACCGATGCTAGCGCCGCTTCGTGAAAGATGCAGTCGACCCCGGCTACTGCTTTTGCCATCGCGGTCGGATCAACAAGGTCGCCTTCGATGAATTCGATCTTGTCTGCGATATGAGCGAAGTTTTCACGACGGCCCGTGCAAAGGTTGTCGAACACACGCACGCGGTCGCCTCGTTCAACGAGCGCCGTAGCAATGTGGGAACCAATGAAACCTGCTCCGCCAGTGACCAAAAATGTCCGCATTCTCCGCCTCGACACAGTGTGCTGTAACTAACCAAACCCCTGATGGTAACTCGGGCTAACAAGCTGCAGAGATCATCGCTGCAATGCCGGGTGCCGTGGCCGCTGCTCTGCCGAACTCACTCGAATTGTAAGCAGGAGCCGATCGCGTTGATCCTGTTCGCGGCCTCTGTAGCGATGCGGCTCGTCATCGTTAGAAAGCCGTCGCACAGACGAACTGGCCCGATTCGTCGCGTCCCCCCACGAGACTGAAAACGATTGAACAGCATCCACAGGAGACCGAGAAAAGATCTGCTACGGACCCTCAAGAATAGCCCCAAATCGTATAGTCCGCATGCACTTCTTACAAGCCAATGGCCGCTAATAGGAATTCTCCGGATTTCTCGTGCCTGGAGAAGGAAATCGTCCAAATTCCGGGCAGAAAGCCGGGGTGAGGCAAACGCATCTCGGTGTGCGATCCAGGAGTTCCACGGTCTGCGAGTGGTTGGCCGGCTTGGCTGCTAGCGATGGGCTGACGGGTCAAAATCTCGGAGTGAGCTTGAGACGCTGGCTTATCTACTTGCTCAGTGGACCTTCAGCTTCGATAATCGCACCTGTGAAAGATGGCTCGGTGGGGGGATTGGGCCGTTTGTAGCGATCCAGCAAGTGCTGAAAATTCACGCGATGTTCTTTTTTCTCCGCAGTACCCGCACCTTTTGAGGAATGACTGATGAAATCTGTGCTTTCCAAGATCTCTTTCGCCACGCTAGCCGTGGCAGTCATGTGTGCGTCGAACGACGCCCGGACCCAGGCTGAAGATTGGGTTTCGTTGTTCGACGGGAAGACCATGGACGGCTGGGAAAAAGTCGGCAAAGACGAAAGCACCTGGGAAGTGAAGGATGGCGCCCTGTGCGGTTCGGGACCAGCCTCGATGCTGGTTTGCACCAAGGGTCCGTACAAGAACTTCCGCTATCGAGCCGAGATCAAGATTAACGATCGCGGTAATTCCGGTCTCTATTTCCGCACAACCCGCAGACCGGGCTTCACCGATGGTTACGAAGCCCAAATCGACAGTACACACCTCGACCCAATTCGCACAGGCTCGTTGTACGGCATGTGCCATGTCTACAAGCGTTTGGTCGAGCCCGACACTTGGTTCACTTATGAAATCGAAGTTCGCGACGATGTCTGGCGGGGGCGCCCCGTGACGAAGATCAAAATCACGGTAGACGGCGACGAACTGTACGAATACTTCGACTTCGACCAGACCTTCAAAGAAGGTTACTTCGCCTTCCAGCAGCACGACCCCGGCAGCAAAGTTTGCATCCGCAAGGTCGAGGTGATGGAACTGCCTAGCAAGAAATAAGCGTGGCAGAAGCGATTTACTGGACTCGTCGGGGTGGCTCAGCGGCTAAACGTTGGGTCGCCCGAGACGGGTTCGGGTGCTCGAAAAGACCACGTGGATGGGCTTGGAATGCAGCCGATGTTGCATGGCTAGGAAGTCTGTGGACGCTTACGCCCCACCACCATGTAGCCCCGTCCCATCCCTTTCAAGAATCCTCCAGAGAGCGGACCGTCGAGGCGTTTTACGATCGAAAGCGGCGGTATCCAGTGATTTCGGAATCGGATTCCGTAGCTGAAGTAGGCCGTGTCTTCACAGGTTAAGCCTGCCTTCTCGTACTGCGAGATGGTTTCTCGCCGATGGTTCCCTTTGCTCGACTTGAGCGCCACGTCACGGTATTTCAAATCGCGAGTGGCCATCCATGCCATGAGGGCCCCCAAGCGTTTGGTAGGCAACTCAACCCACCGTAGCGGGCTACCAGCGTTGGTAAACGATAGAAGGCAGATACCGCCCGGTTTCAGCAACTGGGCGATCCGTGCAAGTGTGGCTGGATGATCTTCGATGTAGTCCATCACTCCGAACGCCATGATGGCATCGAACGGACCGCATTCGTTGGGGAGATCGTCGAGAACACCATGAAAGAACTCGGCCTGGTGCCCTGCTTCTGCGAAGGTCTCACGCGCCTTGTCGACCATGCCCTGTGAAACGTCTAGGCAGGTGAGCTTGTGTCCCATTGAGGCAAGCTGCGAGGCTGTATGCCCGGAGCCGCAGCCGAACTCCAGAATCGAAGACCCGGCAGGTACAAACTTTTCGACCAACTCCAGGGCAACTCGCTGGCGATTGTGATAATCGAAGGCCTGCGAGGATGACCCCTCGGTGTAGTAGCTCTGCCACGTGTCGGCATAGCGGTCGAAGAACTCGCCAGCCGTTTCGACTTTCTGAGTGGACATGTATTGATCGGCCTAAAACGTGTGATCAGGGCCAAGGAACCGATGGGATAGGGGGCAGATCTACCCAAGATGGGGGTGGAGAGTCGAAGGTATATCCAAACTCTCGATAGATCCAATTTCCAATTTATAGCCCAAAGCCTCTGCCCAGACCATTCACGGCCCCGTAAATCTCCTCTTAACAGAAGCTTCAAAAAAAACTTTCTTCCACCTAACTGGGTGGGTATCATACGGGCCTCATCTCTATAGTTCCATTTGGTTGAACACTCTTTCTCGGTGGGAGGGCAATCGTGGGGTCCTATCTAATAGGCTTCCACGCAGGGCACAACTCGGGTGCCTGCGTGGGCGACGCCTCGGGCGTGAAGTACGCAATTCAAGAAGAGAGACTGTGCGGCGAGAAAAACTACTGGGGCTTCCCCAAGCTGTCGCTGCAAGCTTGCCTCGATTATGTCGGGGCAAAGCCCTCGGATATTGAGAGCCTCTCGTATGGCGGCAACATTGTGCTGTGCCGGTATCACAGTCGAGACGATGTGATTGAATCGTATCGCCGTCAGGAAACGTTCGCTGGGAAATTGCGTCAACGTGTTGCAATGCCCATCGTGACCCGGCTACGGCGCAACTATGGCCAGGGCCCTTTACGTGGTCTCTTGGACCAAGCTGGTTACGCCGATGTGCCCGTGGTTCATTTCGACCATCACTTATCTCATGCGGCCACCGCATATTACGGGCTGAGAACGTCGCCGGAGAAAAAGTATCTCGTCCTCACTTGCGATGGTGCCGGCGATGGGCTGTGCGCCACTGTGCGTGTGATGGGTGGAGGTGAAGATCGGCTCGTTGCAGAAACCCCTTGGGGTGATTCCCTGGGTGCATTGTACTCGTGGGTTACCTACGGGATGGGTTTTGTTCCCATGGAGCACGAGTACAAATTGATGGGCATGGCACCCTACGCATCGGAGAGCGGCACGCAGCAAGTTGCAAGTATCTTCCGACGCTATTTGGGGCTCTCTAAAGACGGGCTTTCCTTCCAACGGCAAACGCATCGGCGAATCAACGATGCATATGGGGCAATCGAAGCGGACCTTCAGGGCATGCGTTTCGACTGGATCTGTGCGGGCCTTCAACGATTCACCGAGGAGATGCTGGTCGAATGGGTTCGTAATGCGATCCGTGCCACGGGCGTAAGCGATGTCTTGGCAGCCGGTGGGGTGTTTATGAATGTGAAGGCCAACAAGTGCATCGCAGAAATGAACGAAGTCGATTCCTTTGAAGCCTTCCCCTCGTGCGGTGACGAGACGCTTCCTATGGGAGCCCTGTATCTCGACGCTGCCCAGCGATATGACGGTGATGCAGTGCAACCGCTGCAGCACTACTACTTAGGCGATGATTTGACCGAAGATGAGATCCGTACGGCCCTTGCGGGTGCCAATGTTTCTTTTGAGAAACCGGACAACATCGCTAAGGAGGTCGCGGGAGTACTAGCCGCTGGCCATCCGCTCGCCCGCTGTGCAGGCAGGATGGAGTTTGGTGCTCGGGCCCTTGGGAATCGGTCAATCTTGGGCGATCCCAGCAATCAGGATTTGGTTCGAGTCATCAACCGCATGGTGAAGAAGCGAGACTTCTGGATGCCTTTCGCACCCATGGTGCTAGAAGAGCGGCAGGATGAGTACCTGCAGAACCCGAAGAAGCTTCGAAGCCCGTATATGATGATGACGTTCGACACGAGGCAAAACTTCCGCGACCTAATTGCGGCAGTTCACAACGCCGACCTGACGTGCCGGGCTCAGCTGCTCTCTCAGTCGTACAATCCAGCGATGTACGACATTTTGAAGGCATTCGAGCAACAGACGGGACGTGGGGTGATTCTGAACACCAGTTTCAACTTGCACGGTTTTCCAATTGTTCGCACACCCGACGAAGCATTGTCGGTGTTGGAAAACTCGGGGCTGGAATATCTCCAGCTCGGTGAGTACCTGGTGCAGAAGAAACCTGCGGCGGTTAGCACCAATGGGAAACTGAACCGCCCCGTTTCACAGCAGGTGAATGCGTAGCTGTAGAATTTCTCTCTTAGCGAGATTAGTCACTCGGCGGGGCGAGTCGCTTGTCGATGTCGTTTGCCATTTGAATGGCAATCGTGCGGCAAGCCGCCTCGTTGAAGTGGCAAGCGTCGATAAAGACGGCTTCCTCGGCATTGTCGAATAACGAGGACGTGTCAAACGAGGTTGGCGAGGACTCCGACTCTTCAACTTCTTGCAGATGCGAGCGAGTTTCCTTTAGGAGATCGGCCAGAATGGGATACTCCTGGAAAGCTGGTTCTTCGCTTCCGACGCGCTGACGTTTGGTAAACACCGTGGGCTGCCAGTAATGCAACGGCAAGAACCCATGACGCTGCCCTAATGTGTCGATGCATTGAAGGTTTTCCGCATAGACCTGCGAGACTTCGCGGGCGAGTTTATCCATAGCCACCTGGCCGGACTCAATTCGATGATCGGAGTTTTCACCCAATCGGCGAGAAAGCCCTTCGATAAACCAGCCAATTCCCGAGCGTTCTAAATCTCTGCTCAAGGTTTGCCATGTGTTCGCATTGAATTCGGCCCGGCGGTTTGATTCATTCTGGGGTAACCCTGCCTGTTGCGCTTGGAGCGCTGCCATAAGATCGTTGTATCCATTGAGAAACACAGACACGTCGGGAATGTTTCCCGTTCGAAGCTCTTCTTCTAGTGCTAGCCGGTCTTGTGTGCTGACGTAACCAAGCTGGCCAAAGTTAGTGACCTCGGCGTCGTACCCCCTTCGCGCCAACTCTTGGGCCAATTCCGAGGGAATCGTGTGCTCGTCTCGGGCACCATATCCCCACAGTGCCGACCCCCCAAACATGAAAACACGCAAGGGACCTTTCGAAGTCGAAATCTGTCCGGTTCCATCCGGCTGGGGATGAATGGTTTGGCGAAGCCCGCTTTCGTCGATGTTGATGAAAGGGCTTTCAAGCGGGGCGTTTCGCCAATAGACGTAGGGGTGCCAGCGAGCCGTCACTTGAGTCAACAGGTCGTCGACGTATCGGCCAGACCAAGGAGCATCGTGAAAAGCCGTGGATGACGCCAACGCGGTGCGGTCTGATTTCCGCCACATAGCTCGCGCCAGACGAAAGGCTCCTTCGCTCACCAAGAGGATGCACAGGGTTACACCCAAGATACCCCACCCCGTGCGAAGAACTCGCAGTGCCTTTTTCAGATGAGGGAGGACCGACCGCATGAGGAACTCGTTAAGACCGCGTTCAAGGGCATTGAGGCGACTCGAATGCCCTCCAGAGGGAGGCGAATTATCCAAAGCTTCCAGAGCGGCATGCTCTAGGGTTTTGTGATCAAATCAACGCTCTAAATACCCCCTGATTTGCTGCAAGAAACCATCGACAGTACCTTGCTAGCCACCTAAACTGGAGGCCATTCGGCGAGGGCTTAGCCCCTCTGTTTACTCTGTTCGAGGGCCGATTTCCACGCAAAGAAATTCTGTTTTTTGTGTGAGACTATGGGGGCATCAATTTGGGTTGATATTGTTACGCGGGTACTTTGCGTTTGATGGTAATGGTTGGAGTGAGGGTTATGTCGCAGAGTGGGTTTCGCGTTTCGCTCGTTCAGTTCCCGGAGGACTGGGAGCCCGGTTCGCTGGATGATTCACCCGATGGGCTGCGTTGCACAGACGACCTTGCCACCTACGACTTGTTGGAAGATGCCCTGGAGCAAACACTCGATTTTAATCAAGAGTCAATCGAGGGTGATCGCTCGAAGTGGGCTGTCATCTTCGAGACGCCGGTGCGGGGTCGCCTGAACTTTCGAGTATGCACTCCACTGAGCTATCGCATCGTACATGTCCATTGGCCTGAGGGATGGAAGCCGGAGTCGCCTTTCGACGTGCCGGATTGCGAGTGGCAAGATCACTCCGAGTCGAGTGCCGAGTTCAGCTTCGATGAAGCGGTCGAAGCCCTACGGTCACTCAACGAAGCGCATCGAATGGAGCCAAGCTCCGGACGCTGGTCGATTATGGTAGCCGTCGAGTGCGAACCCGTTCACACTTCGGTATACAGCGATCACCTGGGGACCGAGACCAGCATGACCGTTCGACGGCTGCACGTTGTCAAGCCTATCGACGACCCGGGGCATCGCCTGTTCGAAACGCTCGCCTCAAAAGGCTAAAGACGTAGCGAATTGCGACCCAACTCTGAGGCTCAGCTTGCGATTCGCAGCAGCGTTTGAAGGATAATCTTCAAATCGAGCCACAGCGAGGCTTCGCGGATATATTGCCGGCTGATTGCCAACTTGTCTGGCAAGATCTGATTGACGTAGGCCGCCTCGGGGTCTTCGGCCGTGGCAAGAATTCCCGACTCGTCCCGGTACTTCACCGAGGCCAGATCGGTGATTCCAGGGCGTACGCTAAGCACCTCGCGATACTCGTCGTGCTTTTGCTCGACGTAGCGGGCCACCTCAGGCCGAGGGCCCACCAGGCTCATGTCGCCCAAAACCACATTGATGAGTTGGGGTAATTCGTCGATTTTCAGCTTGCGGAAAATGCGGCCCGTCTTAGTTACGCGAGGGTCGCCCGAAACGGTAAGTTGACCACCAAGCTTCGGGGCATCGACCACCATTGTACGAAATTTGTACATCTCGAACGGTCGGAAGTTTTTCCCCACGCGTTGTTGGCGGAAAAAAACCGGGCCTCGCGAGTCGAGCTTCACGGCAATTGCCACTAGCGCGAATAGAGGGCTTAGCACCAGCAAACCACCGCCTGCCGCGATAAGATCGAACGCCCTTTTTACGGCAGCCTGAACGGGGCCCCAAGGGGACGAAACAGGCGGGTCGTTATCGGTTGAGACTACCATCGAAGAAGTGACAGGCTGGTGTGGGCTAGTTACTGACTTGTTCATTGGTTTTCAACTTGGGAACTTTACCCCCGCGGTCCTTCCATCGCCGGCTGAAGCTTAGTAATCCCAGACAGAAGCCCGCGCCGTAGCCTGTATGCAATGCGGCGAAAGCTACTGGCATGATCGGCAAGAACTGCCATCCCTGCCTAGCGGCCACAGCGATTGATGCTATAAGATTCGCAATCAAGTACGATCCGCCGACAAGCCCAAGCAGCACCGCCCCAAACATCCGTGTGGGTGGAATTAGGGTAAGGATGATGGAGACGACCAACGCGACCACGAACAGGGGTGGCACGAACTGGCGCGGCCGCATTTGCCGCGAATGCTTCTGCATAACCCGGACTTTCCAATACCCGTATTGGAAGTATTGTCGCCACAGCTTTCTCATCGAACTGCGGCTGTAGTATCGCGACCGAATATCAGGAGTCAGTAGAATCTTAGCGCCGAGTTTCCTCAGGCGATAATTGTATTCGTCGTCCTGATTTCGGACGAGTTCCTCGTCGTAGAGCCCGGCTTTGTCGATCGCCTCTCGTGTGTACGCAGGAAAAGCGACTGTGTCGACGAACATCTTTCTGTCTTCGATCGTGCGGAATGCGGCCCCTCCCACACCAAACGGAGAACTCATCGCCACGGCAATTGCGCGCGCGAGGTACGTGTCTCCGATGGTTTCGATCGGCCCGCCCACTCCGTCGGCACCGTCTTCTCTTAAATGCTGAACGCAGCGTCGAACATAGTCGTCGGCGATTTCGCAGTGTCCATCGACTCGCACGATGATCTCTCCACGCGATTCACGCAACGCGATGTTCATACCCGTGGGAACAATCATCCCGGGGTTGTCCAGTAGCTTTAGAGCAGGGTGGCGAGATTGATATTCGCCAACGATTTCCCTGGTATCGTCCGTGGAGCGACCATCGACAACGAGGATCTCCATTTTGTCCGCCGGGTAGTCTTGCGCAAGGACTGCCTCGAGACTGCGTTTAATGAAGGCCCCTTCGTTGCGGATCGGCATGATCACGGAAATGAAGGGCTCGTAATTGTTAGTTGATGTCATTTATTCGAACGAGAGAGAAGCAATGTTTTCGTGCCCTCGAAAACGGAACGGTGAAATGATTCGTGATGGGTCGATGTTTCATCACGTGCGAATCTTCTTGATACGGCCTCTTTCGAATGGCGTGTCCTCGCCACTTTGAATTACTCGCTGTTCCCCAGGGTGTGATAATAAAACATGGTCGAGCCTGGAGTTGATGGCTCGCGAAAGGGTTGCCAACCACACTTCTCATAAAGTCCGCGTGCACCAGCGTTGTCGGGGTACACGGAGAGCCGGAGAGAACGTGCCCCCAACTCACGTGATCGAGCTTCAAAGGCCTCGACTAACTGACGGCCAAGACCTACGCCTTGGGCGTGCGGAGAAACCCCAATTCCGACAAGTGACATCGTTGGTGCCACCAAATCGGGTGTCTCTCCTGACGAAGGCGGCTTGCCGGCGAGTAGTTTCAATCGCCCCAACGCGGTGCGAATGATTCGTTGGTCGAGTAATAGCCAGGGACGCGAAATCGTAGCAAGAAATGCAGGTCCAAAGATATCACGATTCATGGCCACAGTGTATCCAACCTTGGCACCAATCACGTAACCTGCGGGCTTGCCAGAGTCGTCGAGAGCGACCAAGGAGATCGCTTCTTTGTTCTCCAAGAACCAGCGGATAAGTGCATCGACATACTTCGGACCCAATCGGGTACTCATATATCCGTCGAACGCCTGCAGGTGCATTGCCACAACTTGCGGAATTAAATCCTCAGTCATCTCGGCAATACATTGGCTGTCCACTTGAGAAGTGTTCAACTCCATACCTCGTTAATCAGTTCGCCCCTACGCATATTGTATTGAGCCCTACTGGCCAAACTCTAGAACTCAAATATTGAGAAACTGTAACTAAGTCGCGGGTTGCAAGTGATTCTGATGAATCAACTGCTCCAGTTCTTCCACAAGCTGGTCGGCGAAGCTCTCAAGCGAATAGTCCGGTCCTTGATCGATCCCCGTCTGGGACAGGCGTCTCCGCAACTCATCATCATCCAGCAGACGTTGCATGGCCCGTGCCAACGCAGCTGGATCGTTTGGTGGTACGAGTAATCCGTTTTCGCCATCGGTAACCGAAGTAGGAATGCCGCCTACTCGAGTTGCTACCGCGGGGCACCCAAACGCCCGGGCCTCTACAACACTCCGTGGAGTGCCTTCAGAGTGACTGGGCAGCACATACATATCGTGGCTGCGATAGAGTTCGAATAATTCCTCTCCGAACGGAATCATGCCTTTGATATGTATGTCTTCGTGATAGGGGCTGGCTTTGATCCGCTTGTGGATCTCAGCTTCAGCACCCGTCATCGCTCGATCACTACCCCCGACCACGGTAAGGCTCAGCTTTTGTTTTGCCCGAAGTCGGTCAAACGCGTCCAGTAATACGTCGACCCCTTTCTCGGGACGGAGGTATCCGACGAATAAGACCTTTGGGGGATCGTTCATTTCGAGCGTGGTTCGAGGAACCATTTCGCTTTGGTACAGGCACGAAGAGACGACTACGCGGCCTGCTTTACAGTGGAGCTTCTCCCACATGTCTGCCCCGTTCGAAGCCACTCGAGTCTCCGGCTCGTTGACCAGTCGTTGCATCACGGTGTGCCCGTCGTGAGCGAACCGCTCGGCGACAAACCGCTTCAGGCCTCGGTAGTCGCTTGATAGCTTAATGACCTCGGTTGGATCGCCTGCGATGTGCAAGAGCTTTGGGCGTTTCAAACCAAACAAGGCCCTTGGTAGTTGAAATGGCAGGCGGATGAAAAGGACTTCGACCGATTGTGCAAATTCTCGCAAGATGCGACGGGCGTTGAAGAAGTGGCGCTGAGCATGAATGGTGCTGAGAAGCGGCGGCAATGCAACGATGTCTTCCGGCTTCGTCTGCAGGACATGCGTCATGTTCTTGTTCACCTGCGAAGCTAGTGGAACGCAAACTCGGGCCCCACCGGTGCGCTCTGCAATCGCATCGAATAGTCGTCCCTGAGCATGTGGTGTGTACAGTTGTCTGTCAGCCCCAACGGCGGATGGAGTGCCGTAGATAATCCCCAGTCGATTGTCGTTCCAAATTGAGTTCATGAAGCGTACCTATGTAGATGTCAGCGAAGATGCTGACGTGTGCTTATACCCGGAATGTTCGTAGCAAGTTGCGGACGGTTTCGACCACGTATTGAAACTCTTCATCCGTCATGTCGGGGAACAACGGCAAACTGACAAGTCGCTGCCATGTTGCAGTTGCGGTTGGAAGATGGTCTGCTTCCCAGCCGAAGTTCTCGTGATAGTAGGGATGCAGGTGCAGTGGCCGCCAGTGTACAGAACATCCAACGCCATGGCTCTTCAGTTGGTCGATAAACTGGTTCCGATCGATGCTCAGCTTGTCGAGTCGCAGCCGTAATGGGAACAAATGCCACGCATGGATTCGATTCTCTACCAAAGGTGGTAGTTCTATTTCGTCTGACTCCCTAAGGGCTTCTCGGAATCGCGCGGCGAGTTGTTCCCGCTTTTGTCGAAGGTCTTCCGCGCGCCTCAACTGATGAAGACCCAGTGCGGACGCGATATCCGTCAGGTTGTATTTGAATCCAGGGGCAATGATTTGGTAGTCCCAGCTACCACCGCCCATAAAGCGTTTCCAGGCGTCGTGCGAAAGGCCGTGTAGCGACATCACTCGCATGCGATGTGCCAGATCTTCGTCGTCGGTCACGACCATGCCACCTTCACCGGTGGTGATGGTTTTGTTCGCATAAAACGAATAACAAGTCGCATTGGCGGTACCTTCACCGCACCGTCTCCAGGGGGCTTTCTCATCACGCCGCCATGCGGATGGTAACGCATGAGCTGCATCTTCGATGACCCACAGATTGTGCTCCTTCGCAAATGCTTGAAGTCGATCCAGATCGAACATGAGCCCGCCAACGTGAACCGGGATGATTCCCACAAGATCGATTTTTGGATCGATCGAGTCGGGTAACTGTCCGGCGCGGAGTTGTTCGACTTTTCGTTGGGCATCGTCCAAATCGATGTTGAGCGTGACAGGGTCGCAGTCGACCAAAATGGGAATGGCGCCCTGGTATCGAACGACTTCGGCCGTAGCGGCGAATGTCATGGTTGGTACCAGTACGGCTTGCCCTTCTCGAAGCTCCAAGGCTTCGGCCGCTAAATGCAGGGCAGCGGTACAGGAGTTCACCGCAACCGCATGGCGAGCACCCACGGCCTCGGCGAACTGCTGCTCGAATTGTTTCGTGCGTGGCCCTGTTGTTAGCCAGCCGGATTGGAGGCAGTCGACCACCTCGCTGATTTCATCCTCGGTAATCGAGGGACGAAAGAAGGGCACCTGCATCTCAGGGGTTGGGGTATTCGCAGTTTCAGTTTCTGGTTTCGTTGACATGGCTATTCGATCTGGTTGAGGAATGCACCAATTTCTGTTGCGATTCTTTGCCCTGCTGCACCATCCCACAATTCCGGGCAGCGGCCCTGCTTGTAACGGTCCTCGAGCACGTCTTCGAACAAGCGTTCGAGCAATTCGAAGTCACGCCCCACTAACGTGCTCGTACCTTCGGTGACCGTTATTGGGCGGTCGGTGTGTTTTCGCATGGTCAAGCATGGGATCTGCAGGGCGGTTGTTTCTTCTTGAAGCCCACCAGAGTCCGTAATCACGATCTTGGCTTGCGAGCTGAGCCCGAGAAACTCCAAGTAACCAAGGGGTCCAGTTACCGTAATCCCGGGTGTTGCATTTAAGGCATCCCACAACTCGGCAGCTTCAAGTCGTGCTCGTGTGCGAGGGTGCACGGGGAACACGATCGGGAGCTTGTCGGCCAGCCGTTTCAACATGCCGCACAAACTGTGCAATACAGCGGGGTCGTCTACATTTGCCGGTCGATGAAGCGTAACAACGCCGTACTCACCGGGCGTCATTTCAAGCTTCTCAGCAAACCTAAGGCTTCTCGCCCGTTGGAGGTTGGCTCTAACCACGTCGATCATCACGTTGCCGACGAGGTGGATCCGGTCGGCAGGTTGCCCTTCGTTCCTGAGGTTTTCCACGCCGGCCGGTTCGCTGGCTAGTAGCAAAGATGAGAGGGCGTCGGTCACCACGCGATTGATTTCTTCCGGCATTCTTCGGTCGAAACTGCGAAGACCCGCTTCTACATGGATAACCGGAATGTGGAGCTTAGCTGCAGCCAATGCGCATGCGACAGTTGAATTTACGTCACCTACAACCACGGTTGCCGTAGGGCGGGGTTTCGCTTTGAGCAACCATGTCTCGAAACCTTGCAAAATCTTTGCGGTCTGTTGCCCGTGCGTTCCCGAACCTACTTTCAAATGCACGTCGGGCTTCGGGAGGTTCAGCTCGGAGAAAAACAGGTCGCTCATTTCACGGTCGTAATGTTGACCGGTGTGAATCAACGACCGCTGCACTTCAGGTAACTCGGTTTCAAGTCCGCGCAGCACCGGCCCTATTTTGACAAAGTTAGGCCTGGCCCCCACCACACACGCAAGTCTTTTAGTCATCCGCGTTTTTTTATAAACCCAATCAGATGTGTGTTCAGCAAATAGAGTGATTGTAGTAAGGAAGCAAGTGTCCAGGAAAACGGAACGACTTTCCGGACGATGGGTGGTGCGAGTGTGGCCTTCCGTAGCCAGATCGAACAGTTGGGGAATAGTCGAGCGATTTCGTCTCGACCGATTCCACGTACGTTGGCGTTGCGGGGGTTATTGTAGTGGAAGTCGTACCACAGCAGAGTGCCCTCGGGTTTGACGACCCGAAGCATCTCCTCGGCCAGCTTAACTTTAACCTCGTCGTCCAGCACAGAGGTGAATACTGTGCTTTGAAACACAAGATCAAAAGTTCCGTCTTCCCAGGGCAGTTCCGTTGCGTCGCCAATGCGAATATCGGTGCGAGGAAACCTTTCGGCACAGGCGGCAGCCCGTTCGGCATCGAGTTCGATTCCACAGAGATTTTCGCGACAGGCCCCCAGGGTTTCAAACGTTGCAAACCACTGTCCCCGTCCACAGCCCACTTCAAGGATGCGTTTGTTTTCCAACGGTAAGCATCCGCCTCGTGTGAGCGCCCGCAGCAGAGCCCGCTCCTGGCCGTGTCGCACGAACAGGTTGCTAGGCTTTTGCAGCGAGTAGAAATCCGAACCGATCTCGCGCTCGCGACGATGATACTCCTCTCGGATTCGATCAGCTTCTTGTTTCTGAGCGGACGCCATCGTCATCTACACACGAGCGAATGAATTCGTCCAAACGACCGGCGATCTGTCGTCGATCGTACTGCGTGCTTGCGGTCTCCCGCCCCGATTCTCCGAGTCGTCGTCTCAGGTCTTCGTCCGTCGCAAGGCGTTTGTAGGCTTCGATTGCCGCTTGAAGATCACCCGGTTTCACCGTCAGGCCGCAGCCTGCTGCTTCGACACGGCGGGCCGGCTCTCCTTCGGCAAGCAGTAGAATCGGCAAGCCCGAGGCCATCGCTTCGTAGATCTTGCTTGGCACGGCTCCAGGGATCGACATTCCCAAGCTGATCACCGCCACATCGGCCGTTGCCAGCAGCGCGGGGATTTGATCGTACGGCAGAGGATCGAGAATTCGGACCCGTGAATTCGGGGTGTTCGCCAGCCGCTCTCGCAGCATTTCTCGCGCGGGACCCTCGCCAACTAGAACCAATCGACCTGGCACACCGTCGGGCACCGACGACGCCAAATCGAGCAACTGTTCGAGTCCCTGTGCTAAACCCAGCAAGCCCGCGTAGACGAAGACTGGTCCGGGTTCTTCCCCCAGTAGCTTGCGAGATGCCTCGTTTGCTTTGTCCTTGCCGAAGCGGCTTAGGTCTACGCCGTTGGTGATGACGGCCGTCGGCTTCTCAGGCACATGTTTGCGAACGCCGGCGACAATCTCGTCCGATTGGCCAGTGATTCCGGCAGCGTGTTTGTAGAGCGACTGCTCAAGCCGTTCAGCCATTCGCAGTGCGGTACCTTCCTTTAGCATGCCCATGCGAACGGCAGTCTCTGGATAGAGGTCGCTCACGTTGAAGACATAGGGACACTTCCAACGCCAAGCCAGGAAGCGAGCTGCGTAGCCGATGAACAATGGGGGAGACTCAACCAGCATCACATTCGGTCGGCGGAGTAACCGTTTACCGTTGATGGCCGCACTGAAAGCGAACGAGAAATAAGAAACGAGCCGTCGCACGAAGCCACGTTTCGCCGGATAGAGAGGGACGCGAGCCGTACGAATACGACCAATATTTTCAATACGAGTACGCCAAACGGAATAACCCTTGAAGATTTTACCCGTAGGATAGTTCGGCAGAGCCGTGAGGGTTTCTACTTCCCATCCCAAATCAATCAGCTTCTCCCCCAACTCAGAAAGGCGGCCCTGAGGCGCGCCCATCTCGGGCGGGAAATACTGTGTGAGGATGCAAAGTACGGGTTTTTTTGAGTTCTGGCCCAAGAGCTTAGACGGCGGATTCGGCAGGGTGTTGTACTTGGTTGATGACCGCACGTAGCTTACCGGCAGACGTCCGCGGAAGGCAATCGACTACTACTACACTAACATTCATCGGTCCCATACGATCACAAATTCCTTTGCGAATCGCGGCGACATCGTTTTCGTCATAACCCTCGGCTGCGACCACTTTAACGACCACGCGATCGATCGTCTCTTGAATGATTTGTGCTTCACGAATGCGAATGGTGTCCTTAAAGATCGGGTCGAGGCGGCCAATCTTGCGTCCGTCGGCCGTGACTAATACGTCGTCGGAGCGTCCTTCGATCGATTCCAGCACGGGCATGGTTCGTCCGCAGGGACACGAATCCTCGCCAGCCGCAAGTGCACCACGATCGCCCTGACGGTAGCGAATGAGAATGTGGTCGGGGTTCAGAAGGCTTGTTACGACGAGATGGCCAGTTTCACCAGGGGGCAAAAGATGACCTTCGTCGTCAACCACTTCGGTGATGCCCACATCGGGTGAAAGGTGCATTCGCCCTGCTTCGCATTCGAAAGCGGCAATTGTTAGCTCGGCCGGAGCATAGGTATCTCGAGTGGGGCAGCTAAATGCTTTTTCGATTCGTCGCCTTTGATGAGCATAGAAGGGCTCGGCGTTGGAAATTGCCACCTTGAAATGGATGTCGGTTCGGCCCCGCTCTAAAGCATGGGTAGCCAGGGCATCGAGCGAGGAAGCATAGCCGAAGAGGTATTCGATCTCCCGCCGCTTTAACTCATCAAGATAGGCGTCGAGAAAATCGCTGCGAAGATGATACGAGGACATATAGAGCTGCAAGCCACTGGCATTCCAAACCCAAAACGGCGGCCGTTGCCGATGTTGTGGGACGACCAGTTGCCCACCGAGTGTCGCCCAGCGGTCGCCCAACTTCACCCCCGACCAGTTGCGAACCCGGCGTTCGAAGCAGGCGTACCATGTTTGATGTGTCTCTGGCGACCACCACAGCATGAGCGGTTTGCCCGTGGTTCCGCTGGTGCGCTCAGCGTACATCTGGGCTGGATTGCAATCATCAGCCAGAAAATCTTCAGGGGCCCGACGAAGCGGATCCTTCTCAAGCAGTGGGAGCTGCGTTAAATCGCCTGGAGCCGCGCCTTCAATAGGAAATTCCCCATGCGCGTGCAAATCCCGGTAGTAGGGTACCCGTTCGACAGCGCGACGCAGCAATGCCCGCAAGCGATTACTCTGCCATTGCTGCCACTGCTGTGCAGACCACGTTTCTCGTTCAACAAAACGAGGCAACTCGCGACGGAAAATCTCTCCGTAGCGCAGCCGCATCAATCGGGCCCCATAACGACTGGAAACCAGGTTCTGAAGCGGTGCTGGCAGGCGATGATAAAGATTCAATACCCAGGGGTTCATGACACATGCCCCCCGGCGGCCGTTGCTGCACTAGTGGAAGTATCCGTGCGCTCGATGTGATTTTCCCAGCCGAGCGGAGGAGTGAAGACGAATGGCTTGCTGGCGGCCATTTGGTCGAGCGAACCGGCCCAATCGCCATTGTTGCTCACGACTTCGATCCCGCTTGCTGAAATGGTCGTTAGAGGCAGAGGATGCGGTTCGAATGCTTGCTTGAGCGAGGGGATATGAGTGTGATCGAAGCCAATCAACTCCGCTGCGACCGTATCGACGACGGCTGCACAACTACCTGCGAGGATGACGCCCGCTGAGCGAGGATCAGCGAAAACCGGACCGGTGCCCTCGCCGGCGACGATTCCATCGATCACGCAGAAACGCCGTCGTTGTGGACGATCGTGTACGTTTCCGTCGGCGTCGGCGTACTGCAGGGCACGATTGATGTCGTGTACCATCCGCCACAGGGTGTTGTTGCCGTGCCAACCACCTCCCCGCACGGTGTTGTGGCTGGCCCCGAAAACCGTGCGCCCCACTCGCTTTGCAAAGCGGTACAGGGTAGGTACGACGCGTGGAAATCGAAGCGAGGCTTGTTCAAACCAGCGAACCGCAGTTTGTTCCAGTTGTTGGAGCGAACCGGAATCTGCGAATTGATCGCCACCTTGTTGTGGGGTGCCCTGGGTGCGGTGGGGAAGCCAGTTGCGATTGGTGTTCAGCCCGACGACGCCCTTCAGTGAGAGGGTGACCCCGACCTTGTGATGAGTCTTGAGCTTTGGGACATCGATGATCACATCGGCCTGCATTGCCGAACCGCTGAGTTGGTACTCGTGCTTGTCCCCGTGATGATGTTCGTTCACTTCGGCCGTGTTGTAATCAGCACCGTAGTAGCGTCCCTCGCCTTGAAATTGATACAGTGCACTGCGTGAGCCCAAGTCGACAGCCACTCCTCCACGAGGATCGCCAGGCAGGGGACTTCTCGAAACGACGACGTCGTCTTGTGTTTTGAAGAAGATGGATCTCAAGTCGATCAGTTCAACCGGGCAAAGCCCTTCTTTTCCGGAGTAAAACTTCTTGAGCCCTGCCGCACCAGTGCGGCGGCAGATTTCATCGAAGTCGGAATTCAGCATCGGCCCGTCTGCTAGGCAGATCGATCCATTGCCACGCAGTGCTAGTTGCACATAGTCGATTACGGCTCTTAGCACCGCACCGTGGGTAATGATTTGCTGCCACGAATCGTTGAGTTCGTGCTTCTGGCTGACCCAATTCGGCTTAATCAGCACGGTGTCGCCCGACTGCACTACGGCGCCCATGGGGTTCCAGTCGGAGTTGCCGAAGCGAGCCTGATCGAGCCCCAGCAATCGCAGCGACTCGCGAACTGCGGCATAGACGGCATTCTCCGGGTCGGTTGCATCCGCCAGTGCGGTGCCCGCGAATTCGGGATAATGCTCGGGCGGGTCGAACGGGACTCGTTCGGGATACGACTTGCGCCCGGCCTGGCACACCGCAACCAGATGCTCGGCCGGCGGGTCAATTCCCAGCGGCTGAGTCTGTTCTGCGGGCGTGTTGTGCGTTGCGGCGTTCATTTCTTCGAGTTGGAGGATTCGTGCATCATGCGGCACGAGCACAAGCGACGGCTTCTTCTGCGATTGCGTTGGCGAAAGATTCAACCGTCGTCGAGCGGGCGCGTTTGATTCCGGCTTCGATCAATCGGCCACGGAATTCTTCGTCTTGGGCAATGCGAAGTAAAGCTGTCGACAGAGAATCCGCATCGTCGGGCGGTACCAGGAGGCCATCAACTTCGTCGCTGACCGAGGTTGGAATTCCGCCAACTCGGCTAGCCACAACGGTGCAACCGAATGCGCGGGCTTCGATCAATACGCGTGGGGTTCCTTCACTCCGGCTTGGAACCGCCAGGACATCGGCATCGGCAAAGCATTGGAACAACTCTGGACCAAACTCGCGGTGCCCAAGGAACTCGACCGTGCCGCGTTCTTGCAACCGACGGACCCATTCTGCGACATCCTCGGTCATCCCACGGTCTTCCATATTCTGCGAGCCGACAAAGCACAACTGAGCATCGGGGCGATGATCGAGAAGGCGATCGAAAGCTTCGAAGAGCGTGTCGATTCCTTTCTCATGTCGCAAGTACCCCACAAAGAGCACCCTGAAGGGTGCATTTGCTGGTCGCGAGCGCGGAACGCTCATCACTTCGGAGGCAAGTAAACTCGAGGAGACCACCGAACGTCCTTGTTCCAGCCGATAAGCACGAAGCAAATCGTCTCCGTTCGTCACCACGCCGGTGTGCGGGGCATGAAGCAACCGGCGGTACAGTCGGTCAATCGTATTGGATGCGGTCAACGCGACCATTCGTTTCGGGCCGCGGTACCACGGCGAGGTGTGAGCAATCTGGCGTACGTCGGCACACACGTGGTACACCCGAGGCACTTGCGGGCCGATGAGTGCGAAAGGCGCCGCGAACGGGAGTTGCACAATGACAACATCGCTTTGTTTTTCTACCTGTCGGATCACGCGTTTGCAGTGAGGGGCTTTGTGGAAGCCTCGAGCGATGCTGGGTAACCATGGCAACGGCAGGAAATCGAGCTTGTCTTCGTCGAGCCGATGATCGTGCCAGCGTTGTTTCCCAGGAGCGAGGCTGAGCGCAACGGTTAGTTGTTTGCAATCGCCTGCCCACTGATCGAGCAGGCGTCCTACTCCAGCCTCGGTCCACAGACCATCGCTGATCGAGCCTGAGCGGGCACTGACGAAACCCACGCGGAGACCGCTGAGGGCGCTCAAGCGGGGCGCCTCATCATTTGTCCGCGACGTGGAGGCAGATTCGGAGGCACTGTGACCATCGACTTCAATTGTTTCGCTGCAGGTACCCAAACCTTCTGGCTGATACACCAACCAATGCAAAGCCCCAAACCGGCTGCGAAGACCGGCATATACAAGATTTCACGAGAGAACAGCCCACGGACGATCCAGAGAATCATCAGCAGCTTTAAATAGCGATGCGCGAGTCGGGCGTATTCATTTCCGAAGAAGTCCTTCTTCACACCAGTTCCACGCCGCCACAGTAACAGCGCGAACAGAAAGAAGGCCGTACTGGCTACCAGCCCAGTACCGCCCACTAAGTGAGCCACCACGTTATGTGGGTCTAGAAATCCGCCGTGTCCACCGACTCTTTGCGCAAGCTCGAAGTATAGGCCTTGCGGAGAGACACCGAGAATCGGGTTCTCAATCCCGAGGAGCACAGCGGTCATTAACAGAGTGATACGCATCCGGTCGGTTGTATCACCTTCCACCGTAACCTCGACTTGAGACTCGATAAGTTCGGTCGAAAAGACGGTGGTCAGCAAGACAAAGCTGGCTATCCCCAAGATGCCAAAAATAAAGGCCGCTCGGATGAAGTTTCCTTGCACCATGAGCAGCATGACGATGACGCCAAGCCCCAGCCAACCAGAACGGTTAGCCGAAGTCAAAATGGCCACCGAGATAATGACGACGCTGACTCCTAAGACCAGCCTTAACCATTTGGCGACGGTCTTGTCCATCACCAGTAGTCCGCCGAGCAACACCGGGGGAAGACTGTATAGCGACCACCCATTTTCGTTAGACATCTCCAAGGGGTTCACGCCGGAGTGGCTATCCATGTTGGCGAAACCCTTGAAGCTCAGCATCACCACGCCAATGGTCAGGCCGAACACCGAGAGGCGGAAGTCCTTAGTCGTGCGAATACACAACGCGCCGACCAGAACCGTGGCTACACCACCTCCGATTTTCAAAATCTCTTGGTAGTACGCGACGTATTTCGCAGCACCCGCCAACACGGAGAAAATGTACATGGTGAGAAACACCACCAGCGAAATTAGCGCACCGGTGGGAAAGTCTGATAGACGGGCGACTAGCACGTAGAGCAGGATGGGGACCGAAGCCAGCAAGTAAGCGTGAACCTGCATGGGACCAAGTGGAACGCGGCCCCACTCAAACGCCGAAAGCGGGATCAGCATCACGACCAGGAACAGCAGGAACCCGGTGAACGTGACCTTGCCCGTATCTGGCTTGGTCTTTGCCAACGGCGGAACATACCTTCGCGCCATGGCAGGGTTCCAGCCGCCAGCGGGATAGCTAGGACTGCTCATTTACTGTTTGCCTCTCCATTGCCGCGCGATTGGTACGAAGCGTACGCCCGACGCGCGATTCCGCTGCCCACGGGACCCAGGGCCAACAAGCCAGCGAGCATCCATGCCTTGCGGTTGCGCCGTACATGCCATGGATACACGGCCTTGCCAAAGCGAAGTACCCGTTTGGCCTTCAGTTTCTCCCCTTTGGCCAATGTGGCCAAGCCATGCCGGGCCACATCGTGCTCGACAAAAGCCTGTTCAACTTCGGCCTTTGAGAGCCCCGTCTTCTCAAGCCACTTCGGATCGACTTCGATCGTGGCCAGATACTCGTCCACCATGAATTTTAGAGCGCCTGCGGAAGCTTGAAGCGAATTTTGGTTGCTTTGGTGTACTCGATAGGAAAACAGGGGGTGATCGATAAAATAGGCGGTTTCAGCCACCCCCATCAGCTTCCAACTGAACCATTTATCCGGATTGATCACCCGGTTGCCGCCATACCCCTCGACGCGCTCATAGAGTGCCTTCGGGTAACAGGTTGCGGCAAACATGAAGGGCGACTTCATCTTGGTCAGGCAGCGGCGGAGCAATTCATCGACGGACACTCGGTACACGGGCCCGTCTACCACCGATTCCAGTTCTGGCACGCGATCGCTCTTCTGCCACACGGCCCATTCCGGGGGAAGCCGGCCTGTGAGATTGTCGTCCGAGTCAATCACATCGGCCGCGGAACTGACGATGGCACGGTTCGCCGATTCACCCAAGGTGCTGAGAAATCGGTCGTATGTCTCCAGCGCGTCGGGCTTCATCAGGTCATCTGACGAAAGCATGATCATGCGATCTTGCGTTGCGTGACGTGCGGCTCGATCGAGATTGCCTGCGAAACCGACGTTGCATTTGTTCACGTGCAGCTTAATTCGGTCGTCGTTGAATCCTCGCACCACCTCGACTGAATTGTCGGTGCTGCAGTTATCTGAGACGAGAACTTCGAAATCGCCGTAAGTTTGATCGAGAACGCTTTGAATCGTTCGGCCGATGTATCCGGCATAGTTGTAGTTCGGGATGCAGATCGAGTAGCCCATAGTTGATTCCGCGTCGCTTAAGTTCCTCAATTCAATGATGATTTAGCGGCCGGTCCATGGCGGCTTGGTAAACCTTCAAGATACCCGCGGCGCAACTTTCAAGCGAATACGTTGATTCTGCACGTTGGCGTCCCGCGGAGCCCATCGTTCTCCGAAGTTCAGCATCGCGGGCCAAGGTGTCGATTCCCTTGGCCAAGGCCTTCGCGTCGTCTGGCGGGCCTAGCAGGCCAGTCTCGCCGTGAACCACGATTTCGCCGACTCCGCCGCCCTGTACTCCCACGACTGGAATACCTGCGGCCATACCCTCAACGATTACCCGACCGAATGATTCATCGTCGGCCTGGTGCACGAGGATGTCGATCTGGGACATGATCTCGACCGGGTCGGAGAGAAAACCCGGGAACGCAAATCGGTCTCGCAGGCCGAGTCGATCGATCTGGGCATGTAATGCGTCGGCGTATTCATTGCCGGGCACGGTACCGCCTTGCGAAGGGTCGTGTCCGTAGATGCGAAACTCGAGATCGAGTGACGGATCGACGTGGGAGGCTGCTTCGACAAACAGTGGGTGTTTCTTCCAGTTACTACTAATACTGCCGACCATGGCCACGACCAACTTGTTGCCGGATGGGGTGATCGGGCGCACTTCGAATTGGGAGACGTCGATCCCGTTGGGGACCACCTGCAGCAACCCCTCTGGGAGCCAATCCCGTACGATGTCGGCCGTGACATTCGAGTTGGCAACCAAGAACGAACATTGTTTGGCCAGATGCTCGCCCAACCGGTTCCCTTCCAGCGGCAACCGAAATGGACGCCCAGGCCCCAATAATTCGCGGAGATGCCATACGTGCGGCAGACCCAAGGCGCGAGCGGCTGAGGCTCCCTCGGGAGTGCAGATTGTATTGGTATGAATCAGATCGGCCTGTTGCTCTTGGGCGAACCGCGTCACCTTTTCGGCAGAACCACGTTTAAAGCCCGTGCGCTTGAGTTGATAGGCTTCGATCAGAGGGCGTTTCCAAGTCTTCGCGCGGATCTTGCGGTTCCACCAATAAAGTGGGGCGAAGATCACGTTGCCGTGCGTGGCGTCGGAGAGGAGCTTGCGTTCTGCTTCGCCTCCAGCGTCGTGGCATACCGCGCAGGCTTCGATGCCTTGCTCACGTAGCGAGTCCATTAAACCAATGGTGCTCAGCGCTGCACCGCCGGCCGCACTGTTGAGCACGTGAAGTACTTTCTTAGGCTGCCGCGCGATCATCAAGGCTTGTAGTTCTTGTTGAAATGTTCCAAGTCTTCGGGGGTGCCCAGTACCCACACCTCGAGAGCTTCGTCGATGCGGATATCGGCCCCATCGGCAATGAGTCGGTTGTAGAGTGGCGCCACATAAAATTCTTTGTTGGTGCGTTGGTTCTCAGCGATCATCTCATCGGCGTGTCGAACGAAGTCGGACCCGCGTGAAAAATGGTAGAGCCCTGTGCAGGCCCATTGCGAGATGCGTTTCTTTTCAGCAGTTTCAACAACCCGACCTTCGTCGTTCGTGCGGGCGAAACTCCACTTATCGCCAGGGGCCTGGAACACACTCAGCAGTCCGTCGGCCTTGGCTTGAAGTGCTGGGAGTGTTTGTTCCAAGTTGGTGCGGCAATAGGTATCTGCGTTATAGATGAGTAGGGGCTTATCGTTATCGATGTGATCGCGAGCCACGAGCACGGTGCAGGCTTGGCCTTCCGTTACTTCGTCGAGTCCGATGATGACCGGATTCAGGTCGGCATATCGAGTCTCGATGTCCTCTTGCAAGTTGCACTGGTCAAGATGTTCACGCAGGCAAACGAAGACCACCTTTTCGACGAGCCCCAGCGGCAAGCTGTCCATGGCCCAGGAGTACATCGGGCGACCACGAACATCGATGAGCGGTTTGGGCGTAGCAATACCGATGTCGGCAAAGCGACTTCCTCGACCCGCCATAGGCATGACAGCAATCATTTCTTGGCGGCCTGTTCTTGCTCGAAGGCTTTCTGCTTCTCGGCACTCAGTGGCATGCTGCTGCCGTCCCCGGCGATGTCGTCCCAAGACTCGAAGCGCACTGCATTATCGTCGAGGTAAATATCGGCATGGGGTTTACCGAAATAGATCTCGTCATACTCAATCCCGTGATCGGCAAGCCATTTCAGCGTAATGGCGCCTTTGCGAGCTACCACCAGACCCACGTTCCCCTGGCAGGTTTTCATGTGCCGGGCCGTGTTGAGAATGATGTAGTGCCCTGCCGCACGGAGTTCTTGTAGCTTTTCTTTAGCCCCTGGGACTGGTTCCAAATCGGGATAGTCTTGTCCCGGCTCACGGAGTCGGCAGATTACGCCGTCCAGATCAACGCAAATTCGCATGGTTCGCTTCTAATTGAGTGTCACTAGGTTTGTTATCTTGAAATGCTTCGTCAAACAGTTGCATGGCCCGGGCGTACATGGCTAGCTGCCGCCGCGGGGTGTCGTAATGCAGTGCAGGCATACTGGCGAACAGCACACCTGTGAGGATTAGAATCTCGCGACGATCGAAGGTGCCGAAGAAGGCGCTCTCGAATCGCTCACGTATATGTTCGTGTTGTGGTCTTGAGCAGATGTCCAGTTGGATGTTCGCCCCATCGACTTCGACGCGGAACAAATCGTTGGTGATGAAGTCGTAAAGACCGTACACCGAGTGATAGAGTTTGGCGACGTCGTAGCGGGAATCGCCATACAGGCCTGCCGCACCAAAGCTTCCGCGTGGATCGATCAGTTTGCAGATGCGAGATCGCATGTCGTACAGGATGTTGGAGAAGCACATGTCTCCGTGGATGACATTACCCTGTACGTTTTCAGCCAAGCGATCAACTTCGCCTTCCAACAAATTCCACAGCCGTGGGAGGTTCTCCATCTCGCGACCATTGATGGTGATCGGACCGTCATGCTCAACAATGCGAAGCAGCTCGGGTGAGGCTCGCAGGTTGTCGAGCCGCGTTCGCGTCTTAGCGACATACATCTCGTGGAGATCTTCGAGAGATAGCGGACGTCGCCGCTTCATGAAGCCTGAGGTGATGATTTCGCGAAGATGGACGAAGATTTGTTCCCAGATTCCCGGATCGACGTTCTCAAACACAAAGACCTCGGCCAGCGATGGATACCCGTAGTATTCCATCGTGACATAGGGCTCGTCCCAGTCGGTCGAGTAATCGATGATGCGGGGAAAAAGCACGGCCAAGTCGGGTGGCAGCAGCCGCATGAAGTTGATTTCGTCGATGAACTTCTTCACGTGCCGGCTGTGTTTGGTGATGGTGCCTAGCACGGGATCGATCGAAAGCTCGTTGAAGTCTCGCTTTTGCAGCAACGATCGGTGTGAGGTTGCCTGTCGGTCGGGGTTTCCGCAGTCGAGCCAGTCTCCTGCCGTCTCGGCCAGGATGGGCTTGGTTTCGCCGATGAGCTGCAGGATGTCGGCCATGGCTGTTAGCCGCGACTGAGATTCGGCCTTTTGCACGGCCAAGCGACCTTGATTTTGTAGTTCTTTTGTGTCGGGGAAGAAGTAAACACCAATCAAGGCATCGTGGTGAGCGCCTGGCAGGTCGGGCACTTTGTCGTGCAGTTGGGTAACGAACCCTTCCGCATCGCTCTCGGCGGTGCACCAGCGATACGACTCTTCCACAGGGCTGGTGAGCACCACAGGTGAACCAGCTTCCAGTACATGAGGGTCTTTGAACTGGAAGTGAGTGTCACCCAATACGACCAAACTACTGGCGGTGGTTGCCTGTTGGGCCAGTTCGTGAACGGTGAGGCCGAGACCACCGTCTTTGGAAGGAACGACGAACTGAATATTCGTATCTTGGCCAAAGGTGTAGGCCACGAAGTCTTCGATGAACATGTCGCGGTGTGCGACGGCAATGACGAAGTTTCGCAATCCCAGCGAGCGGAGGTAGGTCAACGTCCAATGAATGACGGGCCGCCCGGCAACGGGGACCATCGCCGGACAGGAAATGTTCGAGAGGGCCATAACCCCTTCTGCAACCCGGCCTGCAGCTGGGACGAGGACCGTGATCTCGTCGGCGTTTTTTACCGGCGCTGGTTTATCTGCGTGGTTGTTGTGCATGTCATTCATTGGTCAGACAGCCCGGCTAGTCGGCACAGTTCTCGCCCCACTCGCTCGGCCGACCGACCATCGTGGCTGTGGAACATACTTTGAAGGTAGTCTTGCGATCGATCTCGTGCCGAAGAGGCCCCCTCGGGAGAGTCGACGATCGATTCGACTGTTTCGTACAAGTGCTCGGGCGTCGTTACGTGAGTGGTTGCTCCCTGGGTGATAAAGTCGGTTGCGGCGATCTCGTCGGCGAAGTCCATCGTAATCACCGGCACGTCCATCAACATGGCTTCAACGGCCACCGACGATGCCCCGGTGAGCAGCAAATCACTTCCCTGGAGCCAGTCGAAGATGTCTCCGGGGTAGCCTTCAGCACCATAGGGGACAATGTGAAGCTCCGCATCGGATAAGCGAGTGAGCACTTGCTGGTAGTATTCCAGGTGATCTTTTCGATGCAGTTTGACTACGAATTGCACGTGCGGCAACTTAAGGCTCACGTGACGGAGTGTTTCGATGATTTGGGCATGATGCTCGTGCGAGATGGTGTTGCCTGGCCCCGAAGTGGCGACCAACACATACGGCTTCTTGTCGTCCAGTGATAAGTTCTGACGAATTGTCTCGTGAATGTGGCCTGATTGTTTAGGGCTTCCATCCAGATATGGGGCCCCGCAGACCGCGACTTGTTCAGCAGGGTAGCCCAGGCTTGCAAGGAAGTTCTTTGCCGCTTCCCCATAGGCCAAGTATCGATCTGCAATGTGCAGGGCGTGCGTGGGGTTGCTGGCCAAAGCGCCGTGCATTGGGCACGCGGTTGTAATTCCCTGGGTTTTCGCCATGCGGCAAGCGGTGCGACCTTGGTAGGTTATATCGCTGCCCACGACCAGCACTTTGGGTTTGATTCGCCGGAAGATCTCTTCGCAGTTGACTTGGGCTTCGTATATGAGTGGCAGGAGATGCGCCGAGTGAAAGCGAAGCATTTTCACCAGCTCAGCCGTGTCATCCAAGGGTTCGAGATCGCTGATGTCGAACAACTCGGAGTTGCTCAGCTTTGTGCATTGGATCCGACCGGTGAGACTTGCTTTTCGCAGTCGACCACCCCAATGGGCTTGTGGAAAGATCGCCTGAATGCCTTGGGCTTCTAGCTCATGAAAGATCTTTCCTCGACACGCAAACACTATGTAGGGGATGTTCTGCTGGTCGAGCCATTGCATGACAGGCTTCATGGCTTTGACGTGTGTGGGTTCACACGGCCAAAAGACAATGTCTGCCTGAGAGATCTGGGCCGAACGGCGACTGGTGGCACGATCTTCGAGAGATCGCTTGACGCGTGAGCCCAACAGTTTGGTTTGGCGACGGGTGCGACCCAGCATCCCGAGCGGCTTCTTTCGTTTCTTTGCTGGATCGTGTCGCAAGAAGGTTAACGTATTGAAGTAAAGAGCGACGATCCCGACATCCAGAATATCGATTTCACCATGTTGCAGAAGCGGACCCCATTCGCTCGCCTTCAAAATTGGGTAGGCGTGCTCGAACCAGCGTAGGACCTCAGTGCCATTGACGGCAGTGGATTCTGCGGAAGTCGGTTCGACGGTTGCGGCTTGATTTGAATTCAAGGTGGGGCTCAGTGTCCGTTTCGCGATTCTCTATTTCTTTCCGTTGGAGGAAAGAACCTTGTTTGCTCGTCGCACTTTGGTACGGACGCGGTTGATTTTGTCGTAGTCGCGAGGCCAGTGCACGTAGCGTTCCTGGTCGCGGAGTGAATAGTAGTGACTTCCGTCTCGCTCGCCGATCTCCTTCGCGGGATTTCCTCCCACGATCTTCAGCGGCGGGACATCGCGAGTAACTACGGCCCCCGCTGCCAAAATTGCACCCTCGCCGACCGTCACGCCGGGCATGATCAATACGCGATCGCCAATCCAGACACAGTTTCCGATAGTGACGTCTTCCGAGATTCTCGTCCGGTCGTAAGGCAGTGCATCGGGATACTTGTAATTGTGGTTGTCTGTAATCACCGTGACGTCTTCACCCATGTGCACGTGTGCACCCACAAAGAGCTTGCCTTGCCCTTTGGACACGAAGCCCGGGTTGATTGAGACATCCTCAGCAAAATGAGTATTCCTGGGGTTACCAATGGCGAGAGGCCCTCGGATCGAAGCGCCCTGCCCAAGCTCTGCAAGTAACTCCAACTGCCGCTTCAGCAGTTGACGGCCATACCAGTGAGACACTGGGTCGACAACAAACTTGCGAAGGATGAGAAACAGCAGCATCTGCATAGGGCGAATACTCTCGAGCGTTGAGCCGCCCTGCTCTATTCTTTTTTCGACTCGACATAAATCGAGAATTCCGGGTGTGTGTTATCAAACAATTTGGTGTCGCGAAGAACCGGCGAAACACTCTGCCCATAAGCCGAACGAATGACCGTCTTAAATCCGGCCTTCTCGAACATGGGCTTGAACTTGTCGAAGGTCCACCAATTGACGTGATTGCCTGGATACTTTCTCTGCACTTCGAGGTCGCACTTCGACACACAATAGTCGAGCGCGTCGGAAAGGGTCATGGTTTCCAGGACTTGGTCTAGTTCTTCGTCAGAGATTCGCTCCGCAGAACCATCGACGTGATTGACTGAAGTGCTGGTTGCCACCCTCCACAAGAACAACTGCTGTGGCGACAACTGGTTAGCCGGGCGATCGATACAGTGTTTGCGTGCCTTTTCCGCGGTTCTGTAAATACGGGTGATGTTGTCGAAGTGATGGTCCCGGCGACAGAGTGCCTGATAGAACAACTCTGCATCGGGCACGGTCACTCGCAGGATACCTCCAGGATTTAATACTCGGAACACTTCGCTAAGGAACCATTCCGCGGCCTCATTGGGTATATGCTCCAACGTGTGACTGGTGTACACGATCTCCGCCGAATCACTTTCGATTGGAAGAGGATCAAAACTGAGTAAGTCGTAGGCAAGCAAGGTCTGCCCGTCTTGAACGTTGGCGTACCAGTCTGAAGGCTTGTCGACAATGGTCCAGTGAGGGTGACGGAACTTTCCGGCCCCCACGTTGTAAAAGGGCTTTCTTTCAAGCACTTCTTCGCTGTAAAGCTCTTTGTATAACCCCATCGACGGGGTTTCATATTCAGGTCGCGCGCGGGCAACGTTAAATCCTAACCGGCTGGCAGTTCGACGAATTGCTACCTTGGTTGACATGGCAAGTGAGGCGATCACTTTTCAGCTCCGTACTGCTTGCGCCCCTTGCTGGCCTCGCTCGAATAGTTCAAATCGGTGATTTCGATTTGGTGCAATGCCCCAACGAAACCTTCTCTGACGACCGCTCCGTATTTGAATTCTCCGCTTTGTCTTCGCTGGTTTCTGGCCCGGGAGTTTCACCAGGGATTACTTGTTTGGATACTTCTACAGTGGGCGAAGTGTTCGATCCGTCGACTTGCTCACCAGGTGCGAGCGAAGGAACCTCGCTTACGGTATCTGAATCAGACTCGCTGATGTCTTCAAGGGGGGCTTTCTTACGAGCGCGAACTTTCTTCAATCGGCGACCAATTTCTCGCATTCGCGACCGCTCAGTTGAGGATCGCAACAGAGTCAGCGTCACGAAAATCGGGAAGGCGATCGAAAGTCCGAGAGCCATCCCGATGCGAGCCGGGATGTTCATCAACGCATGACCCTCATAGGCTAGGGCCGCACACAGAGCAGAGCCGACAAAGAACGCAATGAGGCTTGGCCAATCGTAGGGAACATGAAATCTGCGTTGCGACAGGAGGTATATAACTGCCGACATCACACACCAACCAATAATTGTCCCGAGGGCGGCGCCTGTTGCTCCCAGCGCATTAACTAGAGGGAGTGCCGTGCAAACTACAGTAATCAAACCCATGAGGCTGACCAAAGGAAGTGCCCGCGTATTGTTCGAGAGTTCGATCCCGGTGCCGAGCATGAAGTACAGCCCTTCGCTCAATGGGATGGCAGCCACAATCGGGATGAGTAATGCCGCATCATGGAAATTGGGGTTGGTGAACAGTAACAAAGCCAGTGGACCCCAAGCAGCTACACCTACCCACAAGTAGGTGGTTCCGGCGAAGTAGTAGGTGACCGCGGTTCGGAAGAAACCAGGGGGATCTTCATCGCGAGCATGTATCTGAAACTTGAAAGGGACCCAAGCCTTCTGAACCGCATGCACGACGAACGTGAAAGGAACGGAGAACATCACCGCGACGCGAAACAAACCGCCTTCGGCAACCCCAAGTTGCTTCAGCACGACAAGTTGACCAAATGCGGTCAGGAGAACTGCCATGATTTTGTGCGGTACGAAGGGCGTGCCATATCTCAGCATTCCTTGCCACTGCTCGGAACTCAGTTCGAACCGGAAGGAATGGCGGGTGACATAGAACTGAGCAGCGGTCCCGACGATGGCTCCCACCAAGCCGCCAATGATGGCACCCATCAGCCCCATCCGCAATTGAGCAACCAGGAAGATGGAAACCCCTATCGTTGACAGTAGCCGCAGAATGTTCATCGCAGCGGAGGTGCGCACTCGGCGGTCAGCCCGCAGGACGACCATGGTGATTTCGCCCACACTGCTGATCATCGCAGTGACGACCGTCAACTGCATCAACCGCACACTGTCCGGGTGTGCCACGACCAAATCGATCAGCGGACCGGCGAACATGAGGCAGAATATTCCCAACAGTAGGGTCGAGCAAAGGACACTCAGAAGTCCTGTGCTGAGGACGATCTGCCGCTCTTCGTCATCATTACATGTGTTAAACCGCCGGAAGACCGCATTCGACATCCCAAGGTTTGCTATTGGGATGAACAGTGCAAGAACGATGTTCAGCATCGCCCAAACGCCGTAGTCTGCCGTAGATAGAAAATCAGTGTATATCGGCAGCAGCATGAAGTTGATCACTTGGCTCAGCGCAGAGCTGGCCCCGTAGATCATGCTGTCGGATGCCAAACTTTTCAGTTTATTCAGCAATTGCTTGTTCGATTATGCTGCCGGATGTAGCTGCGGATCATTCAACAATGGGGTAATTCGCTAACCGCTCGGTGCGACTGGCCAAGTACTCTTCCATCATCCCAGACTCGAGATTTTTCCAAAGTGCACGGACGGCGCCGGCGTGAAAGTCTTTCCGGCGGAAAACCTTGCCGACGGAGAGATCTTGCTTTTGAGGTTCGATTTTACTGGCAGCATAAAGCTCGACCACCGATGGCAAGGCGGCAACCGCGGCCATGATTGTCTTTGTGCCCAACTCGTGTGCTCCGTCCCCAGGCTGAGCGTCTGGGCGAACTTGCCGCAGGATTGCGCCGGCGTCGACACTAAGCACCGCTAAATGAATCGTGGCTCCCACGCATTCTGGACAGCGCTCTACGAGCGGCCAAAAGTTAGTGCCAGTACCGCGATAGTAGGGTGAAAGACCGAGGTGAATATTGATGATCCGGCCGTCGTATGCCGAGAGCAGCGGATCTCTGATGATGCTTGTGCCGTAAAGAACGATGTAGTCGGGTTCGTGGGATTGAACCCAATCGAACACCTCTGTGGTGTTCGAACCGCCGTGTTCGACTTCGAGACGGGGCACGTTTGGGGGAGCGATCTCGTTGCCCAGCAGTTTTCGCTCAGCTTCGCTACGCTGTGCGAAATGCTTGTCGACCACTTCGCGGTCTTCGTCCGAGAGTTCTTCCGGTTTTGCCACCAACTTCGCCTTACCCTCTTGTAACAGTCCCACAAGTGGCATGCTGGAAGCGATTTGGTTTGCGACATAGTTATGCCGCAGTTGATTTCCGGTCAGCAGGACGATGCGATGATTAGTTGCCATCAATCGCTAGTTTTCGTGAACCAAGTACGAGAGGGTGCGGCGTCGAACATTTTCGGTGCTTCCCAGAGAGCTGCTTTTCCACCGGGAACGTCGTTGCTGTCGAAGCGAGCCAGGTGCAGCGGCTCTTCCAGGGTGGGGTTTCCGGCCCGCTCCATGGTGAATGCGAAGCGAATGCCGTGATCGATGGCCACCTGCGATGCTACACGATTCGCTGCATCTCGCGACCCGTAGGGATAACTCAACGCATAGGGACGATAGCCCGCCCATTCGGCCAGCAAATCTCCCGAACGACTGAGCTGTTGGTGTTGATGCTCAGAGTCGAGTAGTCCCAAGGGAAGATGCTCATGAGCATGATTGCCAATGAGTTCCAAAGCACCCAACTCGGCAATCTGCTCTCGACTCATGTAAAGTTCTTCGCTGATTTCCTTCTCGGAATGATTGAAGAACTCATCGAACATTTCGCTGATGATCGTGTCGCGCTGCTGTCGGTTTAGCGTGAAGTTGAGCAGGTACTTCAGTCGCTTGATTTCTGGAGTGTCGTACTTGTAGTGTGCGGTCGCCTTATCAGCGTCGGCATCGTCGTCGATTTCGATGCCCCGTTCCAAAGCCTCCGCTTTCACACCCTCGGCAAACAGATCAGGGTTCATGTTTGCCCGCAAAAGATGAATCTGGTGGACCGCCGAAACCAGTCCTTCCTCGATCGGTCGAGTATTGATGAAGAAGATGGCCGGCACGCCCAGCTTTTGGAACACCGGTAGAGCTGTCTCGTACTGCTCCCGCAGTCCATCGTCGAGCGTGATAATAAGAGCGCGTTCAGGGAGTGGCTGTTGTTGCTCGATCGCATCCAGGATCTGACGCATCGAGACAAATTCACCGACTCGGCTGAGGGTTTCGAGTTGCTCAGCCAATTGATTCGGCGTGCTGCCGTGAATACCCGGGTACGGAGTGTCGAACGACTTGCGGACGTAGTGATAGTTTATGGCGATGAGCATCAGGGTGCTGATTCGTCGGGAGAGATTAAGCAGTGGCGTGAGACTGACGATTCAGCATGAATTCAGCAAAAGCCAGATCGATTTCGTCGTTGATGTCGATGGAATACTCGCGAGGCATCACATGTCCCAGGCAGTCGTCACCGATTACCTTGCCCTCATCGATGGCCCGGCGGCGGGTGACGTAAACTGATCCATTTCGTGAATACACCGTAGGGATCTCGTGGGCTGCCATGCGTCCCTTTTCTTCTTCGAGATAGGGGATCAGCAAGTCGCCTTGCATCAGTTTCAGCTTTAGAGGATGGAATTCCTGGTCGAGCTTCGAAACGGAGACTGCCGAGTCGACATCGCTACCTTCCAGCAGAGCAATCGTATCGTCAACATCCGACGGCCGAGTCAACGGCGAACTTGGTTGAATCAAGCAGACTGCATCGAAATGGGGCTCTCCATTACCTTCCAAGATGCCCAATGCGTGATGCACAAACTCGATGGCCAGCGAACGGTCTTGAGAAATCTCATCGGGACGCCGAAGCACAATCTCGGGGTCGTAGTCACGCGCAATCTGAAGGATTTCAGAGTCATCTGAACTCACAACGACGCGATCCAAGCGCTCGGCTGCCAGCGCCGTTTCGATTGCACGTGCGACGAGTGGTTTCCCGGCAAAGAGTGCCAAGTTCTTTCTCGGAAGCCGTTTCGAACCACCGCGGGCAGGGACAATGCCCAATACTCTCATGGTGTTACTCATGTTGCCTTTTTCTCCCTGTTCGACATGAGCGGTTACGCCCTAACTCGCGTATTGAGTGCGCCCGTTCGGACTAGTTCAAGTACGCGTAGAGCAAGAAACGTCTCCGTCTTTGCGAACGATTCCTCAGTGTTGCCCCCTATATGTGGTACTACCAGCAAATTGGAGTGGGTTCGAGCATACTCCAAGACGGGGTGGCCTGGACTAATATTAGGCTCTCCGTCAAGCACGTCGAGTGCTGCACCGGCAATCTGGCCCGAACTCAGCGCCCACAGCAGCGCTTCGTCGTCAACGATTCCACCGCGTGAAGTGTTAATTAGTACGGCGGATTTCTTCATGCATTCGAAGTGTTCACGACGGAACAAGCGCCGGGTGTCTTCGTCGTATTTAACGTGGATACTGACCACGTCACTTTTCTCTAGCAGTTCCTGTAAGGTTTCCGCTCGCTCGGCTACATCGAGGGGGAAATCGGGGCGCGGATCGTATCCGATCACTTTCATTCCGAACGTGCGGAAATAGCCCGCAACAATGTTCCCTAACCGTCCCATGCCCACGATGCCGGCGGTCTTCTCGAATAGTTCACGACCGCGAAACAGGTCCCGATTCCAAGTGCCCGACTTTACGGATTCGGCCGCATCGGGAATGTGCCGGAGTAGAGATAACGTCAGTCCGAGAGTTAGCTCTGCAGTGGCGCGGACCTTCTTGAGAAAGTCGTACTCTCCACGAAGGCACACCACGCGAATTCCCCGCTCGGCGCACGCTTCGAGATCAATGTGATCGATCCCCGTTACGGGCGTTGCCAGAATCCGGCAGCGAATGTCGCCTGTCAGCACTTCACGACTCATACGGTGTGCCAGGCGGAACCAGAAGACATCGTAGTTCTCCAGTGCTTGACGCAAATCGCCATTGCCGCATTGCCACAGATCGACTTGGCCGATCCGCTTTAGCAATGCGATGGCGCGGGGACTAAAGTCCTGCGGTTCCGCAATCAGTATTTTGTATGGTTCGTGCACGGCCCCTGTTGGTGCATGAAGCCCAGTTCAACTCTCGTTGTCGACGAAAGCGAGTCTCTTTTGGACGTATAATTTGAGTGTTTCCAGTTCTTTCGCGACACGCTCGGAGACGTGCCCATCGCCATAGAGCGTGCTGGGAGCATACCGTCCGTGTTCAAGCTGTTTCATAATGGCTTCGCGAATACGCTCTTCGCTCGTCGGCACCCGGGTGACGTGTTCATCAGTCTCCCGACCTTGTTGACGTTTGCCGACTAGCACTACAGGAGTGCCGAAATACCCGGCATCGCGAACAAAGCTGCTCGAGTTTCCGATCGCACACTGAGCGTTTGCCAGAACCTTAAGGTAGTTTTCTGGCGTTAGGTTCGTGATCGTTCGCATCCAAGGTAAGTCGTGCTGTGAGCGATAAACACGAATCATCTTGCTAATGTGATCTGACCCGGCATCGATGTTTGGCCACAAGAGCAAGGTTTGCACTCGAATCGAGTTCAGTACCTCGAGAAGCCCACTCATCTGCTCGGCTTCAACTCCAAACTCGGTGGTGGTGGGGTGAAACAGCACCAGGAAGTAAGGCTTGCTCAAATCGATTTTGATTCCAGCACCGCGATTGTTGACGATCTCGGAATCGAGTGAGGTGTCGAGCTGCCTCGCAATATCGCTACTTGGGCAGCCGACTGTGATGATCGTCTCTGGGCGTTCGCCCATGCGGATTAGATAGTCGGCAGAACGCTTTGTCGACGGCACGTGAAATTGCGAGAATTTCGTAATAGCATGACGGGCGCTCTCGTCGATGGATCCACTGACTTCACCACCCTGAACATGCACGATCGGGATGTTCATATAGGCTGCGGCCACGGCTGCAGCGAGGGCTTCGTAGCGATCGCCGATAATCAGAACCATATCGGGCTTGAGCCGATGGAACTCACTGGCGAACTCCATCATGCCGAAGCCCACACTCTTAGCCATGGTGGCAGGGGTTGAGCCTTCGAGTTCGATGTAGATTTCGCCGCTGATATCAAAGCCATCGTTTCGAACCACGCGCACGGGCTGGTCGAAACGTTCCAGCACCATGGTGCCGGCCGCTAATACTTGCAGTTTGAGATTAGGGCGTTGCTGTATGGCTTTCATGACCGGTTTGAGCCGACCGTAGTTGGCACGATCGACCAGCACGACGCATACGGTTCGCCGTCCGTCTTCAGTCAAGATGATTCTCCGAAAGCATGGTGTCTCGACTCACGGCTTGGGTTAGCTTTCGCCCCAGCACTTCGTCGTATCGTGATGCGGAAATCCCGGTGCCGGGTTTCTTAAGTGCTAAATCCGCATCGGTAAGGGTATGTCCCGCAGGTAGGTCTTGAGCGGCCACGATGCTCTTACCAAAGATGCTTCGCAGCTCGGTCATTTCGTCGGCCACGGCGGCCTTGTTCACTGGGTTGTCCAGGCAGGTTTCGATGAAGCGTATCCCGTCGACCAATTGCTTCAGCTCTGATGGGGTGACCGAGGCCTTAACATCGGGGCCGAAGCAGTCACGTGATAGAACCACGTGGATCTCAAGTAAGTCGCTGCCCAGGGAGGTTGCCGCGAGGCCCGGGTAAATTGTTCCGGAGTGATCAGAGAGCCCCGCCGGGCAATCGTACCGTTGACGTAGCTCGTCGATCACATTCAACCCAATCTTTTCCGCAGGGCACGGATAAGCGGTTGTGCACTGCAGCAGAGCTACTCCAGCACCTGCATTGCGAATGGTTGTGACTGCTTGATCTAGATCTTCCCAGGGCGACATGCCACTGGAGAGAATCACGGGGTTGCCAGTGCTGGCCATCCGCCGAAGCATCGGCAAGTTCGTGACTTCGCCTGAACCAACCTTCCAGGCAGGCACCCCAACCTTTGAGAGCAGTTCGATCGCTTCCATTGAAAACGGGGTCGAGAGAAACGCCAGACCTTGTTCTGCCGCGTGCTTAGCCAAGCCTTCCCACTGCGAAGGAGTGAACTCCATTCGCTTCCAGTAGTCGTACCGAGTTTCATCCTGAGGGGAGAACTTAACACGGAACGGTTCGCCCGGAGTCGATTCGGCAGCAGCGATATGGGTTTGAAACTTAATCGCATCGGCGCCGCTTCGGGCCACGACATCGATGTAGGCGTGTGCGGTTCCCAAGCTGCCGTCGTGAGCTTGCGCAACTTCAGCGATCACGAAACACGGCGAGCCGGGCCCGACCGAACGTTGGTCTATCGAGATATTCAACAGCGAGAACTCAATGAAGGTTCGATAAGATTAGTTGTCTGCCGCCGACGTGTTGAGGACTTCTGCGTCACTCGCACTTTTTTCTTCCGGCGCCTTCTCCGCAGGCTTGGGTGGCCCGTTGAGTTGGTACTCTGGAACGTAGTGCTTCAGACGGCGTCTGAGGACGTCGGCAGGACCATGAGCCAGCGAACAAAGTTCGTCGATGGCTTGTCGAACCTCATTCATTTCGTAGGGACGATGGTAGGCGGCGAACAGTTTCGGGTGGTCGGTCGCCAGCATCTCTTCTTCATCGAAGTAAAGTTCTTCATAAAGCTTTTCACCAGGGCGAAGGCCCGTGAAGACGATGTCGATGTCATCCTCGGTGAGCCCCGAAAGATGGATTAGATCTCGCGCAAGATCAACAATCTTGACGGGTTCACCCATATCAAGAACGAAGATCTCACCACCGGTCCCCATGGCCGCCGCCTGCAAGACAAGTTGCGAGGCCTCGGGGATGGTCATAAAGAATCGTTCCATCTTCTCGTGCGTGACGGTGACGGGACCTCCACGACGAATTTGGGCCTTGAACGTCGGAACGACGCTGCCGGCCGAACCCAGCACATTCCCAAAGCGAACAACCACGTACTTGGTGGTCTTCGCATATGCCGCGTACGACTGCACGAAGCGCTCCGCTATTTGCTTCGAGACCCCCATGATGCTCGTAGGATTAACCGCCTTATCGGTCGAGATCATCACAAAGCGCTTTACATCGTGGCGGTCGGCGGCCTCGGCCAAAAGCTTAGTTCCGACAACGTTATTCTTGATGGCTTCGCCGGGGTTCGACTCCATCATAGGCACATGCTTGTGGGCGGCCGCGTGGAAGATCACGTCGGGGCGATGTTGCAGTAAAATCTGATCTAGCCGCTGAGCATCGGCGATATCGGCCACACACGGATGAATCTCGGAAGTGATTGCCAGCCGGCCCAACTCCTGTTCAATGGTGAACAGACTGTTCTCGGCGCGCTCGACGAGTAGGAGCGACTTGGGCGAAAACCGCAATACCTGGCGGCATACTTCCGAACCGATGCTGCCACCAGCACCGGTGACCATCACCGTCTTGCCTTCGAGCAACTCGCCGATGGCCTCGCTATTGAGCTCGACCGGTTCGCGGCGCAGGAGGTCGGTAATGTTCACGTCGCGAATCTGAATCTGGTAGTTGCTGTTGAGCAACTCATCAACCGAGGGAAGCACCTTCACCGTGATGCCGACAGGTTCGCAGTGATCCATCAACTGGCGAATCTCTTTACCCGACATGGCCCCCGACACGACCAACACATCCTGGATATCGCGCCCGGCCGCATAGCGACCCACGTCACGCGGACGGCCCAGCACGGGGACGCCAGCTAACATCGATCCGTGACGAACAGGGTCACTGTCGAGAAAACCAACGATGGTGTACTTCAACCGGGGATCGGACTGTAGCTGTCTGGCGAGTGACTCACCGGCATGATTCGCTCCAACGATTAATGCTTCGCGATAACCCTTCTTATTGAAAAGCGGGATTACCTCTTCTCGCGATAGTCGCCACAGGGCTCGGAGCCCGCCGAGGATCATCACGGTGAGCACAAAGTCCATCGGGGGAATGCCCCGAGGAATGTGCATCGGTGCGTAAACGCGGTTCGAGTGCAGCCCATCTACCAGGAAGTAGTCAATCGCAGCGATGGCCAACAGGGACAGCAACGAGGCCTTCAGTAGTAACGCGAGGTCGGAAAACGTTACGTACCGCCAAGAAACATGACAGTGACCTAGTGCGTAGAAGATAACCAGCTTGGTTAGCAGAACCGCTGGAAGTGAGATCCAGAAGATCTCTCTGATTTGCGAGGTGAAAGTGAAGTCGAAACGAAAGCCAAAAGCTAACCAATAGCAGAGGCAAAACACGGCCGCGTGGACGAGCAGCGCGAATGCCGATCGCTTTGTCAAACGCTTTGAGTTTGCAGGTGTGCTCATAGATGCAATGGTTACGTCATTAGCGGTTGAGTTCGAAGATCGACTCGAGTCGACAGGACTCCGTCAGCTACGCAACGTGCCCGCCATGACACAGCGCGAGAGGACAATGAGGCGATTGAATAGAAAATCCCGAGAACTCGGTTGTGGCACCCCTGGGTTGATAGGATAACCGGCTTAACCACTCGATTCAACGATTCCGTTGCTCAAAATATGCCCAACTACAGGTCAGTTCGCTCGACCAAGAAGTCGTCTAGCTGAACTGATACCCCTTGCTGCAAGAACTCCACTGCTACCAGCAGTCGCTCTTCCCCACGCCGTTTGACGACCACGCCCTCCAGCCCTGCTAGCGAGCCTGATTTCACCCGAACCCTCATTCCCGGCTCGAGTCGAGCCTCGGGGGTCAGGGCCGCTTCGGCGGCGATCAAACGATGGATCTGCTTCAGGTCGCAAGTCAGCCGCTCGGTATCGGCGACCGGCAGGCAGCGAGACACGCAATTGGTTGTCAGCGCCTGGGTCCGCGACTCCTCGGTCCCGTAGAGAAACACATAACTCGCAAACAATGGGACGTGCGATGTGCGAACTCGCCCCTGGGGCGACCGCGTGCGACGGGAAATCACCGGAGCATAGAAGGGAACGCCCAGTGCCCGCAGTTGACGCATGAGCTGCTTTTCTCGCCGTGGAAGGGTGTACAGCCCCCACCATTTCGACCCAGCCATGGACTGTGGCATCTCCTGCTCGGGGAGGTCGAGCAAGTCGTCCGGGTACAAGTCGGGTTCGGCAGGAAGGATTGGCACGATGAGCTAAGTGCGATCTCAAGTCGATTTGGTTGCGTATTTAGTACGGATTACTAGGAAATTTTATTGAAAAGTCCGCGCGCACTCCGTTCCCCTGGGTGACACACGTCCCCTTTTTTCCAACGTCTTTCACCAAAAAATTTCTCGGTGTAACGAGGCATCCATTCCTCGAGGCGTTAGATCTGCACGCCTGCATGGGGCATGCGTGCGATCGGTTTTGATCTGTCCCATTCGCCCGGCGAACTGGGTTCGTCGTGTCGAACTTTCTTAGTTTGAATGCAACTTATATGCCCGTCGATTTTGCAGAAGCCAAGCGTGCGCCGTGCAATGATTGGGACGGTCATACGGTGTGTTTGTGGTGGTTATGCCAGGGAGTCGAGCGGAAGTCGCGGTCGCGAATCGAAAAGGCGTCGTTGATCGACAACATCCGCGTTGGTAATCGGCATCGAGCATCCGAAGTTCCCGAACGGATCGAAGCGTCGATACCCGACAGCCGTCGCCGAGCAACGCCAGGCTGGGCCGTCCAATAGCACCAACTCCCCCACTTAGAACGCTCTCCGGCGGGCAGCCACCCAAGCTTCCCCGAGTATACTCTTCCATAACACATCATCAAGCGAAAACCTGCCTCAGACCGTTGTCGTGATTGGACTTACGCTCGAAAGAGGTGCTCCAAATCGCCCATCCCGGAGAGTGCCCCGACCGCTTCCTTCTTTTGCTAATCGTTCTGCCTACCAAACCTTGTAACACGGAAATCCAGAACTCCTCCATAGAGGGGGGCAACCTAGCCCGCGTGCCAGAATTGCCGCCCCCGAATCGACCTGACTCCCGGTCCGTTGAACCGATCCTGGGAACCAAACTGTAGCCTTAGCCTTGTCTCCGGCGTTGGGGTGAGTGTGATCTCAACTCGATGCGACCCGGCAGCCAGGTGCACTGGGACGATGTTCATTTCGCGGTGGTCCTTGTTCGAACTGTCTGCATCCAGTAGCGGTTGGCCGTCGACTGAGAGCGTCAAGCGTCCCCGATGCTGCAAGTGGAACTGATAGACATCCTGCGACTTGATGCTGATCCAGCCACTGAGCTGGAACCCTTGGTTGGTCTCAGCGCCGGCCTTCCTCAGCCAATCGCCGGAGGAGAAATCGGTAACCACTCCTCGGACTCCCGAATCGGTTTGTAACAGCCATCCAATTTCACGATCCTCCGGTGGCGTTTCTCCTGCGAGTGGTGGGCCAGGGACTACATTCACTTGCAACGGCTTCGCGAGCACATGTTCGCTGGGGCCACCACTTCCTAGTGCCAAAGCTTCGAGTGTTACAGGTCCGAGCCCTAGCTGTTTCGGGTCGATGCTCATGGTGCCCTGTTCGCCACGAAGCGAGGCAATGCGTTGTTTGTTGTGGTACAGCGCCACCAGGGCGGCACCGGGGGCATCGACCGTGACTTCAAACGGCTGGCCCCACAAGGCGACATCGTTTTTTGCTGAAAGCGAAGCCGTTCGACCATGGTTGTTTACCACCGCACCCGTGATGAAACTGCCTTGAGACTCGATGTTTCCTGCCTCAATGCCAACAATGCGGAACTCGTGGTAACCGTCTAGTAGCGTTCGCGTATCGAAGTTGAGGGGGCGGTTTGCACTGCTCGATGCGTGACGTTGACCGTCGACGAACAATTCGAACCGATCGATGGGAGGCCCGATCGTTCGCGCCGAGGGTTTCAGCGAGATCACTCCTGAGAGTGTGTCTGACGAGGTCAAACCCTCGCACTCAATCAGGGGAATGATTGCCCAGGGGCGGCAAAGCGGATCGCCCACAATCAGCAACTGGTAGGGGCCGGCAACCGCCTGATAGAACGACTCCGCCAAACTGCAGCCGCGAGCATAGTGCAATTGCATGAAGGCCGAAGGGAATTTCTCTGCAATTGCGTATGGCTCGATCACCGTGCCCGAGGAGCCTGCTGCTCCATAGCGAATGAACTCAGAGAGCGGAGTCTGGCTGGCATTCTCTTGAAGCATTCCGCCAAAGCTGGTGAAGTGCTCGCAGATGGCTCCCGGCAAAATAGTGCTTCCTGAGCGACCCCAGTCGACCGTGTGAGTGCCAAGCATGGCACCCTGCACATCGGGTTTTTTCAGCGGTGTAACGGCTTCTATAACTTCTGCCTGAACGCCAATTTTTTGCAATGCATCTGCGGCCAGTGTGAAATAATTGTGCCGCGCTTGCGAGCGAACATCCTCGTTACGAGCAAAGTAGATGGTGCCCCGCGGTGAAGTAGCATCGGCCGAGGCACTTCTTTTGAGGCACTCGAGCACTTCATTTACAGAGTTTCCACGGCCGGTAGTCACCCCGAGCATAGTGGAAAGAACGTAGTGATTTCCGCCAGCCTCGACTAGTTGCCCTTGAGAATCCCAGCCGTACCAACTGCGAAAGCCGTGGCTCGCAGGAACCCCACCGTCGGTACGACGGTAGTATCCGTTGGCATCGATTCGGACATAGTTTGGGTTCTTGGCCGTGACCAATTCCCAAAAATAAGTCAGGCCAGTAATAGAGCCCGAGGGTGTGATTTGCTTTGGAGCATTTCGCCCCTCGATGTCCTTCTGGATCTGGACTTCAAATGGAAAGTCGACGGAGTAGATCACATAGTCGATCTGACTGTCGAGGTGTCTCCCGGCAATGGTAGTCAGCACCGGGGTGAGAATCTTTGATCGAAACGAATCGACATCAGTAGTCTCGACCCCCTCATCCCAATCGACGTAAACAACGTTGCAGGAAGGGACATTACGGAGCTGAATGAAGTGATTCGCTACCGTTTTCGATGCCCAACTGTTTTGGTTGACCACGACCACGCAGTTTTCAGCACCGCCGCCTGCTAGAACAACGGCGCCAACCGCCAAGTGAACCAGCAGTGCAATGAGAGAGACTACTGCTCTTCGCAGATGGGCAAATGCAAAGGGGAGCTTGGACCAGAGCATGACGACTCCGTTTTTTTCGGCCCCCAGCATGTCGACACGCTTCTGGATACGCGGTCCTCACCACGAACTTGGATACTCAATCAACCCTAAGAAAACCAAAAGTGAATTCGCGTCTCAGGTTGCCTTCGATGACAGCGGACTAAGTTGCGCTCGCTTCTTCGGGGCTATCTGTAGACTCTTTTGGGGAGAGGGCTTGCTGAGGCTGTTCGGAATCAGCGGAAGAATCGCTGCCGTTGGGGAACAAAGCATTGTTGGTTGCAGGGACAATTGCCTTCATGAAACGAACAGCAGGGTTGTCATCATCGAAGGTTTCTTCCATTGCCGGATCGCCGTGAGAGATGATGTACATTTTGTATAGCGAAGGTCCCCAAGCGTAAGCCAGACGGGGGTACTCGGGGGCTTCCCAGATTCCATCCCTATTCCAGGCCCAATAAACACGTACGTGGTGCGCCGCATTTCCTTGGATCTTTTTGAATACAGTCGTTCTGAACGTTACGGGGCCATCTTCCGTCTCGACTTCGACCACCTCGGGCTTATTCAGCATCTCGAACCCGGAAGCCACATAGCAGTCATCCGGAGTGTGGATCGCAACATGCCGCGGCTTCCCACAGATGACGAAGAAAGAGAGTTTTTCACCAGTGCGAACGTTTCGGAAGTCTCGTGTCAAGCTGCCAACAGCATGAGCTGCTTCGAGCTGGCTTTCGTCAGTCTCCTCGTCCGAGCCTTTCCAATCGCCAACGAACAGAGGAACGTTCTCTACTCGCTTCGACGCGGCTTCCAGTTCGCGAGCCAACTCGTCTTCATTCCAACGCTCAGACATGTTGCCTTGGTAAATTGTGGTTACGCCAATCAGCACCAACGCAACGAAGGCGGGAATAGCGATCTTCATTAGTAATTCTCCAGGTCGCGAGATGAGCTATCTCGCATGGATTCTTATTGGTTTGGCTCAGGATGTACGGGACTTAATTGTCGCCGAGCACTGATGCCACTATATCTCTAAATGGTTTCTAGGCCTTCGCTCTGGCTGGGAGAGCCGCAACTTTTCGGCGGACGACGGTATTCACACCGTTGACGACCGATCCCATTACATGGACACCCACAGCATCGAGTCGTTCGTAGGCCTCGTAAACCTTCGTGGCCTGGCTCGAGTCCTTTAGTACCGACAGAACCGCGGCATCCACACAAACGGCCAGAGAGGTTGAATCGGCCGCGCTTAGCACTGGGCCCGAATCAACGATGACAAAGTCGAACTCTTCACGAAGCTTCTTAAACATTCCCCGGATGTCGTCACGGGCTAGGGCCTGAAGGCATTCATGACAGCAACCACCGGCAGTAATCATCCACAGGCCTGGGGCACGTGTGGGACGGATTACATCGTCCACTTCAGCTTCGCCACGCAGCACTTCCGAGAGACCTGGCTCAAGCGGAAGTTCGAATACACGGTGAGCCTTAGGCGATCGGAGATCGGCATCGATGATCAAAGTGCGGCGGCCAGCGCGGGACAAACTTGCGGCCAACTGTGTTGACAGCGTCGTCTTTCCCTCTCCCGCGGTGGCACTGGTGACCATGACCACCTTTCGATTCTTTTTGCTCTCTCCATGAAGCAAAGCCGTGCGAACATTGTCAATCGACTCAGAGAGTAAGCCTCGTACAACTCCTGCGCCACGTCCCGTCATCTTCGACCAGGTGTTGCCCGAGAGGGACGGAAGGGCACCGATTACGCTAACCCCGAGCCCCTCGCTGACATCACTGATGGAGTTTACGCGTCGCTTTTGAAACTCGACAAACGAAACACCAAACACAGCACTCAAGAAACCGAGCAGTCCAGAGAAGCCAACGATGCTGTACTTCATCGTACGGTCGTTGCCCTCGTTGGTTGCATCTTGAAGCTTTTCGACGCGAGGGGGAGATTCAGATTCCAGTGTTCGTTCCTCAACCTCGCGGCCGAGTCTCGCATGAACTTCTTCCTTCTTCTCCAACTCCGCTTGCAGCATGAGGACCTGTTGCGAGCTAGTGCTCGCAGCCATCGATTGTTGTTTCATGTCCTCAAGCTGAGCACTGATTTCTTCGAGATTCTGCTCTGTGATCTGCAAATCAGTCTGAGCTTTCGTTAATTCCTCTTGTGCTTGCTGAACCATCTCGCCCTGCATCAGCACCGCCAACTCTTGCCGAGCGTCTGCACGCCGGAGTTGCATAACCTCCTCGAGATCGGCAATATCAGCCTTAAGACGTCGGTTCGGCGACAAACTGGAATCTCGAGCCTTGCCTTCCTCGTAACGCAACTGGTTGACCATATCGAGCCATTGCTGCTTGATGCTCGCATATTCTGGATCTTGGTGAAGACGCTGCTCGACCATGTGTTCACCAATTGTGGGGTCGTGCGTTTGGGCCTGCTGTAACGCTGCCTGGGCCATGGCAATCTGGCCGTGCAGTTGACGAATGCGTTGTTCAGTTTCTAGTTCACTTCGATGCAACGCATGAACCTTGTCCTCGAACAGCTTCGCATTTCTTGCCAGAACGTCGGGAGTGGTGCCGAGCGATTTGACCAGATTGTCGATATCCGATCGTTTCTTGGAGATGTCTCGAGATTGACGGTCGAGCACTTGGTCTAGCTGGTAGAGTTTTTGAAGCTTGGATTCAGTCCCCTTCTCCACCACCTCTCTCAGATAGGCCTCACGGACGGCATTCACCAAAACCTTAAGTTGTTCAGGATCCTCGCCCTTCATCGAGATTCGCATAAGCCACGAATCACCCGGATAGATCACCGATAATTTGTTTTGTAAAAAACCGATGGGGTCATCCTTGGGAAGCATCGGTAGTGAATTCACATTCGAGTCACGGAGCGCAGCGCTCAACACAAATGTGGTTGTCATCATCTGCGCTTGAGCACTCTTGAATCGCTCAAACTCTTCCGGCCCCCTCCTTGTGCTGTACACGATATAGGGATCTTCTTCGGCCACCTTCAGAAGGGTCGCAACATCGTACCGCACCGGCATCAAGAAATAGGGAATCATCGCCAAAATGCCTCCAAGGATTACTCCTAGGAAGGTGGCTAAGATCCAGCGCCGTCGGAATGCGTTCAGCAACCCGATCGGGTTTGGAGGAGCTGACAGCACCTCAGGACGAGGCATTGGGCCCATTGGCCACGGCATCGCAGGCACTTCGGCCCGTTCTGGCGGCATCGGTACCAAAGTGCCGTTGGTGTGCCCATCGTGGCCATGATCGACAACTGCTGAGGTGGAACCGTTCGTAAACGAATCGTGATTTGATTGGGGAGGTAACAACTTGCGCTCTCTCTTAGTGTTTGATAGCGAAGATGTGAACGAATTCGCTTGGTTTCGCGGCCCCCGTGGCCATGGTTGCTTCCTCCCTGAAGCAAGTTCGAGGCCGCGTTCCATTCGGCGGCCAATCGTGTGGTCGTATCAGCTATGGTTTCAATGGGTTACATCTAACTTCTCGCGGTCGGCCCCGACAGCGCCCTGTTGCTCTCAAGCCACATGCTCCCTAGTAGATGTCTCGAAACTTCAACAAGTTGCGACTTTCCGAGTGCTCGACCCGCTAAATCGATGCTGGGTGTTGTGGCCCAAAGTCGATCCCAGAGGTTTCCAAGCTGTCGTCTTCGATAAACAAATGCGATAGCAACTGCAGTTCCACGTACATGAGTCCAAGGGCCATGGGCATCATCACCCAGCCGGCCAAGTCGTGGAACACACGCTCGGCCAAGTGCTCATTCACCATGTAAAGCAGACCTGTCGCTGTTATACGTGTGATGTTCACGATTAGTGCGATCGGAATCGCGCTCAGGATGATTACAATCCGCTCCCACCAGGGACGATCGGTTACCATCGTGATAGCAACCGAGAGCGCGAGGAAGATCGTCAGCATTCGCAGCCCCGAGCAAGCATCGACCACACCCAATTCCACGTTGGGAAGCAGGATTCGATTACCTTCGGAGAAGGCCGGCACACCCATGGTTTGCAGTGCGAAAGTGCTCACCACCGTCGCCGTCCGTTGCAGCGGATTGAGGATCATGTTCTCAACACGGTCGGGCAGTGGGTACATGAAGAGCAGGAACAGGATCGCGGGCCCCGCCCATCGCAGGAGATGCACACCGCCGACCAGCAGCACGATGCCCGCTAGCGACGGAATGAACGAAACCATGTCCGGAATCACCAGGGCGAAGCCGGTGGCAGTGAGTCGCATCGCCAAGCCGAGCCCCAAAAGCCCAAGGCCGGCCCAATGCTCCCAGGTCGCTACCTGCTTCAAGGGCTCGTAACGCATCCACAGCAGTGCGATTGCGAACAAGGGAACCAACCAACCGTGTGAATACTGAGGGCTGTCCCAATGCTCTGCGGTTCGTGAAAGCGTGTTCCAGTACGAGAAGAGCAACGCCGCGAGCAGCACGCCCAAGGTACCCAACTGGACAAAGTCGTAGTGCGTGTCTTTGTTCGAGTCGGGCTTCAGTGTGGTTGATTCAGTCATGTTCGAATTCTTAATCGGTGTCGTGATGGATGATGCCCCTTCGCCTCATTGCGAAGGACACATCAGGCAACTCGAATGCTCCGTGCGGTACCTAGTCAGCTTCCGTATCCGGTCGTCTGGGTTGAACCATATTTAGGTGCGATTTTGACCAGCACGTTACTGCGGTCTTGACAAGCCGGAGGCCCGTAAATACGCATCTCTAGCTGGAATTTCAGGTGGTATGGCTCCGATGCAGTGGCCCCAGAAAAGCGATGGGTTTTGGGGCTTCCTCTGTCCCTGAAACGAAACGTCACATTAACCGAATGTTTCCCACTTCGGCCGTCGGTAGAATGGCGTTGATTTCCCTCACTTCACCGACTCACACGTTTCGTCCGCATCGAAAGCGCGAACTTTTGATTACAACCGATGACTCTCGGACAAACTCCTTGTTTCCTCGCGGTCAACCAGCGAGCAAGGCACTTCGAACTTATGGTGCTTCGTTGTTGGTGCCAGCCGCCAGTGTTGAGTCTACGCATTAGACGATCGCAGGGACTCACCACGGGGCGTCGGTTGTTACATCCAGTAATCCCTAGAAAAGAGTCTTTTGATTGTGGCCTGCTCCTTAAGCCTCACCATAAACAGCTACGAAGGGCTGTCAAGCAATATTCACCCCCAAACCTCGTTTCTACATCATCGCAGAACGGTTGCAAGGGTTAGGCTGAGCTAGTGGCCGTAAATCACCAGAAATCACCTGCCCCAGCCATGGTTCTTATAAAGAATTCATAACCCAGGTGGGTTGCTTCCCGCGGCTCCCGTCGGGTGGTTGCGACTTGGTTTTGTCGCCAAAGCTCGCTGGGGTTTTCAGTGGCAGTTTCTGGGGTCGAGGTAAGTCCTTCCTGAATTGCCTGATTTGCCTATCTGCCGCTTGTTTGGGCCGCAGGAGCCCCTCATTGTGGAAAAGTTGGAGGCTGGCGTTGAGTTTGCCGATGATTGCGGCTGTAGCGGTAATTTACATTGGTTCGATTGCGCCTGGCGGACGGGGGGACACGCCGCCGGGGGTAGTGGCTAGGGCTTGCCCGTCATGCTGCAGTTGCATTCCCCCCGATTAGTGACTCGCTGTGCCATCCTTCTGCTGGCCTCGTGCGCCGCAGGTGGCTGTAGCACGCTGCCGGTCCATTACCAGGACTCGGTCACCAAGGTGGCCCCTGGCAACCCGGTGCCCAGGGAGCTGGAGAAAAGCTCCCTGCCCACCTACGTGCTCGAACCGCCTGATATTCTGCTGATTGATGCCGTACGTGTCGTACCGAAGCCCCCGGTGAAGGTGCAGACGCTCGACGTGCTGCAAATCAACGTTCCGCCCGACTATACGTTCATCGAAGAGCCCATCGCCGGGCTGTATCCGGTGGATGCCGATGGAACGGTCAATATGGGGCCCACCTACGGGCGTGTCACGGTGGCCGGGCTCTCGCTGGAGGATGTTCGCGAGGCGGTCCGCAAGCATCTCGAGGGAATCCTTACCGACGTGCAGGTCTCGGTCTCGCTGGCCGAAAGCGCCGGCGAGCAGCAGATCGCCGGCGAGCATCTCATTGGTCCCGATGGGACCGTGAACCTGGGCACCTACGGTAGCGTGTTCGTGGCCGGTATGACGCTCGAGCAGGCCAAGGTGGCCGTCGAGACCCATCTGTCGCAGTTCCTCGACGATCCGGAAGTCTCGATCGACGTGTTCGCCTACAACTCGAAGGTCTACTACGTGATCACCGAAGGGGGTGGCTCGGGCGATCAGTTCGCCGCCTTCCCCATCACCGGCAACGAGACCGTGCTGGACGCCCTGGCGCAGATTCAGGCCACCGGGTTCAGTTCCTCACGGAAGATCTGGGTTGCCCGACCGGCGCCCGATGGGCTGGGATACGAACAGATTCTGCCGGTGGACTGGAACGCCATGATCCGTGGCGGCCAGGCAGCGACCAACTACCAGTTGTTCCCCGGTGATCGAGTGATCATCGAAGAGGACCGACTCGTCGCCTTCGACACCATGCTCGGCAAAATCACCACCCCCATCGAACGTATCTTCGGTGTAACCCTACTCGGCTCGCAAACCGTCCAAACCCTAAACCGACTCCCCGATGGACAAGGCGGATTTGGCAACAGCTTCTTCTAACCTGAAGGCTTCCGGGTAGCGGGAGCAAGTTTCAAAGAACCAAAACAGATCCCAATCCTCATTGCGGCGCTGTTCCGAAAGAAGGCTGCAACATGAATCTCAGAAATCATAGACTTTGCTGGTTCATCGCGATCGCGACACTGGCGGTATTGGCCCAGGATGCTTGGGCCGGAGGACCGTATGGTGGCGACAAATACTTGCCGCAGCGGCGGTTCCATGGGTATTACCCAACGATCTGGCGTCCCTGGGCAAGTGGTTGGCAGGCGCCGATTCACAAGGACAACCTTCCGAAGGTCCCGCAGACGCCGACCGTGGCGCCGGAACCCCTTCCGGCTCCGTCCGAAGATGCGCCGCCCTCGCCACCTCCGTCGGATTCGTTGCCGCTGGAGCCCCTTACTCCATCGACGCCAGCTCCCAGTGCGGACGAGCCCCCACCGCTACCGACCCCACCGGGACTCGAAGGTAGTTTGCCTGAGCCGTCCACGCCAAGCACGCTAACAACTCCGCCGGGATTAGAGGAGATGCCTCAAGATCCGATTGCACCAGACACAACTCCCATTGAGCCGATGACAGAGCCTGCACCTGGGCTCCCCGATTCGCCGCTTGAACCTCCTGCAGGATTGGAAGAACCGGGGCTGACTCCGCCCAACTTGGATGAGATGCCAGAGCCCTCTCCTTCGCTTCCGCCGGGTTTTGACATGCCCGATTTGGACGATGACTCTGCCCCAGGAAGCCCGCCAGCAGACGGAAACACCTCATCAGAGCCGAGCACCCCGGAACGATCGGGAATGGTTCCCTCATCGCGATGGAGAGGTGCGTCTAGCCTAAACACCCATGGTGGAACGACTGCGCAGAGTCGGCTTCGCATTACAAAGACTCCTCAGTCGGCACCTGCCGAAGAAGCCGCAACTGGCGAACCTCGGAGGTTGAGCCTGAATACACCCCAGGCTCGGCCTCTGCCCCAGCGATTGCCAGTTCCAATCGCTCAACCCGAGAGTGAGGGCATGCAGGTGCGGTTCAATTCGCCGACGAAAGGCGCTTCTACCGAAGTGCCGGCACATCGCTGGAACGAGACAGAAGAGGAGAATGTCTCGTCACAGCCACACAATCCTCTTCGTGCTCAACAATCGCCTGCGAGACGAGTCGTAAGGCTTAGTAACCCGTTGCGATAAGACTGAGACTTATGGAGCGGATGCGGATTCACATCAGTCCGCATCCGCTCTCTTTTTGCCATCGCGGGTGAACACTATGAGTCATCAATCCCGAAGTCTTACTTCACGGAAAGTCTGGCGACGCAGGGTTATAGCAGCGTTCACTCACTTGCCGTTCCCGTCGGCAGACCTGTTAATCGCTCAATTAAGACCGCCTTAAACTCGGGCCGCGGAGTGTGGCAGTAAATGATCTCGCGATCGCTTGTATTAGCTTCCGAGACGAGAAGGTAGGGCTTGGTTTCTGCCTCTTCTGAACTCGAGCCTGCAACCCGGTCATCAGGCAACTCCTCGATCCGAACGGAAACCGGCATCGATTCGATCAACTCTGGGTGCGATAGCCACCCGGCCGCTAACGTGTCGAAGGGGTTGAATCCACGGTCGGTTATGGCCAGCTCCCAGCCTGTAATCCAATAGGCGGAGGTCTTCGCAATCCAAGCCCCCGACTCACCCGAATCCGAAAGATTCTTCAGGTCTTCGCGCGTGATCCACAGCTTTGAAGATACTTCCCAGGGAGCGAAGACCAGCGGGATATCGGAGTCGAGAATCACCTGCATCGCCTTGGCATCATGTTCAAAATTGGCGTCACGATGCGGAAGTTTCTGTCGGTCGCTACTGACAAACTTCTGCCCAGGTCGTCGGGCGGCAACCATGACGATGCGGTCGATGCGATCGTGCAACTCGGGATGAAGCATCAACAACGATGCAACGTTAGTAACAGGGCCTACGGCGAGTAGCGTCATCGGCGCCTCTTCCAAGGCCGCTGCCATCGCTTGAACTGCTTTGGTCTCTTCGCCCAGATCCTCTTCAGAGGCAGCACCGGGATTCACCGAGAGATCTTCCGGTCCGAACTTCGAAACAATCTCTTTTGCGATGGGAACCGCTCGCTCAAGAGTTGTATTTCCGAAGACAACACTGAGGCCTCGTACTTTGAATTCTGGCGAGTGGAACACCTGAATCAGCATGAGGCCGTCGTCCACATCGCCGACTCCCGTGGCGGTATCGACATCCAACCACACGTCAATCGGGGTCGCGCCCTCCCCCACCAGACTCGTCGACGCAAGCAAGGTGAAGCCAAACAAGGTGAAAATCAGGCGTGTATTCTTCATGCCCATAGTCGCTCCCAAGACGATTCCAACATTGCCGTTCTAGATCGCAATAATAACCCTGATCGCCAGCCGGTGCTCGCGGGGATCGGTAGCTGGGCGACCCCGATTAACCGCCGCATGACTTCCACTGCAGCAAAGCGAGCCGCAAGTCCAAGGTCCAATCTGCTGTCATCGGAAGTCGTCTGGTATGCGTCCAAAAAGGTTCTCGCGGTAGCCTGTTCCTGCTTCGCCAAGGCCATGTGCGCGATGGCACAACCCAAGTCGACTTCGGAGGTTCCAACAAAGCAGAACTCCGGATCGATCACCACCAGCCCTCGTGGCGACCACAGCCAACTGCCAGGGAAATAGTCTCCGTGCAACAGGCAACGACCATCCTGCAGATACTGGGCGCCTAACGTTTCGACAGCGTGAAGGTAAGCTTCGTCTTTGCGTATGAGGGTTGCTGTGTCTTCTAGGCCGGGTTCGAGCTGCTCCAGGGGGACTCCGTTGTCCGCCTGTAATGGAACCTGGAATATGTGGGCGTGATTCAGCTGCCGCATTCCCGAATTCGCAAACGAACTTGGAGTCTCATCTCTCGTTCCCGCGTGGAGGGCAGCAATGTAGTTGGCTAAATCCCCAAGGGCAGGCAGATCGAGTTTGGCCCCAGAGTACAGGACCGTGAAATCATCTGCTCCGTCGATGTACTCCAGCACCAGGGTGCGTGCCGCGGAATCCGAGACAATCAACCTTGGCATTCGACCGGCCACCTCGGGAATAGATGTCACCCGCTCGTAAAACAGGCGTTCGAAGTCGGCTCGATTCCAGGGGGCTTCAATGTGATCGTATTTCTCGACCCACGGTCGAGCTTGCTTGACGACGAAAGTACGGCGATCGGTCCTTACGCGCAGCGTAAGGTTCATGTTTCCTTCTCCGGCCCGGCCGCACTGTAGAACCTGTTCGTCGGCTTGAAGCCATTGTCGCTGAGATAGGAATTGAGCTACGCCGGGAAGGTCGTCTGCTTCGAGCCACGGGAAGTCTGGGTTCGCCGCGATATGGTCCGCGCGATTCATAGAGGTCTACTTCAAAGAGGGCCCGTGCCTTGAATCAGCTGTAAATTAGGCTTGAAGTAGATTCTCGCACGCGGCCACTAAGCCAGGCAAGGGGAGCATGAACGCGAGAGTGTTAGAGCCGAGTCGCTGGAGATACCAGTTCGTTATCGCACTGAATCGTTGCGAGGGCCTAGCACCTCTTCACCCCGCCGAAAGCCGCGAAGCAGCCATGCTTGTGCAGGATCTCAACTTCGGAGAAGCCAACCTGGCGAAGTAGATCGAGCTGATAAATCAACGGGCGAGGGGTGTCTTCTTTCTCAATATAGGCAAATACCGCATCTCGGTACGCTTCATCTTTGAGAGTGGTCAGATACTCGCCGTACCGTTTCCAGAAGGTATGTTGCAGCTCTGGTGTCGGGCTCGAGATGAGGTCGAAAATCCAAAAACCTCCGCCAGGGGCGAGGGATTGATAGATCTTTCGGAACGTGCGCTGCCACTCTTCATCCGAGCGCAAGTGATGCAGGACCGCTCCAGCAAGGATGATATCAAAGCTCGCCTCGGCAAAGTCGAGGTCTCGCAAATCACCCTGGATGGTCTCAGGGGTGACGCCGGACGCCTGCTCGATTCTTTCAACTGCCCGATCCAGCATGGGGCGGCTAAGGTCGACGAGAGTGATCTCTCGGACACTTTGTTGCTTTAGAAGCCGCAAGGTGAAATTGCCTGCCCCGCAGCCAAGATCCAACACCCGCTGACCGTTCGGAGTCGTAGCCCATGCTGCTTCCGCAATGAGTTCCAACGCAAGCGGGGCATCAATGGTAGCCGATTGCCCAGTTTCAAGACTTGAGAATCGCTCGACGTCAGAATCGAACCGGGATCGTACCTCTTCCACGGTCGATTTCATGGCTACCTAAGCTTAGTCGCGAGATATCTTCGGACGGGCAACATTCACAGTCTGGCAGTCAGCGGCCCGGCAATCACACCAATACAAAATGCTATACACGGAGTGGCAGCATGGAGTAAGCGTGCTGAACTTCACATGCGGCAACTGACTGGATATAAGGCTGCTCTAACAACTGCACACTAAGGGAGTGAGAGATGCAGCGATCAGAATTCGGCGAACCGCTTCAAAGACACCGAACTACTGAGGTAAGTTCGGATAGTAGTGCGAAAAATTGCGGAACGCGGTCGTGTGCCCCGTTGGGGCCAGGGTTTGAGAACCAGCCGATCGACCTGTTCTTGTTCGTGCCGAGTTTCGCTCCAGTTGCTGGATCTGCTGAGAGTTTCGACGAGCGGCCTGATTGTTGTCGACCAACGGCCGGACAAGCGATTGATAACCGCCTGCTCCGCCGCGTAGCAGGTTTAAATACGGGCTGACGGTTGGACGATTAAAAACGTTGGCCGATGCACTGGCTGAGGGAGCAGAGTAACCCGGCCGTTGTGCAGAGGCATCATCTGACATGAACAAACAGAATGCCAAAGCGGTTAGGGCGATAAACGCAGGTCGGCTCTTCATCGTGGATTGCTCCCATAATACGGCCTGCTTCGTAGCCAGAAACTTACTGCAATCGAAGTTCGGCCGTGTGGCTAATTCAGCACTCTTGTCTTAGGTCAATCTTAGACGACCAGTTGCTCTCAGACAAACAAATCGCACTCTGAAATGCATGTAGCCTGGTCAAAATGCACAGCTGTAAGTTGCAGTTTTGTAAGTGTTTCAGGCTAAAATCCAATTCCCCCGAACCCGCCTTGTCCATCGGGGAGTCGGTTTAGGGTTTGGACGGTTTGCGAGCCGAGTAGGGTTACGCCGAAGATACGTTCAATAGGGGTGGTGATTTTGCCGAGCATGGTGTCGAAGGCGACGAGTCGGTCCTCTTCGATGATCACTCGATCACCGGGGAACAACTGGTAGTTGGTCGCTGCCTGGCCGCCACGGATCATGGCGTTCCAGTCCACCGGCAGAATCTGTTCGTATCCCAGCCCATCGGGCGCCGGTCGGGCAACCCAGATCTTCCGTGAGGAACTGAACCCGGTGGCCTGAATCTGCGCCAGGGCGTCCAGCACGGTCTCGTTGCCGGTGATGGGGAAGGCGGCGAACTGATCGCCCGAGCCACCCCCTTCGGTGATCACGTAGTAGACCTTCGAGTTGTAGGCGAACACGTCGATCGAGACTTCCGGATCGTCGAGGAACTGCGACAGATGGGTCTCGACGGCCACCTTGGCCTGCTCGAGCGTCATACCGGCCACGAACACGCTACCGTAGGTGCCCAGGTTCACGGTCCCATCGGGACCAATGAGGTGCTCGCCGGCGATCTGCTGCTCGCCGGCGCTTTCGGCCAGCGAGACCGAGACCTGCACGTCGGTAAGGATTCCCTCGAGATGCTTGCGGACCGCCTCGCGAACATCCTCCAGCGAGAGCCCGGCCACCGTGACACGCCCGTAGGTGGGCCCCATATTGACCGTTCCATCGGCATCCACCGGATACAGCCCGGCGATGGGCTCTTCGATGAACGTATAGTCGGGCGGAACGTTGATTTGCAGCACGTCGAGCGTCTGCACCTTCACCGGGGGCTTCGGTACGACACGTACGGCATCAATCAGCAGAATATCAGGCGGTTCGAGCACGTAGGTGGGCAGGGAGCTTTTCTCCAGCTCCCTGGGCACCGGGTTGCCAGGGGCCACCTTGGTGACCGAGTCCTGGTAATGGACCGGTAGCGTGCTACAGCCACCTGTGGCGCACGAGGCCAGCAGAAGGATGGCACAGCGAGTCACTAATCGGGGGGAATGCAACTGCAGCATGACGGGCAAGCCCTAGCCACTACCCCCGGCGGCGTGTCCCCCCGTCCGCCAGGCGCAATCGAACCAATGTAAATTACCGCTACAGCCGCAATCATCGGCAAACTCAACGCCAGCCTCCAACTTTTCCACAATGAGGGGCTGGAAGTCTCACGGCATCTGCCCAGACTCTGTTAGTTTGGGTTGAATGGGTTGTTTTGGTTGTTCGCTGTTGAGGGGGTGGCAATAGCCAAGAGCGCTGACTAAAGCCCGACGTAGATGTCTCGTGAGAAGGCATGGCTTCAAAAGAAGAAGAGCCTGCTATCAGCAGCTTTTCCCAATCGCAACTGATCTCGACATGGAGCTTAGTGGTGTTCTCAACCGGAGTTCGCGGGGTGGGTGGAGTGGTCTGGCAACGCAAAAACAATTTGCCTACCGCAGACGTAAAAAGGTCGCTGATATGGTGCCTGTAACGGTCCGAAATGGTGGATGAAATAGGCCCCAGTTTGTTGACACATAGAGGGTTGGGGTTAGGATGAGGGAATCTTAGATAGGTTCGCGGTGGGGCGTACTTTTCGGGGTATTTGGGGCTGGTTGTCTCGCTTGTATTGCAGAGTTTTCGGCAAAGACGACGCGGGCCTTTCAGAGCGGCACCAGATCGATGTCGCCCAACTGGATTTCGAAACGGTTTTGTGTTGATCATTCAGATCGCTGGCCTCCCTCATCCTGCAGATGTTCCGACGCTATCCTTGTCGACCCAGGGAGCTGAATGCAGCACAGACTCCGAATCATAAAGAGCTTTAATCGTGGCCGGCTGAAGCACAGTCAGCTATTCGGGAATACAGGACTCTCGCTCACTTAGGGCGTCTATCTTCAACCGAGATTGAGTGGCAGAACAATATGAAACGTTTGAATGTCAAGCTGCTGGTCATCCTTTTCGTTGGTGTGGTTGTGCTCACTGGAGCAGCCTTCGGACTGTGGATGATGAACACGTCCCGAACACTCGACGCCTTGAGAGCAGAGGCTCAGCGGCTTGAAGAAGAAGGGGAAACTCAGAAGGCGATTGAATACTACGGTCGTTACCTGAGACAGGTGCCGGAAGATTCGGAAGCTGCCGGTCAGTACGCCATGTTGGTTGCTGATTGGGCCGAAGAACCAGGGGCTCCACGCCAAGCAAATCAATTGGCATTTCAAGAGCTGGAGCGAGCTCTGCGTCTAGATTCCTCGCGCGATGATATTCGACGTCGGCTAATCAAATACACCATGGCTCGACGCCGTATTGCGGACGCCATTCAGCATATCGATGTTTTGCTTGAGAAGTATCCGGAAGACGGTGAACTGCACGCTCGTTTGGCTCAGTGCCATGCCTCGCAAAATCGATTGGATGAAGCACAGCAAGCATTCGAGAAATCGATTGAGGCTGATCCCCAACGGGTCGATTCTTACCTGGCCTACGCGGTAATGTTGCGAGGTAAGCTCGACAGCGTTGATGAAGCCAACGAGTTGATCGACAAGATGGTGGAAGCGAATTCCGAAGACTATCGTGCCCACCTTGCTCGATGCAGCTACTTGCAGGCTTACAACATGAATGAAGAAGCCTGGAATGATATTCAAAGGGCTGCTGAACTCGCACCTAATGAAATGGAGGTGCTGCTCACCGCTGCCAATCTCGCTAGACAAACGATGCGGAGGGATGAGGCCGCCGAGTATTTAGCGAAAGCACGGGAAATCGATGACGAGAATCAGGAAGTGTTTCGCCAGCTGGCTTCGCTAGCCTATGAGTCTAAGGATCCTGAGCTGGCAATGAAGTATGTCGATGAGGGTATCGAGAAAGTGCCAACAAGCAGGGCGCTCTTGGAGATGAAGGCCAGCCTACACATTGAAGCAGAAGAACTCGAACAAGCCCAAGAAGCGATCGCCAAACTCGATGCTCTTCGTCACGATGTCGAAAAGCTGGACTTTTTGCGGGCTCAAGTTTTGCTACGTGAAGGGCAGTACGTGCGGGCGGCGCAACTCTTGGAGAGCATTCGTCCACTATTGGTGCGAGACACCTTCAATCGGATTCGAACCAATCTCACACTGATTACGTGTTATGAAAGACTCGGTCAGATGGACTTGGTGATTGATGCGTGTAACCGTGTCCTCGCCGATGATCCACAAAACGAGTTGGCGCGTCGGCGGAGAGTTGGTGCTCATATGCAGAATGAGCAGTACGACATCGCCAATCAGGAAGCAGACGATGGAACGGCATCTATGACGCCAGTTGCCTTTCAAACGATGATTGGCGTACAGCTAGGGTTGCCCGAGGGGCAACGCGATTGGTCTCGTGCATACGACTACATTGCTGCAATTCGGAAACAAACCGAAGAGATCGAAGATGAAGAAATTCGTGCTCGCCAAGAGACGAATATCAAACTTTACGAGGCGGAGATTAAGTTTCACGAGGGACATACAGAAGAAGCAGAGAAGCTGATCGTTGAAGCCCGCGATGCTTATCCGGACGATCCCTCGATGTGGGTTGCCTTAGCGAACTTCCGGCAGCGCACCGATGGCATCGAAGCGATGTTCGCAGTTCTTGACGAGGCCGAGGAGAAGCTTGGTCCGAAAATGTTCTTCTTCCAGAAGAGGATTCATGGCTATCAGGCAATGAATTCGGATGATGCCGAGTCTCAACTATTGGCGATGGAAGCCGAGGCTCGGGAAAAATACCCTGAAGATATGCAGGTTGTTTTGCTGGCCAATTTGGCAGAGGCATTGCTTTCTCTCGGAAACTACGACGAAGGCAGCCGCCTGTACCAGATTGTTGACGAGGAAACGCCGCACGACGATTTGCGAGTGCGCATGCGTCGCTATGAAATCGCCTCGGCTGTCGGCGATGAAGACGGCATGCAAGAGGCCTCTGACTTGATCGCTGAAATCGTGGGTAAGGACAGCGCCGAATGGAACTATGTTCAGGCCGATCGTCGCATCACGCTGATTACCAAAGGCAAGTTGGACAGCAGTCAATTGTCCGAGGCTCGAGAATATATTGAGAAAGCCGCTGAATCACGTCCCAATTGGTATGCGGTTTGGCGGGTGCGAGCCCAAATCGATCGTCAAGAAGGTAACTATGATAGCGCGATCGATAACTACGAGCGAGCGATCGAGCTTGGTGAGCGGCAACGCGGCCACTACATGGATTTGGTTCGTCTTTATTCGATTGTTGGTGAACCTGATAAGGCTCTTAAGTACTTGGAGCAACTTAAGCGTGGTACGCCCGATTCACTCCAGCTGGCTCGCGGTGAGATGATTGTGCGTATGCAAGCAGGAGATGCGAAGGGAGCATTTGAGGCGGGCAAAGACGTGATGGAGATGTCTCAAGATGCCGGTGACTGGGTGCAATTCGGCCGGATTTTAGCCCAGCTTGAGAATAGCGACGAGTCGTTTGAGTATCACACGACGGCAGAAGGTGCTCTCCGTAAGGCAACCGAATTGAGCCCCAATGACGGTTCGATTTGGACTACATTAGTTCAGTATCTGGTAAACACCAACAAGCAAGAGGAAGCCGGAGATGTAATCGCCGAGATGCAGGGGCATCTGACCGATGAGCAGGAACCCCTGGTCATGGGAATGTGTTATCAGATGATTGGACGGGGAGACGACGCTGAAAAAGCGTATCTCCGCGCGTTCAAGAATCAGCCCCAAAGCTTGGGGGTTCTGCGGACGCTCGTAACCTTCTACGTCCAGAATCGCAATCGCCCCATGGCGATCGACTATCTGGATAAGATGCTTGCCTTAGAAGACGGGCAATCGGGAAGCGATATGAACAACATCCGCTGGGCCCGTCGGTCGAAGGCTCAAATGATTGCCCAGTCTGGCAATTATCAGGACCTACAGCGGGCACTGGCACTTATCGACGAGAATAAGGCCAATGGAAGTCTCCCACGCAGCGAGCTAGTTCAAAAAGCAACCTTGCTTGGAGGACGTCCTGACTATGAGTCGAGAAGTGAAGCAATCAGCTTACTCGAAGAACTTCAGTTCCGCCTGCAGGGACAGGGAATGGAACTGGCGCCGATGGAGAAGCATCTTCTCGCTCGTCTATATGAGAAGGACTACAAGCCTGATTCTTGGCTGAAATGCCGTGAGCAAATGCTGGAACTGATTGCCTCGGTACCTCCGAGCCAAAGCCAGGTCTATAAATTCGATTTCATTCGCATGTTGACGAATCGAGCTGAGAATCCTGCGGATTTGGCCAGCCTAGAGGTGAAAACTTGGCTAGATTCTCTCGAATCAGATGGCGAAGGCGACATGCTGACTGAAGCGAAGGTTCGCTATCTTGCGAAGGCGGGACAGCCCGAACAGGCGGTTGAAACCATGCAGCAAGCCATCCCCACGGTGGCTGATATCCTGCCGGAAGAAGTGCAGCGATTGCTGGGTGCCGCAAAGGTTCTTGAATCGCTCGAGCTGTACGAAGGAGCGGAGGACTTCCTCAAACGCTATGTCAAAGCGAAGCCGGATGAGCAGCTTGAACTGGCATCATTCTATGGGCGTCGGCACCAGCTCGACGATGCGTTGTTTGTGTGCAAAGAAGCGTTGGATAATAAATCCTATACAGAGGTAGCGACGGTCGCGCAAGGAGTGATCCGCAGCTGCTTGGCTCAGGTTGATATCCAAGACAAGCACTATGACATGGTCGAGGGTTGGCTGAACAAAGCCCTCGAAGAGGAAGAAAGTCGCGATGCGGTTCGCGTGACGATGGCAGATTTCCAGGATGCCAAGGGGCAATACGATGAGGCCGTTAAGTTGTACGAGCAACTTCTCAAAGAGAAGAATCTCTACGATCGAGGTCGGGTTACCGCATTGAATAACCTCGCATTCATCTACGCGGTGCGTGACAACAACGGAAAGCGCGCTCAGCCGCTGATTGAGGAAGCCATCTCCATTGTTGGCCCGCTACCCGAACTCCTCGACACCAAGGCGATGGTCCTCCTTGCTATGGGTGACACCCAGCAATCGCTCAGCCTTCTTGAATCGGCTCTGCAGGCTTCTCCCGAGGACAGCATGCTGTACTTCCACAAGGCGAAGGCTCAGAAATCGGCCGACGACATGGATGGCTTCTACGAGTCCATGGAGAGGGCGATGGCTGAAGGCTTGGATAAGTCGAAGTTGCCGGTCCTGGAGCATCAGGATTACCAGGAGATGGTCAAAACTTACGAACTCATTCGGGCCGCCTAACGTTGAATACTCTCAAACCGGCCGTCCAGGTTATAGACTTGGGCGGCCGGTTTTTATGTTGCTCAACTCATTTGGTGCTTACCAAGCCAGGGATTGGTGAATATGAATCTCGGATCGATTTGGAAGGATTACTTCTCGCACTGGCCCACTGGGGTCGCACCAACTGGGGTTCTCGTCACCAGCTACGAAGAGCAGATCCCATTTCAGAACTTCATGACGGGAGAAGCTCTGCTGGTTGTTGAACGCAGAGCCCCTGATACCACCGGCGCCAGAAAGGTTCTTCTCCCTTACGAAAACATCGTGGCGGTAAAACTGGTCGACGTGGTAAATGATTCCGTCTTCGCGGGGCTTGGTTTCAAGCCGCCAGCAGGCCGGTCGAAGTAAAAACGCTTTCCGTCACTTAATTCAACCCTCAAAGGGTGGTAAGGGACCGAGGACCTTCATACACTTACGGTTTCTTGTTTCAGATTTGACAGCGTCTACGGCAGGTGACGCAGCCGGAACGCGTGGCGATTGTTAGGTGTCGAGTCACTCGGCACATTCCCCTAGATAACCAAGAGGAGTCTTCGGTGAGTCAAGCCAGCGACAAACCCCAAAAGGATCAACCCACGGCTGCAACACCTCAAGCCGGCGAGCAACAACGGCAGCAGGTGAAGATCGACGACACTCATGCCACGGCTTCGTATGCCAACTTCTGCCGAGTCACAGGTACTCCGGAAGAACTGATCGTCGACTTCGGCCTCAACCCTCAGCCGTTCGGAGTTCCGACCGAGCCGGTGCCAATTTCTCAGCGGATCGTGACCAATTTCTATACGGCAAAGCGGATGCTTGCGGCTTTGCAACTCACCATCCAACGTCACGAAGCCACCTTTGGTGTTCTGGAAACGGATGTTCAGAAGCGCGTCGTTGGTGGTGCTCCCCGACCACAAGCTCCTGCCACGCCTCCAGCCGACAAGTCGTAGGCAGCTTGGCCTGCCGGGCCGTTTGTTTGGCATCCGAACCTGGGCTTGATCTTGCGGGGCCCTGCTCCGCGCGGGTTCTCCCTTGCACGAGAGGCGTTCAAGCTCAGGTTCCGGCGTCGCGCCAGGACGGGTGGCCATCAACGATATCAAGTGGCGACCAAACCTAAGTCTCTGTCGCGAGTCTCGCCGTGGTGGGCGCGGCGGGCGTTGATACGCGAGGGCAGTCAAGCTCCAGTGCAGAACATCACACCGTGAAGACGATTTATCTCGACTACAACGCCACAACCCCGTGCGCTCGTGAAGTTCAAGAAGCGATGCTGCCGTTCTTGGCCGAGTACTACGGGAACCCTTCAAGCGGCCATGTGTTGGGTCGGGCTTCTCGCGAGGCAATCGAGGATGCGAGAACTCAGGTCGGGTTGATGCTGGGTGCCGACCGCACCGAGATCGTCTTCACTTCCGGTGGTACCGAGAGCAACAATCTCGCCCTGAAAGGGATTGCCTTTCGCGGAGGGCACCCGCCCCAGGGCCATCTGGTCATCTCGGGTATCGAACATCCGGCTATCAACGAACCAGCCCGATTTCTCAAGAACGTGGGCTGGGAGCTAACGGTCGTGCCTTGCAACTCGCAAGGGGTGGTCGAACCCGAGGCCGTTGCCGAAGCCCTGCGAGAGGATACTCGCCTGGTCAGCGTAATTCACGCGAACAACGAGATTGGCACCATTCAGCCCATCGCAGAAATTGCAGAGGTCTGCCACAAGCAGGGCGTGCTCGTTCATACCGACTCGGCCCAAAGCATCGGGAAAATTGAAATCGATGTGGCGGCGTTGGGGGTCGATTTGCTTTCCGTTGCGGGACACAAGTTCTACGCTCCCAAAGGCGTCGGGGCGCTCTACGTCCGTCGCGGTGTTCAACTCGAACCGCTGCTGCACGGAGCTGGGCATGAATCGGGACAGCGAGCTGGAACCGAGAACACTGCCTTCATTGCGGGACTTGGGCGGGCCGCCGATCTGGTACGGATGAATCTCGAGTCTTCGGCCGAACGGATGGAAGCACTACGCGACGAACTGTGGGAGTTGCTTCGCGAGGCCGTCGGAGCTGGCTTGAAGCGGAACGGTGAGGGTGCGGATATCCTGCCTAATACGTTGTCCCTACGGTTTCCTGGAGTGGTTGGACACGATATGTTGGCCCGCGTACCCGAGCTTTGCGCGTCGACGGCGGCCGCTTGCCATTCGGGCGACACCGAGATATCGGCCACACTTGCAGCCTTAGGGCTGACGCCGGAAGAAGCCCAGGGCACCGTGCGGTTAAGCATCGGCAGAAACACCACACAAAACGAAATCCAGCGCGCGGCGAGCTTGTTGGTCGGGGCCTGGGAAGATCTGAAATAGCAGGCCCAGACGATGAGCGACACTCCAGCGACTGATTGGTACCGAATCGAAAATGCCGACACAGTCGACTCGCCGGCATTGATGTTCTATCCAGACCGTATCCGCGAGAACCTGCGGCGAATTATCGCCATCGCTGGAGATCCCCAGCGGTTGTGGCTTCATATTAAAACCCACAAGATGCGGGAAGTGATTCGCCTGGCCCTCGATGCCGGCATTACAAGATTCAAGGCCGCCACTGTGGCCGAGGCCGAATTAGTTGCCGAGTGCGGAGCCGCAGAGGTCATTCTGGCGTATCCGTTAGTGGGACCGAAAGCGAATCGGTTTGCCGAGCTGGTGTTGGCATTCCCGAAAACGCGTTTTCTCACTATCGGCGACGATGCGCACGCGTTGTCCGATCTGTCAGAGGCTCTTGTTGCCAAAAACGTCGACGGTCCAATAGAGATTTTGCTCGACCTGGATACCGGGATGCACCGCAGTGGTGTCGCACCCGATCCGAAGGCAATCGAAGTCTATCGCCGAATAAACGAGCTACCGGTTCTGGCCCCAGGCGGGCTGCACATCTACGACGGTCAGTTCAAAGAACGCGACTTCGAAGAGCGATGCGCCCATGTGGCCGAGTCGTTGGTACCGGTCGATAAACTTCGGGATGATCTAATCGCCCAGGGTTTACCCGTTCCGCGAGTTGTTGCCGGTGGTACCCCGACATTTCCGGTTCACGCCCGCCGGGCCGACTTCGAATGCAGCCCCGGTACCTGTGTTCTGTGGGACACCGGTTACGAGTCGAAGTTTCCCGACCTCGAATTTCTCCATGCCGCGGTGTTGCTTACCCGCGTGATCAGCAAACCGACGCCTGATCGATTGTGCCTCGACCTGGGTTACAAGGCGGTGGCCTGCGACAATCCCGACCCTCGCGTGCAGCTGCTCGATCTGCCGGATGCCAAGGCGGTGGTGCACAATGAAGAGCACTTAACCGTCGAATCGCCGGGTGCCGCGAACTTTGCTGTAGGCGACGTGCTCTATGCAGTGCCCTTTCACATCTGCCCGACGACGGCCTTGCATCGCGAAGTGGTGGTCGTCGAAAGTGGCCGCGCGGTCGATCGGTGGCAGGTTGCCGCCCGCGACCGGATGCTCAGTTATTGAGCCGCTTACACTTACCCTTCAGGTAGCTGTGTTTTCCCTTGGTTGTTTGAGAAAAACATGAGTACTTCGTCACGTCACTCAACAGGTCTTCTTGGGCTCGATAAACATCTCGGCGGCGGCTTGATTCCCGGCACACTGACCGTGGTTTATGGAGCCACTGGGATTGGTAAGACCCAACTTGGCGTCCACTATGCCAACGCCGGGCGTCAGCAAGAGGGGCGGCGGGGGGTCTTCTTCGACATGAGCAGCCGCGGCGATTCGCAGAACCACGCCAACTACACTCAAACCTTGCACGATTGGAAACTAAGCCCGTTCGATCGGCGGCAGCAAGAATTACACGACGGTGTGTTCGAACTCGATACCGACTGGGGTGAGTACGCCAATGTCTTCGGTTACGAAGGCAAGCGGGTAAGCCGACGGGAGATGGATTTCGATGGCTGGCGTGATTGGAAGAGCGATATCGTCCGCACCCTGCAATCGACTATCGCCTTCTACTACGGACACTTTGTTCGTGGCGTACAACGCACCGTGGTAGACGGTATCGAACCGGTCGATCGCCCTGTGGACTCGATGCAGTTCGAAATGTTTGAGTACGTCTACCACCAACTTCTCAGAAAAGAGGCCGAGTGGGTTGCCCGAGATTTGTTCCGTGAACGGTATCGCGAGAACGCAGCCCAAGCCGAATCACATAGCTACGACGAGGGCCAAGTAAGCTGCCTACTGTTGTGTACATCCCACGAACCGATGCTTGAAGATCTGATTCGTCGCCCCCTGGGAGAAAGCGACCTGCTTTCAGGTGCGAACACCGTGATCTACATGGGGAAAACGCAAGAGCAGGGGCGGTTCGGGCGTGGCCTGTACGTTGCCAAACATCGCGGAAGCGCATGCAGCGACGACATCATCCCGTATGAGATCTCCGATGCAGGATTGCTGTTTCTCGAATAAGAAACTCCGCACGTCACTCGTTGCTCGCCCGCAGCGTGCTTGCCGGATGAGTCCCTACTGAACCATCCGAGCTTTGGCCAAAGCGTCCTCAGCTTCAGGGATAAACCCACCGCGTTGATAGGTCACGCTGAGAGCTGTGAAGCTGAATGGGTCGTTCGGTTCGAGTTCGGTGACTCGAACGGCGTGTTTGATGGCCTGCTGGTGATCGCCCTTGTCGGTGAGCATCTTCGCCAACGCCGAGTGGGCCAGAGCATAGGAGTCATCTTGGGCCACAAGTTCCTGCATTTTTGCGATCGCCTGATCGACGTTTCCCTCGTCCTTCAGCTTGATGGCGTCGTCGTAAAGTGTTTCGTTATCAGGCATTACTTGAACCCTTTGGCTGGAAATGGATCTCGACCCTTCGATACCAGCGAACCCCCGGTCGCTTGGCAGGTAACTTCACTTTGCTTGAGTCTACCAGCTTAGCCGGCACTGCGCGGAGGGGGGCAGGCAATTGCTGTAAGTTCGCCTGCCTTTTGGTGATCCGGCGATTTGCTCGGTTCGCCGCCGGGAAATGCAAGCAGCTTGCATGATGAGAAGTTTCCTTGAATCATCCCTAAAACCGGTTCGTCCGATTGAACTAGTAGCAACGGCAGAGCCGATACATACCAACGGTCGCCAATGACCCAAAGCTCCCGAGCGACCCAGCTCGCGAGTGACCCGGCGATCATCCTCCCTCCCTGATTGGTGACCGCGCGATCGGCCTCGGGCCGGTGGCGGCAGTCGCTGCAATCCCATCCGCATCTTCTGAAAGGTTCCGCACACGTGCATATTCATCCCACGGCTGTTGTCAGCCCCGACGCAAAACTTGGTCAGGATGTCTTCGTCGGACCTTTTGCAGTGGTTGAAAGTGAAGTCACTCTCGGTGACGGCTGTCGCCTGGAGAGTCGTGCGATCGTAAAGTCGGGCACCGTGATGGGCCCCAAGAATCACATTTACGAGGGAGCCGTGCTGGGTGGCATGCCGCAGCATCTTCGCTGCCCCGAACGAGTTGGTCGGTTGGTAGTAGGCTCGGGAAACACCTTTCGCGAGAATCTCACCGTGCATCGTGCCTTGCACGAGGGGCATGCGACTACGATCGGCAACGATAACCTGATGATGATCAATGCTCACGTGGCGCACGACTGCCACATCGGCAACAACACCATTGTGGCCAACAATGTCATGCTCGCGGGCCACGGGATCATCGAAGACCGTGCGTATCTCTCCGGAGCTGCCGGCACGCACCAGTATTGTCGCGTGGGGCGGTTGGCCATGGTTGGCGGTCAAGCGCACATCGTGCAAGACGTGCCTCCCTATGTCACGGTCGACGGAGCCAGCAGCTCGGTGGTTGGTCTGAACATCGTCGGGCTTCGACGGGCTGGGTTCAGCAATGAAGAGATCATGCAATTGAAAGAGGCCTACCGAGTCATCTTCCGAAGTGGCATGCGTTTCGAGGAGATTCTCGGTGAGCTTGGACAGAGCTTCGCCGAGGGCCCCGCGGCCGCTTTCCTCGAATTCTTCGAAGGTGGCGGACAACGGGGTTTCACTCGCGAACGGCGCATGCCTCGCCGCGCTACGATTAAGATGCGCAGCGAAACGCCGATTGTGGAAGAGCAGCAAACGTTGCGTCGAGCCGCAGGTTAACCCTGAGACAGGGCTGCTTGTGCAGCAGCCAGTCGAGCGATCGGGACGCGGAACGGCGAGCAGCTAACGTAGTTCAGCCCAAGCTTGTGGCAGAACTCGACGCTTGCCGGATCGCCCCCGTGTTCACCGCAGATGCCGAGCTTTAGTTCGAGTCGCGTTGAACGTCCCTTCTCAACGCCAATCTTCATCAGCTGACCAACGCCATCGATATCGATGGTTTGGAACGGATCGTTCGGCACGATATCGGTTTCGCGGTAGTGCGTGATGAACCCGGCGTAGTCGTCCCGGCTTATACCTAGCGTGGTTTGCGTCAGGTCGTTCGTGCCGAAGCTGAAGAATTCAGCGTGCTTGGCAATTTGATCGGCAGTGATCGCCGCCCGCGGCAATTCGACCATGGTGCCGACCATGTACTTCACCTCGGTCTTGGTCTCTTCGAAGACCTTGGCCGCGGTCTCGCGGATGATCTTCTCTTGGTTCTGGAATTCGGTGGCGAATCCAGCCAGCGGGACCATCACCTCGGGATACACCTCGATGCCTTCACCTTGCACTTTGCAGGCAGCCTCGAAGATGGCGCGGGCTTGCATCCGGGTGATCTCAGGGTAGGTGATTCCCAAGCGGCAACCACGGTGCCCCAACATGGGGTTGAACTCTTGAAGTTCTTCCACTCGACGGGCAACGGCTTCGGCGGTGGTGCCAATCTTTTTGGCAAGAGCCTCCTGGTCCTTCTCTTCGTGAGGCACGAACTCGTGCAGCGGCGGATCGAGCAAACGGATGGTTACCGGCTTGCCGGCCATGGCACGGAAGAGTCCTTCGAAATCTTCTCGCTGATAGGGCAGCAGCAGGTCGAGGGCGGCCTCACGGGTTTCGACGTCTTCGGCAAGGATCATTTTGCGGAAGTCGTCAATGTGGTTGAAGAACATATGCTCGGTGCGGCAGAGCCCGATGCCCTCGGCACCAAAGGCGATGGCTTCCAAGGCTTGCTTGGGCTCATCGGCATTCGTTCGCACCAGGAGTTTTCGATTCTTGTCGACCCACGACATCAGTTGATCGAAGCGACCGAAGACTTCCGATTCCTCGGGCTTCATGGTCTTGTCGATCAGTACCTGGACAATCTCACTAGGACGGGTTTCCACGCGGTCGACGAACACTTCGCCTGTGAAACCATCGATGGAGATGAAATCCCCGGCCTTGAGGACGCGATCGCCCACGGCGACAGTTCCGGCCTTGTAGTTAATATCCAGGTCGCCGCAGCCAACCACACAGGCTTTTCCCATCTGCCGGCTAACCAGGGCGGCGTGCGAGCTTGCCCCACCGAAGGCGGTGAGGATTCCCTTAGCGGCCTTCATTCCCCGCAAATCTTCGGGGCTGGTTTCTCGACGAACCAAGATCAACTGCACATTGGGGTTCTTGTTGTAAAGCTCTTCTGCATCGGAGGCGTGCAGACAGATCTGTCCGGTGGCCGCACCCGGGCCGGCGTTGACGCCCTTGGCCAGAAGCTGGCCGTTCTTCTTAGCATCATCCTTGGCCTTCGGGTCGAACAGGGGCTGTAACAGTTGGTTCAGGTCGTCGGCCGGAATCCGCTTCTTCGACAAGGCTTCTTCGGGCTTGATCAGACCTTCGTTCACCAAGTCGACGGCGATTCGCACGGCGGCGAACCCGGTTCGCTTGGCGTTGCGGGTCTGCAACATCCAAACTGTGCCTTTCTGGATCGTGAACTCGACATCCTGCACTTCTTTGTAGTGCTTCTCGAGTTGATGCCCGATTTGCTCGAGCTGCTTGTACGGCTCGGGCATATCTTTGGCGAGCGTTTCTTCGATGGCCTTGGGCGTGCGGATGCCGGCCACCACATCTTCACCTTGAGCGTTGATGAGGTAGTCGCCGTTAAGGCCCGGGGTTCCCAGAGCCACGTCGCGAGTCATCGCCACACCCGTGGCACAATCATCGCCGAGGTTTCCAAACACCATGGCCTGCACGTTGACGGCTGTGCCCCAGTCGTGAGGAATGCCGTAGGTGCGGCGATACACAATCGCCCGGTCGTTCATCCAGCTACCAAACACGGCCCCAATGGCACCCCAAACTTGCTCCATGGGGTCTTCCGGGAAGTCTTTGCCGGTATTGTCTTTGATGGCTTGCTTGAACTCGGCAACCAGTTCACGAAGTTGATCGGCGGTGAGTTCGTGATCGAACTTCACACCGGCGGCCTTCTTCTTTTCTGTCAACAGGTGCTCGAAGGGGTCTTCGTCTTCCTTGGTCTTGGGCTTCATGTCGAGCACCACGTCGCCGTACATCTGCACAAAGCGGCGGTAGCTGTCCCAGGCGAAGCGATCGTTGCCCGACTGTTTGGCCAACCCTTCAACCGTGGTGTCGTTAAGACCAATGTTGAGGACGGTGTCCATCATGCCGGGCATCGACTCGCGAGCACCCGAGCGGCAAGACACGAGCAGGGGCTCGTTGGGGTCGCCGAACTTGGCGCCCATGGCTTCTTCCATCTTGGCGATGGCCTCGTCGACCAGGCCGCGGAGCGTCGAAGGATATTGGCGATCGTGATCGTAGTAGTACGTGCAGACCGAGGTGGGAATTGTGAACCCGGCGGGCACGGGCAGCCCAATGCGGGTCATTTCAGCCAGGTTCGCGCCTTTTCCACCGAGCAGGTTTCGCATGGTTGCGTCGCCGTCGGTTCCCTTGGGTCCGAATGAGTAAACGTACTTTTCTGTATCAGTGGCGACGGCCATGGAAACGACTCCTCAGATCAAAAAATGGCTTGAAACCCGGATGCACTCGGGAGGGCATATGGCAGCAGCCCGTCTCCGGTGCGGTGTCTTTAACGTTGATTGAATGGTTGGGCACCCTAATGCGTGAATTCACGCGCAAGTCACCATTATCGAGCCACAAGGCCATCTGGCAATGCCTAACGGTGTCGGGGGTATTTCTTGCCGCCGCGACGTAATTGCCTGATTTATCTATGGTTGATGGCAATTGATTCACTGTCGCCGATGTGGCACTCTAGGGAACCTTCGGTCTTGATTGCTTGGCGAATTAGCCCGCAGTTGTCAGTGAAGTTCGAGCTGGATCAAGCAGATCGAAGCCGTGTAGATCCCTCATGTCGTTGATTTTGCGATCTGTACTCCGATGAATGATTCCACCACTGCAGGACCTCCCGCGGCTAATTCCGACTCGACCCACCTCAAGAAAGCCCTGGGGCCGATCACGCTGTGGGGGCTAGGCGTGGGCTACGTGATCTCGGGCGAGTACTTCGGCTGGAACCTGGGGCTGCCGGTCGGGGGCACGTACGGCATGTTGGTGGCTTTCGCCGTCATCACGGTGATGTACGTCACGTTTGTGTTCAGCTACACCGAAATGGCCTGCGCCATTCCTCGGGCCGGCGGGGTGTTCGTGTATGGCGTGCGAGGCCTGGGGCTGATCGGTGGATATGTCGGCGGACTCGCTCAGGTGCTGGAGTTCGTCTTCGCCCCTCCAGCGATTGCGATGGCGATCGGGGCCTACGTGCTGAACTGGTTTCCGAATATCGATCCTGCCGACGCCGACGGAGTTCACAAAGCGGTGGCATTGGTCGCGTTTCTGTTGTTCACCGGGCTGAACATTTGGGGAGTCCGGCAGGCGGCCGCGTTCGAATTGGTGATCACCGTGTTGGCCGTCGGCGAATTGCTGTTGTTTGCCGGCATCGTCGCGCCTCACTTTGAAGTTGCCAACCTTTCCAAAAACCCTCTACCGCACGGTTGGACAGGTGCCCTGGCCGCGGTGCCGTTTGCGATTTGGTTCTATTTGGCCATCGAAGGTGTGGCGAATGCCGCGGAAGAAGCCAAGAATCCGCAGCGTGATGTTGCGTTTGGGTTCGGTTTCGCCATTACAACTTTGGTTGTTCTTGCAGCGATGGTGCTGATCTTGGGGGTGGGCGTAGGCGGCTGGGAACGAATTGTATTTGCGCCCGGCGATTTGAGCGTCGCGGCCGACGGAGCACTGGTGGTAGCCGAGGGGGCATCGCAATCGGATAGTCCGTTGCCGCTGGCATTGGGGCAGGTGGTTGATCAGCAGAGTGCTCTGTATCACCTGTTGGTGGGCATCGGATTGCTGGGCTTGGTGGCCTCGTTCAACGGTATCATTCTCATCGCCGGTCGTGCACTCTTCGAAATGGGACGCGTAGGATTTCTGCCGCATTTCATTGGCCGGGTGCATCCGCGAACGAAAACCCCGCTGAATGCTCTGATCTTGAACATGGTGATCGGGATGGCGGCAATTTTGTTTTTCGATACGGGCAAGTTAATCACCATGTCGGCCATGGGGGCCGCGCTCTTGTACGTGGTGTCGATGCTGGCCCTGTTTCAGCTTCGGAAGAAAGAGCCCGACTTGAAGCGGCCGTATCAAACCCCGCTCTACCCTTGGTTTCCGCTCGTAGCACTGGTCATTGCGGCGGGCGCACTGCTGACGATGCTGTACTTCAACTCGTTTGGCGATGGTTCAGCTTCTGAACTTGAAGGCATCACGGCCTGGCTCCGACAACCGCCCACCGTATGGTTTGCCGTCTACTTTGTGATTGGTTTTGCGTACTATCTGATCGTCGTACGCCATCGGCTGACCCCCGAAGACATCGCTCATTTCCACCGTGTCGAATGAGCGAGTGGAAGTCACCAATTCGCTCGAAATTCTCGGAGAAAGACGGAAGTCCCGATGGACGAGCATCCACCACAGCCTCCCATGGGCGGACCGAGTTTCGTTCCATGGGCATTGCTGGTCGAGGGGCTTCTGATTGCCGTGGCGTTGGTGCTGAGCGGGCTGCTTGACCTGCCACCTCTGGGATCGTTTGCCTTCTCCCTTGAGGCGGTAAGTTGGGGAGTGGCTGCCACAGGGCCCATGTTGCTGTTATTGCTTCTGCTTAGGGTTCCACATTGGAAGCCCCTGGTGCGCTTGCGGAGGGTCGTCGATCAGACGGTTTTACCGCTGTTCGATGGGTGGAGTACCTGGGATTTAGCCAGTCTGTCGCTGGTGGCTGGCGTGGGTGAGGAGATGTTGTTTCGAGGGGTAATCCAAGACGCAATCGCACGAAGTGCTGGTCCGTGGGTGGCCCTGATCGTCGCCAGTGTGATCTTCGGGGCAATGCACTCGATTACCAGAACTTACTCTGTGGTGGCCACAGGGTTGGGTTTGTGGTTGGGCGGGGTTTACCTGTGGACCGGGAATTTGCTGGTCGCGATGATCGCCCATGCCTTGTATGACTTCATCGCACTCGTCGCCATGCTGCATTGGGTCGATCGCAGCAGGGGCTTAGGGGGTGAAGTTGATGCTTGGGAACGGAACGGCGAGGTGGAAGAGGGTGATTGAGTGGCGAGGGTTTCACGCAAGCGTAAAGGTTACCGCGCAAAACAAAACGGCGGCCCGACCTGTTAGGATCGGACCGCCGTTCGTCGTTTCGACCAGGTAACCTCTGTCAGGCAGAGGAGTCGTACTTAGTGCACCTTAGGTGCCACAGCAGCTCGGTTCGCAGCAGCTCGGCTCGCAGCAAGGGGCCGGGCAGCAAACCTGCACCGGAACCTCTTTGCACACGACCTTCGGCACGCAGCGGGTCACCGTGTAGGCAACCTTTTTCGGCACACAACGCTTGACCGTGATGGTCTTCGTGTAGTGGACCGGCTTGCACACGCAGTACGGTACCTGCTTCACTCGCTTCTCGGGCACCATGTGGCAGACCTTGTAGGTGCAGGTCTTCACACGTTGCTCGGGCACCATCTTGCACACCTTATAGGTGCAGGTCTTGACGTGGTTCTCGCGAACCATGTGGCAGACCTTGTAGGTGCAGGTCTTGACACGTTGCTCGGGCACCATCTTGCAGACCTGATAGGTGCAGGTCTTGACGCGTTGCTCGGGCACCATCTTGCAGACCTTGTAGGTGCAGGTCTTGACGCGTTGCTCGGGCACCATGTGGCAGACCTTGTAAGTGCAGGTCTTGACACGTTGCTCGGGCACCATCTTGCACACCTGGTAGGTGCAGGTCTTGACGCGGTTCTCGCGAACCATGTGGCAGACCTTGTAGGTGCAGGTCTTGACGCGTTGCTCGGGCACCATGCGGCAGACTTGGTAGGTGCAAGTCTTGACACGTTGCTCGGGCACCATCTTGCAGACCTTGTAGGTGCAGGTCTTGACGCGTTGCTCGGGCACCATCTTGCAGACCTTGTAGGTGCAGGTCTTCACACGTTGCTCGGGCACCATCTTGCACACGGTGTAGGGAATCCGCTTCTCGTGGCATTCCTTGACCATGTGGCAGACCTTGTAAGTGCAGGTCTTGACACGTTGCTCGGGCACCATCTTGCAGACCTTGTAGGTGCAGGTCTTCACACGTTGCTCGGGCACCATCTTGCACACGGTGTAGGGAATCCGCTTCTCGTGGCATTCCTTGACCATGTGGCAGACCTTGTAAGTGCAGGTCTTGACACGTTGCTCGGGCACCATCTTGCAGACGGTGTACGGCACTTTCTTGACGCGGGTTTCACGCTCGTAGCGAACGCAGTTGACTTGACGCTCTTCGGTGCGGGGCACCCAGACCTTCTTGCACACCTTGACCGGCGGGCATTGGACCTGAACCTTCTTCACTTTTCCGCACTTGTAGACGCACTTGCAGCAGCAAGGGTCCCACACCCAGCAGCCCGGCTCTTGGACGCATTTGGTCACGCAGGGACCAGGGCACTCGGTGACTTGCGTCTGCCATTCGCCACAGCAGACCTTGATCGTCTTCGTATAGTGAACCGGCTTGCAGACGGTGTAGCAGCACTCACGCTCGCGAGTCTCGTACACGGGCTTGCAGACGGTGTAGCAAATATCCTTGGTCTTGGTTTCCCAGACCGGCTTGCAGGTGGTGTAGTGGCAAACTCGTTCGCGGGTTTCGTAAACGGGCTTGCAGACCGTGTAGCAGATGTCCTTGGTCTTCGTTTCGTAGACCGGCTTGCACACGGTGTAGCAGATCTCTTTGGTCTTGGTTTCCCAGACCGGCTTGCAGGTGGTGTAGTGGCATACTCGCTCACGAGTCTCGTAAACGGGCTTGCACACGGTGTAGCAGATTTCTTTGGTCTTCGTTTCGTAGACCGGCTTGCACACGGTGTAGCAAATCTCTTTGGTCTTGGTTTCCCAGACCGGCTTGCACACGGTGTAGCAAATCTCTTTGGTCTTCGTTTCATAGACCGGCTTGCACACGGTGTAGCAGATCTCTTTGGTCTTGGTTTCCCAGACCGGCTTGCACACGGTGTAGCAAATCTCTTTGGTCTTCGTTTCATAGACCGGCTTGCACACGGTGTAGCAAATCTCTTTGGTCTTGGTTTCCCAGACCGGCTTGCACACGGTGTAGCAAATTTCTTTGGTCTTGGTTTCCCAGACCGGCTTGCACACGGTGTAGCAAATCTCTTTGGTCTTCGTTTCATAGACCGGCTTGCACACGGTGTAGCAGATCTCTTTGGTCTTGGTTTCCCAGACCGGCTTGCACGTCGTGTAGCAAACATCTTTGGTTCTGGTTTCCCAGACCGGCTTGCACACGGTGTAGCAAATGTCCTTGGTCTTGGTTTCCCAGACCGGCTTGCAGACCGTGTACTCACAGTCGCGATAGCAAGTTTCTTTCACGTACTTGACGCAATCAACTTGTTTCTCTTCGCAGACCGTTTCGTAGCAGGTCTTGTAGCAGGTGTAGTCCTGCTTCTCGTACACGACTTGTTTACACGTCTTCATCACTGTG